CGTGGGTTGCTGCATTGATATATCACCAAGAGTATTTTTTGGTGTACTTATTATTTTGTTACAGCTACAGTTTTGTTGCTTGTCTAGAGGAAGGAAACTCATTTATGCGACACATTTGATATTTTCACAGTTTTGACGATTAAAATGTTCATGTTTCATATGAACTTGGCACAAGAAGTGGTTTAACAAAGACTTTTAGTATCACAGTCATGATGTAGGTTTATTTTTTATTGAACCGTATCAAACCAATTTCGAATATATCGTATTGAATCCAAAGTGCACTGTATCGAGATGTGTATCATATCGTGGCCTATGTATCGAGGTATATATTGTATCGGCAACTTGTTAATGATACCCAGCCCTATTCAGCTACCAGTCTTAAATTAACATGTCTCATCATGATAAATAGATTAATAGATATAAATAATAAAATGTATAATATATATATATATATATATATATATATATATATATATATATATATATATATATATATATATATATATATATATATACTACAGTCTCACCCACAAACTCATAACAGAGCAGTGTTGTCATGTTTTGTGCAGCTGTGCATCTTTGTGCAGTGATAAAATAAAGCTTTCTGTGTATTATTAGGCTGCAGATGAGCCAAAACTTAATATCGGCCTCTGCTGGATATTTAAGGCCGATAGCCAATACACTAGAACAGACAAATATCGGCCTGATAGTGCTTCAGGATTTGAAAAAAAAAAAAAAAAAGCCACAGATCACAATTCAGCGATGTGTGTGTGTGATGACCTTTCCCTCTCCAACTTGTGTAGCCCAGATCATTTTCATTTACTGCCTTTATTGCTTCATGGCCTTCATTTTATTTTACACCAGATCTTTTGCAATTTTTGCCCTAACAAAATGAAACTTGGCACTGCACACACCCTTCCCATTAGGATGACACCCTCTGAATTTGAGATCAGCAGATGAGTGGTTTGAGAGTTATGCGTGGAACAGACAAACCAACAGGAGGAGACACAGACAGACATCCCTTGCATTAATAGATAGATTTGTACGACTTAAACTAATCTATTAAAGCAAGAAACGTCTGTCTGTTTCTCGTCCTGTTGGTTAGTACATCAGTATGACTTAAACTTCACTATTGATTTTTTGGCCTTACCTGGTCCCTTCCCTTGCTTGTGTAAATATTGTGCATGGAGTTTATGCTTGTTTTATTGTGAACATCACGGTGACGTCCAAAGCTATAAAAGACTATATGGACTGAAGGATACAGAGAGTGAGTTTTGTGGAGTGCCTGTTAAAAAAGCATGTGTCCAGGGAGCACTGAGGCAGGACGAGCCCCAAGGTTACCCCACTGGAGGACATACCAGGACTGTAGGCGGACACCTCTCTCCTGGTCACATCTGCCATAGCTGCATGGCTCCTATAACGAGTCTTTGTTTGAGGCTGCAAATGCGCAAAATAAAGAACATACAGAAATTAATATTCGCATTTGGTTCACATGACAGTAGAAGTATTGATAGTTTGCAGTGACATTACGCTGGGGGTGTTGTACATTTATGTGTATTGGCAGAATGTTCACCAGTTACCATGGAGACATAATGCACACGTCTATCTATTAATACAAGGAACGTCTGTCTGTGTCTCCTCCTGTTGGTTTGTCTGTTCCATGCATAACTCTCGAACCACACATCTGACTGATCTCAAATTTGGAGAGTGTCATCCTAAAGGTACGGGTGTGTGCAGTGCCATGTTTCATGTTGTTAGGGCAAAAAAATTATGCCAGAGATCTGGTGTAAAATAAAACGAAGGCCATGAAGCAATAAAGGCTGTAATGAAAGTGATATGGGCTACACAAAAACAAGCCATCTTGCAATTGAGATTACATTTTAAAATCAGGATACTGTACCTTTTTTATTTGTTTTTTTTTTTTTCAAATCCTGAAGCACTTGCATCTGAGAAAAGTCTGAAATAGAGATATTGGTTGGTCAATATATCAGGCTGGTATTTTCTCTTTTTAGGGTATCAGCTATTGGCCTTAAATCTCCAGCAGAGGCCAATATTGGTCCATCTGCTCCCTAATAATAGCCTGATTGATCAGACGGTTTCACTTCGTAGTTTGACCTCGCAGCATTAGAATTTGTTCACTCGATAGTAGGTGGGTACTTTTTTCATTTAACCAATCGCTGCTATTTGGTCGTGACGTATGTAGTACGCTGCTAATGGGGCGAACTGGTATATTAGGATGAAGGGCAATAAAACCTTTCCCCTTGATAAAATTCATCAAACATTCTCTTTATTCCGGCTTTAAATCCTCAATCTCCGGCATTGTTGCCAACACAGAATGTATGGCTCTTTGCTGATTGGCTGGTGCCTGAACTCGCATTTCTGGGGGTTTTGTGAACCGTCTAGTGTATTCCGATTCCTGACCTAGTCGCTGGAGAGAAATGAAATTGAGTGGAGGCACTAGGTGGTGCCAACCTGACTAGTCTAATAATACACATAAAGCTTTATTTTATCACTGCACAAAGACGTACAGCTGCACATATGGGTTTGTAGTAAAACAGGTCTGTGGACAAATAATCCAAATTGGCCATACTTAATTGGCCCAAAAAATATGGGATGATGGACAATCAGTATCAGCACTGGCCATGAAAAAAAATCCATATCAGTCGATCTCTATTTAGCAATAAGCCCAAGCCAAAAAAGGTGAAATTGTACGTTGTGCCTTGCTTTTAGAAGGTTTCAATCTTTATCAGAAGTATTAACAGCAGGAGACTACACTATCAGTCAAAAGTTTTAGAACCACACACTTTTTCCCGTTTTTGACTGAAGATTTATTGTGTCATTGCACTCTGACATGAAAGCATAGAAGAAATATACATTTTGAGTTGAAAAAAAAAATCATGGAATCAATTTATAGACCAAAACGTATTCTAAACTTTTGACTCATGAAAGTGTCCACCTTTGGCAGATATAACAGCTGAACACACTTGTGGCTCGTTCTTTTTACAATAGAAACCAAATATTCTTCAGAAAGTTCCCATAAATGTGTGGCACTTGTAGTTTGCTTGGCTTTCACTCTTCTGTCCTATTCATCCCAAACCAGCTCAATGGACTGTTTTGTAATTTTTTATTTTTTATCTTTTTTTAACCTCTGGCTGTTCAGTACTTACCTTTGTATCATTTCAATCTCTTCATTGGACTTGCACGACTTGAATTGCAAGAAATAACAGGAAAAATTAGAGCATTCTAAAACTTTTGACTGGTAGTTTGACATAAATGGAACTTGACCAAGTTTTTATTCCACGGTGGTATTCAAAATCGAGTTGAGTCTGTGTCAAACTTTTTATTTCATAAGCAGCTTCGTAAGCAGCCCTGATTACTCATGCCCATACAGTTCATCTCATTGAAGTAATAAGTGCGTGAGGGTGAGTAAGGCTATCATTATTACAAATACTTGCCTATTCTTCATACAGTTCTTTCACGCAAAACCAAACCAGCGTTAAGCTCTATGACATCTTAAGAAGGAAACACAGGAGCATCCAATCGTGTCATAGCAAGTGTCTCAGTATAAATAAATCAGAGAGAGAGAGAGAGAGAGAGAAAGTGTGTAAGGGAGAGAGAGGGGGAGAGGGAGAGAGAGAGGGAGCTGACCTTGGACAGAGCACAGAAGCAATAAAACCTTCCTCCTCCAACACGCAGAGAGGAACCTGCCTCGTCTGAAATAACAAGCTTTTATTAAACATGATCCTCTGACACACATCACTGAAGCACACTCTGAAAAAAACACAGAACACTGAGCGGTATCACAGTCCCAGCTACATCCTCACACATGTATGAACTAAGGTGTGCTTAAGTAAAAGTATAATAGTTGGTGAAATAAAAGAAATCATTACAAGAATTTAAATGAATTGCGAAAGCGGTTTTCTCTGTTTTGCCCCTTTCCTTTTTTTTTTTCATCAAATCAAATTCATTTCTATTAAATTTCTTCTTGCTGACAGCATTTTAACAATCCAAGTGGAAAAGAAAGTTAGTTATTATTTTCATTCAATTTAGTACATGTGAAACTGAATAGATTTTAAATAACCTGTTTTTTCTTGTTTGTACTTCTGAATCTTTGGCTAATTGTTTTTTGTTTGTTTATTTTTTCCATTTGAGCATCCAATTTATTCAGAAATCTCTCAACATAGCAATATCAAAAGCAGTATTTTTTCCCTTTGCTGTAAACACACAAGCCATATTTCAGTTTGGTAAACTGTTTACATACAGATTTGTAAATTTGTTTATATTGAGCTTTAACTGCATTTGTCTAATCAAGCATTATTATAGCTCTTTCAATGGGCTGCAGAACAATTCAAATCATTTTCAAATGACAAGCCTTCAGCGGTGGAAGAAGTAGAGTAAAACAAGTAAAAGTAGCACATGAGTAATAAAGTACTGTTTAAAAATGGGCTGATTAAAGAGTAAAAAGTAAAAGTATTTTGCACATATTTCGAGGTCTTATAAAGCTCCGAATGTAGTAATTTTGATAAAGATTTGAGCTGAATTTTGTTCAACAGAACCAATGGGACTGATATTTTTTCCTGGCTGTTTTTATTTGTATATTTTGTTTGCTCAAACTACAAATGTGTGAGATATAATCCCCTCAGGCTTTTCTGCAGGTCTCAAAAAATAATAAAAAATACGTTAGTTTTCAGTTCTGTAGTGGAGTAGAAAGTACAGATACCTGCTCTTAAATGTAGTAAAGTAAAAGTAAAACCACTTTAAAATGTACATAAGTAAGGTCCAGATATCTAACTGTATACTTAAGTACAGCACTTTTCTGCTTTTACTTCAGTGCTTTCCACCACTGCAAGCCTTTAGAAATTATGTTAGCAGAATGTTGAATGTGATGCTTGTGAGAAAAGTGCTCATTTAATCTATAATCTTGATGAAATATTTTTTGTTGTGACATCATTAACATAATAAACAACTTTAACCTCATATTTCCTTTCTGTCTGTTGTAGACTGGTGTAGAAGTCCAGCAGAGGACCAGTGCTTCCCCCCATCTCCCAGTGTGCACCTGGCCCTGTATGTGAGAGCACCTGCCCCTGTATGACCCCCCTGCCAGAGCCCCTGTCAGAGCCCCTGTCAGACTGCTGAAGGACCGGAGCAGAGCCTGTTGATGCGTCTCCCTGAGAAGCTCTCCCTCAGTACTATGAACTGTGAGCAGGACTTTGGGGATGTCACCCTCACACTACGACTGCTCATGCACGGAAAGGTAAGGACCACTGACCACACACTCCACAAGGTTTATACATCTATTCGTTCATATCATTCATCTTGACTATTTACCAGGCGATTTATATAAGTTTAGCAGATGACTGAGGACATTTTCAAAAACAACTTTCACTACATTGGTTAGAGGTAAAAATTCTTAAAGATCCTATATTACGCAAAACTGACTCTTGTGAGCATTAAGCCATGTTATAATGTTAGCTTGTTAAAAACATACTGAAGTTGTGTTTTATTCACGCATTATACTCTGTCTACTTTTCCAAAGCTTAAACTGCTCTGCTCCACCTTGTGATGTCATGAAGCAGTAGTTTTATTTAACAGCTCATTTAACCTTTTGTTCAGTAGAGTGTCTGTAATTATCCAAACAACAAGCCATCATCATAAACGTGTCCTGCAATATGTTTTGTATTCAACGTTAATAAAGTGTAGACGTAGGTAGCCAACAATTTAACTCAATTAAGAGTACTTTTACAAATAATAATGAGTCGAAGTAATTAACTGTCATTAAACTATACACAAAATCTGGTATGTTTTTTTTTTTATTTTTAAAAATGAAAGAAATCATAAATACTTTCTGAAGGAGCAGTGCAAGAAACACAAATTTTCAAATCATTTCATATTGTCAGTATTGGACAGTTGTTGCTTAATCACAATGGGAAGAGTAATTAAAACTTTATTGAGTAAGAGCACTGTTCATTCAAGTAGAAGGAAAATATTAAAAAACTATTCTTATAAGTTCTATTAAATCCAAGTTGCATGGTTGTAGTACTCTGCACCTATGATATTAATGGTCCTATAATACATAGAATTCACTCGTTTTAAGCAATGCTATAATGCAGTTAATGTTTGTGATGAGGAAACAACATTATTACATGATTCTAGTGAAGTTTATAAAGCTTAAAAACACAGTGGAGCACTTCCTGTGTTACCACATGACATCACAAAGACTGAGTGGGAAAGAGTGTTTTCTGTTTAAGAGAAGAACTCAGACCGACATGCAGATCGTGACAAGGCGACCCAAAAAAAATCTCGTGCAACCCACCTTAGTTGTCTTTGGGAAACAATGGTATAGAAAATAGTGTAATATGGGCACTTTAATGTTACCTCAAAATATCTAAACAGCTATTGTTTAATTAAAGATACTATAGGTAGAACTAATGACCAAGGACTGATTGCAATTCACTGAGTCATTATTTTGGCCAGTAATAGTGGTAGTAACAGTTAAGGTTACATCAAATTATACACACATTTGACTTCATGACTTCATCTTTGTATGTATTGTTCAGTGTTACTTCAGTGTTACTTCAGTGTTACCAAATGTAACTGCCTTAAAAACAAACACATTAAACTCACTGCGCTGACATGTTAATGCTCTTGATTCCTGATCTGAAAACACACTTTATCTCCTTTTGTCTCTTTTTGTTGTAGGAGGTCGGCAGCATCATAGGAAAGGTGAGAACCATTTCAATATTTTTCTTCTAATACCTTGTTTTCAGTAATTACGAATGCATAACATCACTCCATAATCAGGTGTTGTTTTGCAACACCATGACCTGTAGCTAATGTATGCAAACCAAGCCGCCATTTTCCACCTCTCCATGCTTATGATGTGAATGTATTTGTCTCCATCTAAATTCTCCTTTTGTAAAAACTGTGTGCAGACAAAGACGCCATTGTTGTTTTCGAATATCCCTAAAATGTAATCGGATCAAAACTGCCCCCCCCCACCCCCACCCCACCCCCCTTCCTCGATGCCCGGCCCCTCCTCCACCCCACATAATGCATTAGAAAACAGAAAGGGAGCTTTAGATCACTGACTATAAGCTCTTGTTGAAACTGAAGCTGGGTTAGTGCTTCCGTCTCATGGGATGTTTTAGTGTCTCTTAGCTTGGGCTGAGATGGAGGGAGAGGATTCAGTCTGAGTTGCTATTAAGGTCTGTAATATGAAACTACAAAGAGCAGGATGCAAGCTAATAAAAGTAATGTAAGCTAGAGACAAAGTAATGCAAACAATAACAAAAGGATATGCACATGGTCAGTGAATAAAGCAAATGCGAAATTACACTACATGTTTATAGTGTTGGCTCTCGCTCTTTTGGCGTCCTATAGGCAAGATTTCAGTTGGTGCCCCGCTGCTGCCACCCGCTGTAAAACATAAATTGAAATCGTGCACTTTTGTCATGGGTATTGTGTATGTTTTGTATATATGTTACACGGAATTGACTCTTGTAGCTGTAAGACATGTTATAATGCTATTACATCATCAAAAACATACCTAGAGTATTTCGCTTCATTCACACATGTTTGAGTAATTCTTTATTATTGATGTGTCTACATCTCCAAAGTTGAAAATGGTGTGTTGTACTTTGTGATGTCATGAAGTGGTAGTTTTGAACTGCACATTTTATCTTTAGTTCAGTAGAGTAGGAAATTGCAGGGCTGAAGTCATCCAAGTGATTCTTGTGAAGGTGTATGGAGTTTAAAAACACAGTGCAGCACGTCCTGTATTACCACATGCCCAGTGATGTATTTTTTAAGTGGGGGTACACGATTCAAGACGTCAAAATGATGCAGAATCATGTTTTTAACATTAAGGCCGTTCATAATCACCTACACAACATAAATCATAGGTTACAGCACATGAACCAAGGCTAAACCAGGACTAAACCAAGACTAAAGCAGGTGTAAACCAGGGCTAAACCAGGACTGGACCAGGATTGGACCAGGACTGAACCTGGACTGAACCAGGAAGACTAAAACAGGACTAAGCTAGGACTAAACCAGGTCTAAATCAGAACTGAACCAGGACTGAACCAGGACTAAACCAGGTCTAAACCAGAACTGAACCAGGACTACAACAAGACTGAACCAGGAAGACAAACCACCAATGTTTTCACCATTACCAATAGCTTCAGTTTGACATTTAAGTTGTAGGCTATTTTATATTTGTTATTTTGTTATTTTTTTTATATCTCACATCGGGAGAAGTGGGTGGAAGGCGTACCCCCGCGTACCACTCCCACTACACCTTCACTTCACAAGGTGAACAGTGTTTTGAGAGAAGAACTCTGCAGAGTTTGTTTGTTAAATGTGTGAATGAAAACAAAACACAAGTCCAGGTTGTTTGTGATGAGGAAACAATATTTTAACATAGATCAGAAAAAAGTGTAACCTTTAAAGAAAAGAGTCACTTTTAAACGGCTAGGTTGTCATATTTGGAACAAAACAGATGAGTATTTTTGATAAACAAAAGCATCTTTTACAATAGTCATTTGTGGGCTCTCTCTGGGCTGTGGACAGAATTACTAAAGCCTGAAACTACAAAATATGCAGAGGTTTTAGTTCATCAGCTGTGTTTGCTCATAATTTCGTGAAGTGGCTCATTGACCAAAAATAAAGACTGGCTAAAAGCTTAGGGCATGCAGATCTGCCATTAGATAAAAAAGCCACCAAATATGGAAAATTATGGTTATCAAAGTCTGCATAGAGGATTTTAGCAACAACTATTTGGCATCTGTGTAGTCAATTTGGAGTGAGCAGATTTATATACTGTGCAAATATCCACTTCAACCTCGAGCATGTTCTTCAGCTGCCCTTGCTTCAATAGAAAAGTTACTGAGGAAGCAAATAATATGTTTTTGTGAGTTCTTATAAATCACAGTCCTATAGTCAGTGTGGATTAGAGATATAGAGGAAAGAGAAAATACAGGGACAATGCCCATATTAGATTATATATAACAATCCAGTGCAGTTAAATGAGGTGACTAGATCAGACTGTATCATCATTAGGTTAACACGGGCAAATCAGGAGGTTAAAGGGCTCATATTACAGTATTTCTGATCTATATTACAGTGTTGGTTCTTCATCAAAAACAGACCTGGAGTTGTGTTTTGTTTCATTCACACATGTTTAACACACAAAATAGGCCAAGCAAACTGTATTGCACTGAAACAGTCTTTTTTGGACCCTCACCCACAGTTTGAAAACCCCTTCTTTAATCCGACTTTCACTTGCACTTTATAGAAAACAACTTCAAAGTGAATCAAGTGGGGGTTTTTTTGTAGTTTTTTTTTTCAAGTTCATTTACAGTTACATTATCTTACTGGTTTTGCAGTGATATTGAGCAACCTCTGCACATTTACCGGCCGTAGTGAAATATGATCGTACTTGTGTCAGACCTCAAGTCCGAGAGAAGACTGAGACCAAGCGCTACTGTATTAAGACCATAAAAAAGCAGTCTCAAGGCCAGGCTCGAGACCAAGACCTGTCTCGAGTACTACGATACTAGTAATACCATAGACTGTATATATATGAATGAACATAGCTATCATGCGTTCCAAATAGGAAGTTTGCATGTGGACACTTCTGGCTCCTTGTGACCCCAGCTCCTACTGATTTACATTGGATTACTGTCTCCCCTTTCTCTGTAACTGCTGCTGTGAGCGTCATCAGTTTGTTCTTAAAATGTTCATATTAACCCGCTCTACACGAGCCTGAGTTTTTTCCCACTATCTTGCCCATAAAAAAAATCCTGGCTCCAAATTCGCTCTGTAACCATTAGCATCACAAGCTTCATTTGAGTGTAGCTGAACTCTATGGGTGACGTCACACTCTCTTAGTCCACATCTTTGTACAACCTATGGTTAAGACAGGAAGTGCTCCACTGTGTTTTTAAACTCCATACACCACTAGAATCATTTCAATTTCTGTCAGTTTCTACTGAACAAAAGGTAAAATGTGTTAACTTGAAAAACTACCACTACATGACATCATAGGGTGGAATAGAGCATTTTGGTCTTTGGAGACAGCCTAATAATAAAGGGTTACTGAAACATGTGTGAATAAAACAAAAATGTATCCAGGTATGTTTTTGAGGAGGTAACATCATTCTAACAAGCCTTATAAAGCTCACAAGAGTCAATTTTGCGTAATATAAGACCTGATGTTCAATGAATCTACAGTGTTCCGCATATGAAAATACATTTAGTAAATTGTTTACAATGCGAAATGTTAGGCTGCAGTCATAGGACAATGTCGGTATTGCTTTTGAAAAATGGCATTGATTTTTTTTTTATGGTTGTCCTTCATGTTTTCTCTTTCAGAAAGGAGAAACTGTGAAAAGAATACGAGAAGAGGTACAGCGTGTTACTGCAACGTGCTGAGATTTGAAATATGTTTTTTTTTGTTTCGCTACATATTGATCTACTTTTATTTATAATTATTTGACTTTTATAATGTGTGCCTTTATTAACATATTTGTATATAAGTATTTTATATTCATCCAGCCTTATCTTTGTCTCCACAGAGCAGTGCGAGGGTTAACATCTCAGAAGGAACATGTCCGGAGAGGATCATAACCATCACTGGCTCCACTGACAGCGTCTTCAGGGCCTTCACTATGATCACATACAAACTGGAGGAGGTGAGGGCACAGTACAGTATAAAACCAACCCGTAATATCATTCTCCCTCGCCAAAGATCTGGCCAAATCCGGTTAAAATGAAGTGCTCATTATTGGATTGTGGCTTTAATGTGTAAGCATAGACTTAATAAAAAAGTGAACTAAGAGACTGTGACGTCACTCATGGTGTTAGGAATAGGAATCAGGATTTATTTACGGACAAAATTGTGAAATAAAAACACCAGGATCATGCAGAGGGGGTTAATATAAACATTTTAAGAGTAATGTTAAGGCAGTTGACAGTTTTTTAATGTAAAGAAGTAGCTTAAGGTGCATTGTGTAAGGTAGAGCCCTGCACCCGCGGGACCCGACGCAAAATAGTGCGGTGCGGTACACATTTTGAAAACCCCTTGCGGGCGCTTGCGGGAGTGAGACTGGACAATGTGGGAGCGGGCAGGTGGGATGATAAACTGCAGTCCTGCAAACTAAATATGAGTGTAAAATAAAATATACAAATGATAAACGTATGCGTATTATTCATCATTTGTGCTGGATGTTTTATTTGGCATTAATAAAAACATTTTAAGCAGCCTAAACCTGCGGATGTGGTCTGATCTTGCGCATATTTTAGACAATTCTTTTCTGCTTCTCTGTGTTTGATAGAGCTTAAGAAAGCGAACATCCCCATCTTGCAGAATTTGTGGGCGGGAGCGGGACAAAATATCCCAGATGCGGGTGGGAGCGGGAATGAAAATTACAATTACAATTACAAAGCAGACGAATGAAAATTACAATTCATTCACCCGCACAATGTGGGTCTGCACAATGCAGGTGCGGGCAGGAGCGGGAATGAAAATTCAGTCCCGTGCAGACCTCTAGTGTAAGGTTTCTGATTCTTGTCTCCATGGAGATGTAATTGTTTTGTCTGGAATGTTCCGGTATGGCATTAAACGTATCCATCTTGCATTTACTCAATAAAATGGGGTTTTATTGACCTAAAAACTTGTATTCTCATAGTGTGTGGGCTCACCTCTCCGCAGATTTGACATGTTTGAGAGTCACAGATGATGGACCCTCCACCAGAAAAGTTGCACAGTGCACCTTTAAAGAAGAGCGGGGTGTGAATGAACAATCTGTTGTGCACTATAGATGTGAAAGCAAACCAGATGCTATAAAAAACATTTTGTGCTCTCATCACTTTACTTCAGAGTTTAATCAATATGAGCAGAAAGCACTTTGGCTGTGAAATTGAGATGACGCTTTGACTAAGATGCCTGTACTTGACATTTTGGACAGAAATTCGTAATGAAAATGTCTGGGCTCTTTAGGGCTGTACTGCACCAGAACAGTAGTATTCATTACAGCAAATTGTAGTAACAGTACTTGTATTATATTGTTTTGTATTTATTATGCAAGTTTTGGTTTGATAAAAAATTATTACATTATCTCATCTGTAGGTGTACAGTTGTATAGGTCTATATTATACAGTAAGAAGTAGCTGCAGCAACAGCAGCACAAAAGTATAGAAGTTACACTAGAAACAGTAGTAGTGGCACTTGGGCAGTGGTATTTGTCAGCAGTATTAGACTGTAATTGCCGTATTAACAGCTCTGTGCAAATATTGTTTTGTCTAACCTCTTTTTCAGGTCAAACTCCTGCGTTTCCATAGCGACGCAGCAATTGACCCTCTGAGAGTACGCGAGAGCTGAGTTATTGTACAGTGGCACCTTTAATAGAAAACAAAGGGGTGTAATTTCCTTTTGTGCCGATTAGACGCTGCATTTGTCTCGGTGTGTGTTTTATGAATCACTAAAGTCATTACGCTTGGGTTCAATCATTATGTCCCAGCTTTGGTTTATGCTTTAAAACTATTTGTGACAGATTGGCCAGGCTGCACCACACAAATAATAATAAGACTGCAATAATTCAGTATAGAGCTCGGGACTGTGTTGTCAACAGCTCATAGAATTATTATTTAGGCTCTTGGTAAATCAGTGGAGATTTTAAGATACTAAACTTTAAATTTGGTGCTCATTCAAAAGTATTCTGACACTATAGAGTGATAAATGTATTTAACCAGTAATTTATCAGGCTGTTCCACCACGCATTTGATATATATATATATATATATATATATATATATATATATATATATATATATATATTTTTTTTTTTTTTTACATATGTATATATTATATATTTATATATATATAAGAAGAGGAGAGTCAGGGGGGCGATGAGAAAGAAGAAGAGGTGAGGTGAACGGGAGCAAAGTTAGTTCTTCCAGGCTGAATTCTTGCCAAGTCCATATAAACTAAAAAGTTATAAAAGTCATAAAATTATAATTTTTTGAAGAATGTATCTGTTAAATACTTAATGAAAACCAAAACATTGCATAGTAACAAAATACACTACAAAACCAGTTAGTGAGCAGTGCAGTGGGTGGGAATAGTACAGGATCACTCAAATCAATCAAAACACAACTTTGAGTAAGATAATGATGAGGGAGTGCATTTATGTCCTCTTTAGAGTACATTTGGAGCCTCCAGAAGCTATATTCTGTTGACTTAAAGCCCATTAGCGTAACTCCATCTTAACTGCCGCACTGATGCCTCTGCACTAGTGACTTCTGGCTCACATCAGTGTCGAGGCTGAACTGTGAAGCAGCAGAAACAGCTTGGCAGATTTACATTTCAAAGCCTCATTCAGAATCACTGCTGATTAATTAAAAAGGTTTTCTCCTCCCATAGAGCGGATGTACAACGCCTTCCACCTGCAATGCAAAAACTACAAGAGATTACTGTATTTGCTCGTCACTGTACAGTGTCATGTATTGGCAGTTTTATCTCTTATAATTACAGTATGAGCATCAAATTACTTTAGCTGTATTTTTCATTCAGATGAGCCCGCCACAGAGAATATTTATCAGTAGCCTACATGTTCAGTGCATGGGACTTTTTCACATGTCTATAGTTGGTATTCATAAGATGCATTGGAATACTGTAAAGGTGCACACAGCAGCCGCTCACTGTACAACCAATGCTGATGTGAGATGCAGATAAGAATGTGAAGGAAAGTTAACAGCAGCAGCAGCAGCACTAGCAGTATCAGTAGTACCAGCAGTACCAGTGGTAGTAGCAGTAGTAGTAGTAGTAGTAGTAGTAGTAGTAGTAATTGTTGTTGTTGTTGATGTTCTTGTAGCAATAGCAGTTAGCCCTTCCTGCATAATTTTCTGTTTCAGTGCCTGCACTGGTATGACCAATCAGATTAATCACATCAGATATAATTGTTTACACAGGATTTTAATAATCTCATAACTCTGGGACTCAGATAATGATCAGATCTTTGTTGTGACTGTAAACCATAGACTGCAACCCTCTCCCTGTAACTGCTGCAGTGAGCCTCATCATTTTGGTCTAAAATGTGTGTATTTTTTCATTTTGCGATTAAGTGCGTAAAAAAAAAAAAAAAAATCCTATTCTAAACTCCAAATTTGCCAGAGCCCATAGCCAAATGCTATGCGTAACATCACACTCGCTGAGTGCACTTCTTTCTACAGTCTATGGTGTAAACACACTAGTTAATGTTGCATAATTTAAGTTGTGGTATCATTAGCATCCGCATTTCTGAGTGAAACAGTAGATAAATTGTGAAAGAGTAGTAATTTAGTGCATAAGTATATTCGTAGTGGCAGTATTAGTATTACAGTAGTATTAGTATTAGTATTAGTATTAGTATTAGTATTAGTATTAGTATTAGTATTAGTATTAGTATTAGTATTAGTATTAGTATTAGTATTAGTATTAGTATTAGTATTAGTAGCACAGCCAGGTCTGGCTCTGTTTTTTGACACAATATCCTGCCTCCAAACCCTTTGAAACTACCTCCATACCAATTACCAACATAATACTGATTTATATTACTCCTGCTTGTGACAGCACAGAGAAAGCAAAGGCATAACAAAGCTACGATTTACTTTTTTCCTTTCTGTCTCTTCCAGGATCTGACAGCATTAGTGGCCAACGGCACCATAAGCACCAAACCCCCAGTCACACTGCGCCTGGTCATCCCCGCCAGTCAGTGTGGCTCTCTCATTGGGAAGGGAGGGGCCAAAATCAAAGAGATCAGAGAGGTGAGAGATCAAAACGCAAGATTTTGGTTTATATCACTGAAAACTGTAAAAACAAAAGGAACAAATTCAAATGAAGTTGTAGCTTGGATCCAGATAGGAATGACAGTTTTGGTTCTGTCTTAAAACTTTCAATCCTATGACAGAATTTTGAATTATTCTCACAGGTTCAGAATGAAAACCTTCTGGGTGCACAGGTTTGAGTTGTGACAACCAGGTCACTATTTGATCATTATTTAGACACTGGATTAAACAGCAGGTGTCTATTGTGGTCCACATGATGTCTGTCCTTTTTAGACTTTATCCTAATACAGGAACAATGACATAGTGGCAAAGACATTCAGTGGATTTGTTTGGTCCTCCCATGAGCTTCAGGTTTGCTTTACCCCAGTGGACTTTGAGAATAAGTAATAATTCATGATTTAAAAAACTGTACGGTTAGCATTTTAGACAATGAAATATAAGATTTGAACTCATGTTTAGTTGAATCTCTCCTTACCCAGGGCACTGGAGCTCAGATCCAGGTGGCGGGGGACTTGCTGCCGAATTCTACTGAGCGAGGGGTGACGATATCAGGCAGTCAAGACTCTGTCATCCAGTGTGTCAAACTCATCTGTAATGTAATCCTGGAGGTGAGATTCTCTATAGATTTTTCACTTCAGACTATATTACATAATATTGGTGACTTCATTCAGTGCTGTATCAGTTTGGTATCGCAAATAGTTGCTATGGACACAAGCCCACGTCGGCAACCTTACCTTCAAAGAATGACGCCTCTTTTCACTATTTCAACATAAAAAGGTGCATTTAAGTGTCTCTGTGCTACTACAGAATTTAAACTGAGAGCTGAAAAGCACAATTTCTTGAGGAGCCAAACTGTGTGATGTGTTCAGGAGAAAATCCACTGTGTCAAAAGGTGCAGTGAACAGGTCAAAGCAGCTGCTGTAGAGAAAGATGCTGAGGTTTAAGTCTGAAAAACAAACTGCCCAAAGCTAAATCTGCTCAACATTTGACAACAGATCTCTGGAGAAAGCTCATAGTTTAGAGCAAAATACCCCTCAGGGCAAAGTTACTGCTTGTCTCAGTAACTACTGACACATTTCCTTATGTACATTTCTAAGTGCTGTAGTAGTGATTGTACAGCCGGAGTAGGCCTTATACTTTTATAGGCAATTTGTGATTTTCAGATTTTAGAAAGTGATGATGCCGTTCTCCCAGATGGGGGTCAAGAGCCTGTTTTTCCTATTGACTACACTGTACTTTCCTGTGAAATATCTAAAAGGTAAATTTACAAATGTTGAAACTGATCATTTTGATTGGTGACTAGACCCTAGAACTTACGGTATTACAACATAAACCTGCATTTTAACAATATCCATTTAAGCTGCTCCCATCTCCATTAAATATCATCGACCAATAGAATGGTGTGATCATCTGAAACCCCCAATAGTAGTAGACGCAGTACATGTAGTAAAAAACCAACCAAATACATGTTCAAAATCACCCTCTGGGAGTGCGGTAAAGTAGGTTTATTTTCAGTTTTATGTTGGAACCTGTGACTGGCTAATTGCAAATGTGATCCAGTTTTCCAGGGCTTTCTTCAAAGGATTTCATTAGGTATCTGCCCCAGTGGCTTATGCTTTGGGCTCAGCACTGTAAATTATGCAAAGTTTCACCAAGAATTTTGTGACTTTTCTTCAAGCACAAAGATACCCTCATGTGTTATGGTCAAATCCAACCCTTTTATTAACTCAAATGTAACAAGAACATATGATATCCATACAACTGACATATTATAGTTTTATAGTTTATTAGTTAACACATAATTTAAGACCTCTATTAGGACTACATGTTGTGCACACATTTTATATTTCACAAAAGAAGTCACCTAGACTACTGCACAGTGTTATGTTTAATCTGCAAACAAAAATGAGGCTCCATTTGGCTTTTAGTTAATTTATCCAAGAGGCAATTTCCTGCAGGTCCACATCCTATCAACTACAATATCAGCAAATAGATCGCACTTCTTTTCAATTATTAAAACTCGAGCTAATGTTATCTGTGATCATAAGAACGGCCATTATGTAGCGCTGTTAGCATCTTAGTGCCTCATTATTGATACTTAAACTCAATGGAGAGGATACTGAATGCTTCTAACACAAAGGTAATATTTTCACTTCTCAGTCTCCCCCAAAAGGAGCCACCATCCCGTACAGACCGAGCCCCTCCCCCGCTGCCTTCCTCATCGCCGGAAACCAGGTGAGAAAAACATGTCCAAATCACATGTGGCTTCAAGTTTGTGGACTCCTGCGGATTAAAGGCAACAATCAGCCCCTAAAGTGTTGATTAAAATGGCTGTTGTTTAGAGCTCCATTCGCTTTTACTGGCAACAAATACAATTAAACGTGTTCATCTTGGTTGGCTATTACCACTGAATTAATCTCCTGAGGAAACCATGTTAGACAATGGGACATATCTCATGCAGCTTTCCTCTCAAACACACGACAAATCCAAGATATTTATTCAAAGGGTTCATGTGACGCCACAAAAATGTACCCTCACAACAAACAATGCTATAATAATTGCAGCTAGTGCTTATGGCCCCATTTTAGCAATTTTACTCAAAATGTTTGTAACTTTCTATTAAACCCAGTATGTTGGTGCACAAGACAAGTTTGATACGGAGAATAATTAGTGAAAATGGTGCAGGTGAGTCATAGCCTGCAGTAGAAGTCAGAGGATACAGTATTGAGTGTGACTTTCAGGCCAGAATAAAAATATCATTGCATAACATCATATCATTACCTCCAATGGATTCTGAAACCTTTGTACCAAGAAATATATTTGGTTTTCCAACTGCAAACTTTAATGAAATGGGTCTGATTCACAACTAAAGCTAAAAGATTGAATTAGGGCTATTCAAGCATGGGGAGGATCAGGACAGGACACCTTTTGAAAATGTAAATAATCTAATCCAAGCACATTTGTGAAATACCTGAAAGGTCCTTACTGCACTTTTTGGATCTATGTTATAATTAGAGGTGTGCAAAAATATCCAAATATCAATCTATCGTATCATTTAATGTGATAATACAGTATTGATATCATGGGTTGCTGTATCATTATATCGGCAAGAGTTTATTTATTTTTGTGGCATATTTTACTAAATTATCTTGTTGCAGCGCTACAGATTTGTTGCTTGTTTAGAGGAAGGAAACTTGTTTATGTGACATATTTGACATTTTCACTGTTTTTTGATGATTTAAATGTTTGTGTTTCATATGAACTTTGCACAAGAAGTGGTTTAACAAAGACTTTTAGTATCACAGCCATTGATTTAGTCTGTATTTTTTATTGAACCGTATTGAATCAATTTGAAATATATCGCACTGAATTGAAAGCCCACAGTATCGTGGTATGTATTGTTTCGGCAACTTCTTAACGATACCCAGCCCTAGTTATAATGTTGTTTCCACATCAAAAACATACCTGGAGTTGTGTTTTGTTTAATTCACACATGTTCAACACACAAACTCTGTATATTTAGATTCTGTTTTCAGACAGAAAAGACTCTGTTCCACCTTGTGATGTCATGTGGCAATAAAGGAAGTGCTCCACTGCGTTTTTAGTAGAATTATTTTTTTTTATTAAGTCATTTCGCAGCACTACAAAACAAAACAAAAGAAAACATAGACTACAACCCCATAGATCATGACTGAAGGGCTTTTACTTTAGGCTGAAGTAAAAAGTATAATCCTTAACCCTTTTAAACAATGACAGAATTCCAAGAAAAAAAAAGCATCATATGAACAGCAAGTTTGCGTTTACAATTTCACTTATGACTTACTGTATAAAAACTTACAAAATATAAATTAAAACAAATAAAATTCAGTGCATAATTCTTTCACTCCAGAGCTCTATATCTTTCAAAACAAACGCTTTATACTCTTTTTTTAAAGGCTTCTAGAGTGTTAGACTTTTTTAAATCATCACTCAGATTGTTCTATACAATAACTCAATAATGGATAATAATGGATGATTTCAGACCTAAAATTGCCAATCTCTACTGAACTGATGGTAAATGGTGGCATCAGAGGTGAGAAAAGCATGACAAAACATGCCAAACATGACATCACAATTTGGAAGAGCATTTTGAGTTATGGAGATGTAGACGGACTAATAAGTCAGGATTACTCAAACATGCGTGAATGAAACAAAACACAAATCCAGGTATGTTTATGATGAGGTAACAGCATTTTAACATGGTTTAGAGAGTACAAGAATCAATTTTGTGTAATATAAGACCTTTAAGTGACCCAGTGTAGCAGAAAGTTTACAAAAGTGACACTAATGATGAATAGGTCACAGAGCTAATACAATCACAAAACAATAAACCTGACAAAATAGAACCCAGGATGAAATAATTTAGTTTATACCACCACCTTGTACAAACATATCTCAGCTATACACTATAGAACAGATAGAACAATAAGGAGAAACAGTGGAAAGATGAAGTAGTGATTGACACGACATAGGGTGATCTATTACATAAGGGTACAGTTGTATACCGTACTCCATCCAACTGTACAACAACTCACCCTTATGTAATAGATCACCCTATGTCATGTCAATCACTATTTCATCTTTGCACTGTTTCTCCTCTTGTATACAGCTGATATATATTTGCATTACTGTATTTCTATATTTTCTTTTAACTCGTACATATACATTTTATTAGTGTTATAGTCAAGACAGCACTAATAGAGACCAAGACCAGAGGGGCTCCAAGACCAAGACCTCTGAGAGTCAAGACTGAGACCAAATCAAGACCATCTTTGTCATTTCCCATATTCTGTTGTATTTTACAGTTATGTTGGCACATAGGTTTTTATAAATCTACCTCCATTCTATGGGATTAATGTTCAATTAAGCTTAATATAGGCCAAACAAACTGTGCTGCTCTGAAATACTCTGTGCCTCTTTTTGGACCCTCACCCACAGTTTGAAATCCCCTTCTTTAATCCCACTTCCATTGACACTTTACAGAAAACAACTTCAAAATTAATCAATGAATTTGCATTGATATTGAGCAGCCTCTGCACATTTACCAGCCATAGTGAAATATGATTGCACTCATCAAGTGTCACACCTCGAGTCCAAGACAAGACCGAGACTGAGCGCCATCAAGACCAAGACAAGACCAAGTCCAAATGTGCTCAAGTCTGAGACGAGACCAAGACATTAAAAAAGCGATCTCGAGGTTGGTCTCGAGACCAAGACCGGTCTCAAGTACTATGACACTACATTTTGTATAATTATGCCTTATTTGACACCACTTGCTACTTATTTTGAATTTATTATTACCATTTATTCTTTTGCTCTTTGTTATTATATTATATTGTGATGTGTGAGCTAATATGTCCAAATAATTTTCCTTGTGGATCAATAAAGTTTGTGTAAGCACTTGATAGAACCACCATTTTGTTTTCTGTGTGTTTGTAGATGTTCGAAGCATCAGAATATGCCCCACACCCACTGTACTCGGTCACACAGGGAGCTCTGGACCTCCAGCAGGTACGTGGACCCCCCAAATCTGTGTAACGATTCCAAAAATAACACACACAGACTGTAGGGAGGGGTCGGAGAAGCCAGGGGTGGGCTGGAGAATGTGAGAGGAGAGGTTCAGTATGTCCAAATGTACTCCCAGCATCAGCCTCATCTGGCTCGGGTCTTAACTACAACAGCTGAATATAAGCCCTGGCCATTGTTCAGGGGGGCAGATGAGCTGTGCCCTGAAATATGATCCCGTTATCCCACGCCATTGTTCTGTTTTAGACCTGCTACAGAAATATGTGAGCTCTAGAGACAGAACTACAGAAGACATCAAAGCAGGTCTCACAGAAATACATTTTTGCTTTAATTTTTGTAGTGATTATTTATTTTGGCACTTTGCAGTTGATGTCATTAAAATTCCTTGGGGTCTGCTAACTGTAGGCTCTATTCTGTCTGAGACTTTGTTAGACTTTAATCTGAGCTTTGTTTTAATTCAATCTGGTGAGATGATTTGTGCTCTTAAACAAGTCACACATATGTACGATATGTCATCATCTGTGGAAAGGCAAGTCCGTTCACAATATGAATGCATGTTTTTAATGCCATACTTTCTGAAACATTCCAGGCAAAGAAAGAACATCTTAATGCTGATAAGTTCCTTAATGCATTATCATATATTAAAAATGTATTAGGTTTATGTTATTAGCTCACTAGTAGTCTTCCTCAGAGTGGTCACGTGATATTGCTATGTCCGGTCAGCTGATTTATACAGGTTTTGGCGCTGTCTTCGTACTGGTGGAGGGAGGGTGACAACGCCACCTGCAGTCTGACTTCCTCAGGACAATATCCCAGGTGTGTGAGAGTAAAAAAGCTCCCTCATCCTGGTTTATAGTTCTGTGGGCACGTTTCTGTGCAATCAGCTGACCAGACACGTCACAGCAACATCACATGACCACTCTGAGGAAGATCACTAGTGAGCAATCAAAACTGTCAGGTATGAAAACAAAATTTTGGTTTGAAAAAATAACCTAATAACATAAATTATAGGAAGACCAAATGAACCTCAGTGTTGTATTGAGTTTAATCCACCCACTGGGCCCATGGATTTCTGTGCTAGTTCAAAGCCTGCATAAATGGACTGGTTTGTCACGCAAGGATTTTTAATGAGCAAAACTGATAAACCAATATTAAAACAAGGCTAAACCAGGCATAGTGATGAAAAGTTTAGAATAAATTAGAAATAACTTTCTGAATCTGAAACAACAATTCAAACTACACCATTACTGCATAAGATGCACTATGTAATTTTTCCTTGTAGAAAGTCCACCACTCGCATGACTCCATCTAGATGTTATTGTTATTTCCTGGAATCTTCCACAGTATGGTGTTTAATTTAACTACAAGTACCCACATTACTAGGCAAAGTTGCAGGCCAGATCTGTGGAGAAGTAGGCCTGCAAACTGTAATAATCCATGTTTTTATGGTAGTTCTTAGAAATAAAAACTCCTGTAATTGAATAAATTCATGATATATTTGTTTGATACTATACCATGGAACATTCCAGGCAAAGCAATAATATCTTCATGGAGACAAGCACATGACAGGCATACTACCAGAAAAGTTACACAGTGCACCTTTAAATGTACTTGCAACAGACGTAACAGAGACAAGAATAGCTTATGATATCACACTCAAGATGCTACTGTCCATATTTGTCATCATATTAAACTGCTCAAATGTACAGTATTGATGCATATACTGTACACTGCCTAGCAGAGCTCCTCCTGCTTTATGGGCGTCCAGCAGGATGGTAACTGGAGACAGGCGACTGGCGTCAGGAGGAATCCAGTTAAGCTCAGAGCTGTCTGCCACAGAGCGGCCCAACAGGGGAAGGGCTGCTGCTCCACTGCTGCAATAACAAACACAGGAGGTGGGACAGGGGGTCAGTGTAAACAATAACATGTGCCCACTTTGGAAATTTACAGACATTTATTGTTAGACCTAAAACCTGTTAAAAATCTGTTATCATGTCATTGTTGCTGTTTTTTTGTTTTTTTGTTTGGTTTTGTTTCTCAGTTTTCTGTGATCTTTACATTATATATTAAATGTCCTTTCTTACACAAAATTGACTCTTGCTGCCTCCTCAAAAACAGACCTGGAGTTCTATATTGTTTGATTTACACATATTTGAGTAACTCTTTATTATACTCTTATTAGTCTGTCTACATCCCCAACACTCAAAATGCTCTGTTCCACCTTGTGATGTCATGCTGTGGTAGTTTTCAAGTTAACATTTTTTACTTTTAGTTCAGTAGAGATTAGCAATTTCAGGGCTGAAATTATCCAAATGAAGGTGTATGGAGTTTAAAAATACAGTGGAGGACTTCCTGTATTATTAGGTGGGATGAAGTGTTCTCTGTTTGAGAGAAGAACTTGTTTCCTGATGAGGAAACAACATTGTAACATAGATCAAGACAGAGTAATAAAGATCCTTTAATGTGACTTAGAGTTTCATCATTTCTATCAGATAGATAGGTTTAATGCAATATTGTGGAATATTCAAAACCAACCACATCTCCATTATCCATGTACGATTCGTTCTTTTGAATTTCAATTAAGAACGAAAAGCAATAAAATGGAAAATGCTATTTCATTATTCCCTTTTAGTGTCAAACAAAAAAAAAAACTGATTTCAAACTCTATTTCCAATATTTAATTTAAAGTTTATTTCAAATAAAACCATCAAAAAAACTGTCCCCGTGCCTATTTTAATTTTGATATTTTGTTCTCTTCTAGCAGCAGAACTTCCAGGGCATATAAATCAGAATAAAATATCAAAATTTAAATAAGCACCGATACTGTTTATTTTTGAGTTTATTTGGTCTTATTTGAGATAAACTTTAAATTAAACATTTGAAATAGAGATTGAAAGCTTTTTTTTTTTTTTTTACACTAAAGCAGAATAATGAAATAACAAACTATTTTGCCATTTTATTGTTTTTCGTTCTTAATTGAAATTCAAAAAACTAATGGTACTTGGACCCTCCATGGATCAAGTGGACCTTCCACTAGAGAAGTTGCATAGTGCACATTTAGTAAACAATCCTCTTCTGACTACACTGGCTCCTTGCCCCTGTTGGTAAATCTCTGTTTGACATATAAATGAATTTATTTGTGTTTATCAATCAAAATATGTGTGCAGTGGAACACTTCGCCTATAACCTCATAGTACTGGCCTGTTTATTGACTCAGAGCCACTTTCATTATTAGCCCACAGATTTATTGTCATTGCCAGTGTTTTATTGCAGTAATTTCCCTAATGCAGTGGACTCTGTTTCAGGCATATGCTTTGCAGAACCACTATGGGATTCCACAGTCTGAGGTAGGACCTAAACGCTCTCTGTGTTACAGTATTTCACGGCCTTTTCCTGATGTTTTTTTACTGTTTGCTCCACAGCTTGCCAAATTACACCAACTGTCTCTGCAGCAGGGCCTCAGTCCAGTCTCCCAGGCCTCCACCATTATACCTGGTATGTATGTATGTACAGTGCTATTATTGTGTTAGAGAATTAAAGTCAAAGGGCCTATAATATGCTATTTTCAGATCCATGTTTTAATGTTGTTTTCTCATCAAAGCAGATCCGGAGTTGTGTTTAGTTTCATTCACACATATTAAACACATACACTCTGCATATTTAGGCTCCGATTTTCTCTCAAACAGAAAAAAACTCCAAAAACCTTCCACCTTGTGATGTCATGTGGTAATACAGGAAGTGCTCCACGAGTTTTTAAACTCTATACATGTTCACTGGAATCATTTGGATAATTTCAGCCCTGGAATTGACAATATCTACTGAACTAAAGGTAAAATGGAGCTGCCAACATGGAAGCTAACTGCTATTTTGAGCTTTGGAGATGTAGACAGACAAATAATAATAACAAAGGATTAATCAAACATGTGAATGAAACAAACACAACTCCATGTATTTTTTTATGAGGTAACAGCATTATAACATGACTTAAAGCTCACAAGAATAAATTTTGTATAATATAGAACCTTTAAATTATGAATCTTACAAGCACTGTATTAATAATGTAACTTCTACATTAAAACTTAAATGAATCTGTCGTGTAGTATAAGTTGCCCAAGCTTTTTTTTTTTTTTCCTTGAGGCAGTCTCTCATTAGTGATTGTACGCTTATATATCCCCAAGACACAGAGGAAAACTATTATAAAACTATTATAATTAAGCACTAGAAACTTCAAGATTCAAAAAAGTGATAAATTACAACAAATTATTAGAACTGAAATGGCGGTTCGTTAAATGAAACATTATTTCCCACAATAGCCAATTAAACAGACATAAAATATGCTTTCATTCCAGGGCTGGACTCGAACTCTCAGACATCTCAGGAGTTTCTCATACCCAACGATGTAAGTAAACACTACATTTCATTGAATAGGTGACACTATCAATCGAGAAAAGTGTTGATATCGTAGCGATGACTTTCTTAGGTATAGATGCTTGAGTAAAGTTGTGCCGACTGCAGTAACGTCTCATGAGTGCTCTGCAAATCTTCTCATGTTCCTGACCTACTTAGAGCTGTCTGCTGTCAAAACAGCCAATACCAAACACGCTGATCCACTGCCTCTATACACTCTGATCTGATGTTTCCCCAATCTGAGCTTTACACCAGCGTATTCTACACAAGACCCCGCCAACACCTCGCACTTATCACTGCTCTTATCACTGCATACAGTACACAGGGCTCAGGGGACTGTCACTACTAACACCATTTAAACCAATACAGGTCGTGCATTCTGTAAATGAATAGATTTTGGGGGTCATTTTTTAACTTCTACTTGATTAATTGAGTGAAATTCTAGCTATGCAATTGTAATGATAGCTTTCAAATCGTACCCAGGCGTCTCAGTGCACAGCTATTTTTATCGACTCCTCTGAGCTTTTAACAGTTTAATTTGACAAGTTTGTAGAAGTTTCATAAGACTGGTCTAAGTACTGTAAATGAATAAACTGGTGGTGTAATTTTAAACTTTTTGAGTAGATTTTAAACTTGGACTTAGTGAAGTAAAATCCTAGCCATGTAAGTGGGAGTCCAGGGCCAAATCGTCCCAGTGCAAAGCTATTTTTATCTGTGGTTTTAACAGTTTAATTGATCAAGTTAATAGAAGTTTAATGTAAGACTCGTCTAAAACACTGCAAAGTAATGAGTACTTTGACTAGTATTTTTCATGTGTGCTGTATATTTTCCCTGAGTATGAATTTGGCAGAAGGACTCTTTGTAATTAAGTTCTTTCTACCTCTGCTTCTGAGAAATAGACTCACTGGCTTACAGGAAGTACTTTGAGTAGTATTTCTCATGTGTACTGTATATGTTAGTACACATTTGGCAGCAGTCCTCTTTCTAATTCCATATATTTTAGCCAGACGTGCCTTCTGTGCTTCTGAGAAATAGATTGACTGGCTTGTTGGAGGTTGCATTTGATAAAACGCTTTAACGTGGTGGTTTGAATGAGAATGAACAGACTGGGCAGGTGCTTTGTACTGTACTGTATGTGTGATGTATTTTTTTTTTTATGTATTTATTTTGGGCAAGATTTACATTCTTATACAATGGAACATGTAATAGAAATAACCACTACAAAAAAAAAAAAAAAAAAAAAAAAAAAAGCTTCCCCAAAAAGGACTGGGAAGGAGAAAACGTATTTAATCCCACCCCCCTCTTCTAATTTAACATTTCTTTTGCATATATATGAAACTATATGAACTTATTACAATTGCGGACAATGAGTACCTGTTATAGCTGGTAAAATAACTATCATAACTTAACTATCATCATACTGCAGTAATACATAAGCATAACAACAATAGTAACAGACAAAAGATACAAGAAACAGGAAACAGCAAGCATAAACCAGCATTACAAAATGTATGTGTGTTTTATGTGTGTCGTATGTGTGTGTATGCGTGTGTATGTGTGCGTATGTGCTGTATGTGTGTGTGTGTGTATGTGTGTTGTGTGTATGTGTGTGTGTATATGTGTGTTGTGTGTATGTGTGTGTGTATACGTGTGTTGTGTGTATGTGTATGATGTGGCAGTGGCCTGGAGCAGCGTGTCTCACATGCCTCAAGGCTTTTGTCCCAGAGCAGCTCCACATGCACACAGAAATATACAGAGAGGAAGAGGAGGAAGGATGAAGAAGGGAGGGAGAGAGAAACAGAGAAATCAAGAAAAAGAGAAGGATGAAGGAAAAGAAGGAAAGAGAGAGACACACAGGGATAAGGTCAGTAACATTAAAAACAAAAGAGAGAAAGGAGAAAGAGAGGGAAAGAGAGACAGAGAAAAAAAAGAGAGAGATGAGAAGGTAGGGGAGTGTGGGAGTAAGAAAGAGAGAAGAGGGAGATAGAGAGAGAAAAAGAGAGAGTGTGAGGGGGTGAGGGAGTAAGAGAAAGTGGAGAGAGAGGGGAGGGGGAGAAAGACAGAGTGAGTGAGGGCATAAGAGAGAGGAGAAAGAAGACAGTGAGAGACAGTCAGAAAGAGATAAAAAAAAAAAGAGGGACAAGAGGGTGGGGGAGTGAAGGAGTAAGAACAAGAAAAGAGGGAGCTAGAGAGAAAGAGTGAGTGTGAGGGATAGAGAAAAAGAAAGACAGAGTGAGTGAGGGAGTAAGAGAGGAGAAAGAGGACACCAAGAGAGAGAAAGAGAGCGAGTGAGTAAGAGAGAGAGAAGAAGAGAGTGTGTGAGAGAGAGAAAGAGAGTGAGTGAGTAAGAGAGAGAGAGGGAGAGAAAGTGGGAGGGAGGGAGGGAGGGAGGGACAGAGAAAAAGAAAGATGGAGTGAGTGAGGGAGTAAGAGAGAGGAGAAAGAGGACATCAAGAGAGAGAGAAAGAATGAGTGAGTGAGTAAGAGAGAGAGAAAGAGGGAGTGAGAGAGAAAGAGAGTGTGCGAGTGAGTAAGGGGGGGGAGAAAGACAGAGTGAGTGAGGGAGTAAGAGAGAGGAGAAAGAGGACACAGAGAGAGAGAAAGAGAGCGTGAGAGAGGAAAGAGAGAGAGGCAGGGCCCTGTGGCACAATGCTTCAGAGGAATGGCCAGTGGGCCTGTAGTGACAGGGACAGGTGTAGCTCGCACCATTGTTCCAGAAGAGAGCACTTAGCCCTGAGCCCTGAGCCCGGCCCACTGCCCCTCACAGCCCCACACTGCCCCCTCCCTCCGCCCCCTCCGCCCCCCCAGGCCCTGCTCTGGCTCTGAGGCTGGCACTGGTGCATTCACAAACTGCTTTACCCCAGTCAGCGTTCTCTGTGCTCTGTACGGAGAGGATTTAGCCAGGAGAAAAATGTCTGCCTCTTCACCATCTCATCCCTCTTCCTGTGTCCTTCTAAAGCACTGGCTCAGCACGTACTGCACATATAGGCCACTTATGCTCCAAGTCCACAGCAGCTCAGCACTACTTTTATTAGAAAACACATTAAAGCACCGCTCTGTTGGTTATTCCAGTATGGGTATTGTGAGGATAAATCAATGCATCTAAATAAGAGTGCTTATGGTAAGGCAAATGTGCATAATTTATCAGATTTCATCACAAGCAAACAGAGTAAAAAAAAAAAAAAAAAAAAATATATATATATAATATATATATATATATATATATATAATATATATATATATATATATATATATATATATATATATATATATATATATCTGCTGTTATAGGCCCATGTAAGATGAATATAGTACGAAACGACCAAACAAAACCTTTTTAATTTTTGTAAAGAATTAGACTAACATTTACTGAATTAGTCTTGTGGCAAAAAAAATGTTCAGCTGACAGGAGAGACGCGTTTGTGATTGAATAATTCCACCATTTCACCAAGAGTTATTTCCCCTTGGTGCTTACAAAGAAGATGTTGAACTTTTGATTGCTGGCATTTTTTTGTTCATGTGCAAAACCATTGAACAAATAGAACATTTGTTTGCATTTTGACAGTTAAAGGTCATGTATTATGCAAAATTCACTCAAGCCATATTATAAAGCTGTTCAAAAACATGCCTGGAGTTGTGTTTTGTTTCATTCACACATGTTTAACTCTGTCTGTTACTCTGAGTAACTCTGTCTACATCTCTTAAGCTCAAAATGCTCTGCTCCACCTTAACAGCTCCTTTTACTTTTTGTTCAGTAGAGCTTGGCAATTCCAGGTCTGAAATTATCCAAGTTATTCTAGTGAAAGTGTATGGAGTTCAAAAACGTGGAGCAAATAAGTGTAGCACTTCCTGTGTTGCCACATACCATCACAAGGTGGAACAGTTTTTTGTTTGAGAGAACAGCTCAGCCTAAATATGCAATGCTTATGTGTGAATGAAACTAAACACAGCTCCAGGTCTGTTGTTGATGAGGACACAACATTATAACATAGATTAGAAATTTGTACAATATGAGCTTTTTAAATGTTACACTCTGTCATGAAACCTTACCCTTTACCTCAATAAAATGGCATTATAATGTCATGATAATCAACAAGATAATAACAAGATAACTGAGTAAAAAAAAAAACTCTTGGCAACATATCGATACAGCAGCCCACATTATCAATACTGTATCATCACATTAAATGATACGATATATCTTGTCATTTCAGTATTTTTACACACCCCTAATGATCACACAAACCCACCCTAACATTTGGGGGGAAAAAAGGAACCACCAAAAGACTGCTCATATTTTTCAGTGTGACAAGCCAACTTAAAACATGAGCATATGAACATCTCTCGCAGAGGAAGCCCACAGTCTGACATCCTCTGCTCAGACAGGTGACAGCTGGAGAAGAGATATGTGACGATATGTGTGATCTGCGGCGCTATTGTCTGTGGAGTTACTGCTGGCTCTGCTCCTGTATCAACTGCTCTGATAATAATAGCCCAGAGCAGCAGGTCACTGTAACAAATCAGCCCCAGTCTCCAAAAGAAGCCCAGACTCGGGGCAGGAATGTGGGCAGGGGGAGTTTGTGTATGCATGTTGTGTGCTGGTCTCATGCGTCATCGCTCACACATGCACTGGTGCTCCATCACTGTCACAGAACACTGCAGTCTGATAGTATAACCCCGACACCTCCTGTTAAAGATCTGCTGTCACCACTTTGGGCCTGGAGGTGCTCGATTCAAAGCAAAGCATCACTGATCATCATTTTCATTTTATTCAACAAATTTGTTATTTATTTTTGTTATTTATTTATTTATTGTATTTTAAAGTATGTTTTCTATTTTAAGTATTTTTTTTTTAAATGTGAAGTTTTTTTTTAGTAAATATTTTTTTATTTTTTTATTTTAAGTATCTTTTAAGTTTATTTTATATATTTATGTAAAGTATTACTTATTGTAAGCCTTTTAAAGTATCTTTTATTTTAAGTTGTTTTTTTATATATATTTTAAGTATTCTGTGTTGATAGTATATATATATATATATTTAAATTTAATTATCTTTTATTTTTCAGTATTTTTAATTTTACATATTTTGTATTGAAAGTATTTTTAAATGTAAAGTTTTGAATATGTATATATATATATATATATATTAGGTTTTTTTATTTTAAGTTTTTTTTATTTATTTATTTATTTTTCTATTTATGCAGTACAAATAACACAAGGTTTATTACAATACAGATACACAGGACATGACATTATGCTATTAACACAAGATATAAAAATATAAGAGGTGTTCACAGAAGGGTGTGTGTGTGTGTGTGTGCTATTAAACAGTTAACAGGGGTCACACAATGTTAATAAAGTATACTAAGTTAGTTACACATAAATAGTACAATATAATAATAACACAATTTGAACCGGCCCAGACTGGAGCCAGTAAGTCTGCGTATTAGTGCAACAACATATGCTCTATTTTCCCATCATGATTTCCATTAGAGCGCTGATCCCTCTAGCTGTGTGTTTGGGAAGTGATTTGTTTGGGAAGTCATCACGGCTCTCACAAATCGATATCCTTTTAGCTGCTCAGATAAATGAAGGCAAATGCGCTGGTCTGCTCCTCCAGTGTTCACACGGACCAATTAGAGGAGTCGGGAAGAGCCGTGGACATGATTTATGACTGAGACAAACAATGCAATATTCAAACTGCTCCGTCTCCTGTAGAGGCGTCACTTCTATCAACATCACCCAGCGCTCTCCTCACAAATGATTTATCAAACCCGGGGATTTTAAAGCATCTGATTTCTTGTGGCACTTACGAGTCCTGCACTTAATCATGTCAAGTCCTCAGGTTAATTTGGAGACAGTTTATTTCCTTTTTCTTTAATTATACTTTAAACCTCTGGATAGTTTTGGTTTTGGATTGTTAAAGGTGCATTCACTTTCCTGTCTTCGCCACCTGCTTAATACTTGACTTGAATGTTCCACAGTATGGCATTAAATTTATTTCATTACATAAGTGTTTTTATTGTTGAAAAATATCTTGAAAAATATGTAAACATTGTTACTGTAGTTGGGGTCACCTCTCCACAGATCTGACCTGTAACTTTACCTCGTAGCATCACCTGATTTTCTTCGTGGAGGTAGATACATTTAATGTCAGACTGTGGATAGTTTACTTCTGTTGGGCTGTTTTCTGTTTCAGTCTCTTTAGTCCTGGTTTAGACCTAGTTTAGTCCCAGTTTAGTTCTAGTTTAGTTCCGGTTTACTCCTGGTTTAGTTCCGCTTTAGTCCGGGTTTAGTCATAGTTTAGTCTCGGTTTACTCCTGGTTTAGTCCTGGTTTTGTCTTGGTTTAATCCTGGTTAGGTCCGGATGTAGCCCCGGTTTAGTCCTAGTTTAGTCCTGGTTTACTCCTGGTTTAGTCCTGTTTTTTTTTTAGTCCTGGTTTAATCCCGGTTTACTCCTAGTTTGGTCCTGGCGTAGCCCTGGTTTTGTCTTGGTTTATTCCTAGTTTACTCCTGGTTTAGTCCTGTCTTAGTCCTGGTTTTATCTTGGTTTAGTCCTGGTTTTATCTTGGTTTAGTCCTGGTTTAGTCCTCTGCTTTTCTGTATTAGTTTTGATTAAATCCTGGTCTCATGTAGTTCTTTTTTTCTTCTGGTAAAGTCCTGATTTGTTCCTCTCTCTCTCACAGCTGATCGGCTCCATCATTGGTCGGCAGGGGACTAAAATCAACGAGATCCGGCAGGTTTCTGGAGCCCAAATCAAGATCGGGAGCCAACTGGACGGGACCACCGACCGCCATGTTACTATCACCGGAACTCCAGTCAGCATCAACCTGGCACAGTACCTGATCACCTCCTGGTAAGAGCCCACTGTTAGCAACACTAACAAGGAGCACCAACGGTCTAATTAACAGGTGTAGACCGAATACTTCAGTTACAGCTTTGGGGTAGTTCAGACTTGATGTAATATTTGGTAACGGTTTTGCTCTGGCTTAGCCCAGAGACTGTATGCCCTATAGCCCAGTGTTTCCCAAACTATTTTTCTGGGGACTCATATTTTAAAAGTCACAAACCCTTGTGACCCGAGTCAATAGACATTATTCATAAATCACAAAATAAAGGTGGATTTGACCATTATTGAACATTAATGAGCATATTTTATTGTTGACTGAGTGATCGTGTCTCTCTGAACAATTAGTATTACTGAACGTTCAATTGAAGCAGCAATATTGGAACAAATTATTACGAAAACATTAGAAATTATGCAAAACATTTCAACATTTCTAATGAGATAGGTGGACCTCTCTGTGTTTTTGTAGCACGTTCCAGTCCGAGGTGCAGGAAGAGAGCGCAGCAGCAGATTAAGCACAACGTTCATTCTGTTTCTGTGCTTTCTTCATTTTTGTAAGCACAGAAAATACCAGTTCACACATATATGTAGTAGTGAAACGAATAAGCATAGAAATACTGGCTCTACTGAGGACAGGATATTCTAACGAAATGCTGATCCAGAATGACGATAAGGTCACAGATTCATATCGTCTTTGCAGAATCAGAACTGTATATTGCAGACCGGCATGCAAATTGTGACAAGGCGACCCCCAAAAAATCTCTTGTGAACCACCTGAGGATCCCAGTCTTTGGAAAACAATGTTCTAGCCATTGTGTTCCAAATAGGAAGTGAGCATGAGTGCGTGTCTGGTTCCATCGACTCTGGATCCAATGACTGTATATTGAAATTTGATCACCCCTCTCTCTGTAACTGCTGCAGTGAGCCTCTTAAAATGTTTGTATTAACCCGCTCTATTCCTATTCCCTGCTATAACTGCCGACCTCCTGAGCTTCATTTGGCTGGAGCCGAACGCTATGGTTGTCATCCTCTTCTGTATACAGTCTATGGTTTAGCCTGTGTTTGAGGTAGTTTAGCCTGAGTATGAGCTCACATTTCTTCCAGCTAAGGCCCAGCGGCATCTACAGTCAAGATAATGAACAGCCTCAGGGCCACCCAAAGGAAGTACTTTGTTTTAAAGGGGTCAAAGGTCATACTACAGAGTGATGTGTGATCATGACGTCTGTGCGAGGGTGCTGGTAATTGGTCACAAAGGGAAAAAGGCTTGTAATACATAATAGGTGCATATCAATACAAGACCATAACCCATATACAAGACAGGATCAAAAAGTGAACAAGAGGCTGCTAAGAAGTGCAGTGTCAAAGGTCAACGGTCAAAAGTCATAATCTTAGAAAAGAATGAGTGTAGAACATACATCATCAAGTAGGGCATGGTGCAAGTGGCGATAATTTATAAGGGGTTGTTTTTATGTGTAAAAGGTATAGGCAGAAAAAAAACTCAGTTCAGGATTCATGTTAAATGAACAGTTACACCAGTGTTACCTCTGGACTAGAAAAAGAAAACAAAAGAACAAAAAGTGTATTTTATCAAGTTTTATTTGAATGTCACTCACCGAAAGAAAAAGAGATTTTATATTGAGATTGTCGTGGCTTTAAATGAAAGAACATGGAGGTCTGCATATTTTATTACCATTAAAAAATGACAAATTGTATGTTACTTATAATATAAATGCTTATAATTTGTACTAAACATGTATCTATGTGTTGCCTTTGAATGTAAATTAATTTCCAAAACACAGATTTGATTGAATTTATACTGTATAGGTGTCTCATAAATGAAGACACTTTTTGTAGTAAGAATCGGTGTTTCTTTCTTCTCCACAGGCTATTATAACCACTGTTGGAAAGTAATTTAATACATGTACTGAGAATATGTATTCTGAATAGGGTTGTGCAAAAATACTGAAATATCAATATATCGTATCTTTTAATGTGATGAGACAGTATCAATATTATGGGCTGCTGTATTTATATATATGCTGTATTTTTTGGTACATTTTAGTCAATTATTTTGTTAGAGCATCACAGTTTTGTTGCTTGTTTAGAGGAAGGAAACTCATTTATGTAGCACATTTGACGTTTTCAATGTTTTGATGATTAAAATGTGTGTATTTCATATTGACTTTGCACAAAAAGTGGTTTAACAAAGACTTTTAGTATCACAGCCATGATTTAGCCTTTATTTTTTATTGAACCGTATCAAATCAATTGGAAATATATCTTATTGAATCTTATTGAATCTTATTGAATAATATTGAATCGTAAGATCACTGTATCAAGGTATCGGCAACTTCTTAATGATACACAGCCCTAATTCTGAATACTCATTTTGAGTAACTCTATTCTCGTACAGTTACTTTTTCATTTGGTGGTATTCATAATACCTTTACTTTCCTAAAATCAAAGGAATACATATTAGTATTTGATCATGTCATTAGGCTTTAGACTGCACATAATTAGTGAGAAAAATGGAAAGCACAGCTCTTGTTGCAAGTGTCTGAATGATTTTTCCTTCTAAAATGAGCAATAGCAAATGAGTGAAACAAATATAAAGCTGTTCTTAATACTATGTTGAATTTTTCTCTGTCCCACAGTTTAGAGACAGCCAAGTCCACTGCACAGGCTACCAGTATGTCTGCCCCAGTCGACCTCAACATGCCCTTTGCTCAGCCCTCCTCTCCGGCCACCTCCCCTGCACCCTCCCTGGCCACAATGGGTGCCCTGACACCCGCTCATGTGCTGGGTGCTCCTTATGGTGCAGCTCTCCCTCTGTCTGGTCTGCTGGGAGTCAAATCGATCCCATTTCTGACTCTCTCCAACCCTGCTCCAAATGTGGCGGCGACGGCCGCTCCCTCCCCTATCGCTGCGTATACAACCAAGATCTCCACGGCTAACTGTATCAAGAAGCCTGAGAGGCAGAAGTTTGCTCCTTACTGAAGTTAAACCAGAACTTCTCCAACCTTACATAGCCATAGCCGCTGGCACAGACTATTTTAACTTTTATTTACAAAGACCAACGAAGATGAATTTTAAAATATTTATGAATTGAAAATATTTTGAAGCTTCCAACAAAAGGCGGACTTGTCACTGTTACAACGTTTTGGCTCATTTCCTTCTTGGCTCATCATCACAGTTTTTAGTTTCTGTCAGATGCCCTTCTTGTTGCACCATGGAAACAGCACAATAACACATCTGATTAATACTCTTTTGTGGATGTTGTAAAAAGAGTTGGTCTTTTATTTGAGCAGATTCTATGTTCACAGTTTGAAGGTTGTGCCCTCTTATGTTTGGCTCATTGAAAGTTCATTCTCACATTATCTGCCTCCTGGTGTGAAGTGATTGACTTCTTTTTTAATACCTGATTACCATCATAAAGTAGTTCTTTATTTATCCGGGCTGGGGGTGACAAAAGTACACTGGCTTGTGACTTTTTGTTGCTGGATATTATTACTGAGGACTAGAATACATGTTGGGGGCTCATTCAACAAAAACATGTTATAACCATATCTGTCTAAAGGCACTGGTCAACTGTACTGATCCTATATCTGTAAATGAACCTTATACAAAGTTCTCCAAGTACAATGCTTTTCTATGTTATGTTTGCCTGATGAGGTTTATAAATGTTTGTAATTGTCTAGGGGATTTTTTTTTAATAATTTGAGCAATGATACTGTACTGACTGTTCTGTGTACAATTCAGTGTAAAATCTTATTTTGAATGTTCAGCTAATTCTTAATCTGTAATGTTTCATTTATTAAACTATTTTATTTCCTGCTCTTTTCACAACTTTTAATCAAAGGATCAAAGGTTCCACAGATACTGGCAAGTGTATGCCAGGTGCCTTCTGTTTCTAAAAACTATAGCATATCTATCTATATCTATATCTATATCTATATCTATATCTATATAACTATATCTATCTATATCTATATCTATATCTATATATCTATATATCTATATCTATATATATATATATATATATAATATATATATATATATATATATATATATATCTATCTATATATATATGTTGTGAAGCACTCTGCCCCAGGACACAGTGACAGTATGTGTTGAAACACCAGGCCCTTTAATGTTCTGGAGTCAAAATTCATGGGTCTTGAAGGACTTGAAAACATTTTTATCCAAAATTTAGAAAGCAAACATTATTATTGTCTATGACCAACTGTATTTCCTAATAATTAAAATTAAAAGGTAACCTTGAAAAAAGTAGCTGTGAAAATATTTAAACCTCTGCAATTTACAGTCATGATTAAAAATTAAAAGCTCTCACTAGTTATTCTTCAGCAAACGGCGCCCTCTACTGTCTGACCATGAGACTGACTTGAGACCCCCTCAAACAGATACACAGACACAGTTTGCTGATAAAAGATTGTCTTTAATGTTTGGTATTGTTAATGAGTTCCATACCACAGCAGTTATGGGAGTAGGAAAACCACTATTACAACCAAACACTGTTTGATCATGCTAACACCATATGTACAGGAAAGCACATTGAAAAGTGTATAAAGGATTTCTATGAGTAGAACAGTGGAGACAGCCACAGCCAGATGAATTTGTCCTTTTTCCAAACACCAATTATAGATATTTATCAATTACATTAATCTCTGGATTACATGTATATACACAAAACAACAATAAACGCTTTTGGGGCATTGGCAATAATTCTCAAAAATATTTCACAATACTGCAGTATGTACAATAACAGATTTACAAAAATTCTATTGTACCTATATTGTGAGTATCTCTTCACCCATACGTAATCCTCCACATACTCATAAATACTCACTAATCTATATACTCTATCCTCATTCTCATTCAAAGTACAGCAGCTGCAGTACCTTCTCCCTGTCTGAGATATGTCACGCACTGATGACCCTACATACAAAAATAGATGTTGTCTAGTCAGCTGACAACTTGATGTACAGTAACACAAAGCATCCACCTGCAGGAAAACAACTGTAAAATATTAGCTATATCCTTCCAGCTTGTTCTGCATCATCGAGCACTCCGCTTCCATCTCACTAAAGTAAAACCATGCACTCACTCTGGGCTTTTGCAAACACATAATTAGTTTCCATATAAACAAAATGACTGAAAATCGCTGCAGGCAGAAGAGAAATATCAGCGCAACAAATCAAACAACAACCTGTAACCAAAGCGGAACAAAACCATAGAGAAATGTAAGTAGGTAGATCCATTTTTCCACCAGTGAGCACATAAGAAGTAGTGTTGCTAAATGTCCAGGTGAGAGGTGAAACTGCGTTGAGTGCACTTAAGGCAGGTAGTAGGCATGTCTGACACTGGCCCGCGCCTGTCCACGATAGCCCTCACTGTTACACAGCCGAGAGGAAAGATGAAGGAAGCAGAGACAGATGTGCTGTTGTGTTAGTGTCCCGCAGGTGCTAAAGGTAAGAGTCCTCATGTGAGATCTTCTTTATGTCCAAGCTATAACATCATTCCTCTGTCCACTCCTCCGTTTTATCTGCACCAATCCTTCTCTCACAAAAGGAACAAGTACACACGTCTACAGAGACTTAAAGCACTTGAACAAAATCCAGTTTTGCATCTTGTGCAATATAAATAACATCTCATCTAAATACATTCATATTGTGTCCATACACTTTGTATGGATGAATATTCACCAGTGACTGTAGTGTCCCAGGACCTGCAGGTTATGGAGCTGGCAGCATCAGAGTGCACCACTGATATGACTCACTATTAAGGAGCACTTAACAGTGTTTTAAAAACATTATGGAGATACGCCTTTGAAAACACTACAATGTAGCAAATTTATCAAAATAAGAATATTCTATACTGTAAATGTAGCTTTAAGCACAAAAGTCACTGGACTGTAAAAAGAGCCATCTGTGTTGCATTGTGGTGCAAAATGACAAAGCCAAATGAAGAGCGCCAACAGCTGCACCAACAATCGTGAGTATGGTCATATTGTCATCGTTCACAAAACGGTGGAGTTTATCTCAAATGGAAAACATGCTCACAAACTAGTTGTACAGTTGTGTACAATCATGTTCAAGTCTGAACAGTCAGTGTCTTCATCAACACATAAACTCACTGGAGCAGAAACGCTTGATCCTCTTTTTAGAGCTGTTTATTTCCCTCATCTGCACCAACACAGGCTCTGGTGCCTGTGTCTTTGCAGATAAAGAAATGAAAACAAGACTCGTACTTTTGGATGAATCCAGCCTCATCACTGCGCTTCCTCGTGCTCCTCGCTGATGCACGTCTCCCAGGCGTGTTTGACCCCGTCGTCCCTGTGGCTGTGGGGTGAGTGGAAGATTCGTCTGGGCAGCGGGATGGGCTGAGGGGCCAGCTCCTCCTCTGGGATGCACCCCTCTCTCAGGTAGGGTTTGGGCGGGACCGCTGGAGGAGGCTGAGGTCTGCGGTAGGGGATGTGATGGGGTCCATGGGGGGTGGGATGGTGATGTGAGGGCGGCGGTCCATGTGAGTGCCCTGAATCCAGTCCCATGTGCGGGTGAGCGTGTGGGTGAGAGTGGGCATGAGGGTGGGAGTGCGGGTGCTGATGGGTGTGCGGGTGCGATGTAGGGCTCCGGTAGTGGAAGGGTCGCACTGGGTCCACGGGCTCCAACTCTGACCCCCCATAGTGTATGTGGAGGTACGGGGAGGACATGTACTCATCTGGGGGGGACCACAGGTGACTGGGGAGGGGCTCCAGTGCATCGTTTCTGATGGGACCAGGCTCTGGATACTGGCCCCCGAAGTTACTCTCACTCAGTGAGGACACGCCGCTGCTGGCACTGCCTGATAAAGTGGAGTTACTACCCCCTAGTGCCGACTGAGGGCTAGTGGGCGAACCAGGTATCGGGTGGAGTGGAGACTGGAATGACAGGAGAAAAGGAAAGTTTTAGTACTTCCATAGAGAATCAATACAACAGGAAAAGACATGCAGGATAACAATGTGAGGGAGTGTAACAAAGGACCTATTGAACTCTATAGGGGCTGCTGGTAAAGATAGCCTACATTATATTTGTGGATCAGTCATTTTCCTGACAGCCTAATTGGATGCCAGTGTTTGCCAGTATATATGGAGGAGGTCTTTGTCTTGTGAGTGGGAGCGTTCAATATGAAGACAGATTAACTGCAGAACGATTATAGTGTCAGACCAAAATAACTATGCTCGACTTTTTAATAAAACATATCAATCAAGCATCAGTCACTGTTAACAAATGAGACATGAAAGACAGGAAATGCAGAAGTAACCTATACTACACGTGTACAGCATGAAGTTTTTGTTTATACTTGATGCTTAATAATCATATTCAATATTTAAAAACATTCAGTGTGTGTCTGTAGGTCTGTTATGGTAACAAAGTATAAAGCATGATATACTGCTACAGAGAAATATAAAGATAAATGATAATAGTGAAATCACTTTATGCCATTGACACAAAGCAAGATAATCTCGGTAAACCATTTTTAAATATACTGTATCATTAAAAGCCCTGGCAAAATAAAGTAATAATTAGCCAATTAAGTTATTTGTTCAACCCTCTGCAGCTCAAATCTCACCTTATTACATAAAAAAGCCGAATGTCTCCCCAGTTTTGCAAAGATATTATACACACAATAAGAACTGAGCCCTAAAATATATTGTCCCAGCTTTCATATATTGAACGATAAATCAACACAGTAATTATTGTGTCAGGGTTATGTGTCTGTGTAATACTGCTGAGGAGTAGGAGAAATACTGTGGTGTCAGTCTAACATGGAGGTGACGGGTAAAGGGCATTTTGTTGATTAAATATTCATGGAGTTGGTACCTTTCTGAGGGAGCGAACAGGCAAAGCCGGAGGGGGCTCAGTGCTCTGGTGGTGGAACGCATCACAGTGCATCAGGAAGTGTCCTAAAGGGAGAAAAGTGAAATAGATTTGGTCATCTAAAAGTGGTCATCCTCTATAACTGTATTTATATATTAAATCAATTTTTACATGTATTTAATTTAATGGTTTTACAGATAATACAACAATATCTTCAACTGTTTTAGGGCTCAGTGATCATGACATTAATAAAGGTATTTCAAAATTAGCAGTCCCTTGTTTTTTGTATTTTTTGTAGTCTCACATGACTATATGAGACCTACCCAAACTCTAAAGCAGAACGATAACCAGCATACACTCTCAAAGCAGGCAAGAAAGACAAAATCTGAGCGAAATAGTTCTAAAATGACCTTGTGGAAAGGATCTGGGTGGAGCCGGGGGCATTATGGAACCTCCAGTTGAAGGGGGGATGTAGGACTCTCGGTTGTCACCATCCAAACTCCAGCTGTTCTGTGTGTTTGTAAAGACTGGACAAAACACAAGCATGTCAAACACACACTCTAGCTATAGTTTTGCTTTTACATCAGTGTTGGAAGGTAGTGCAAGTAGTAAAGCACTTTATTTAGTAAAATATTTAGGTATCTGTACTTTACTTATGAACATTTTAAAATTTAACTTCACTATATTTGAGAGCATGTATCTGTAATTTCTACTCCACTACATTTTTGAACTGGACTGAAAAGTAAAAAGTGCTTTTCACGTGATTTTAGACGTTATTTTTACTTTTTACCTTTTTAAAATAAATAAATAAACAAATACAAATACTTTTACTCGAGTACCAGTGCATTTAGTATATCAAGTGCTTGCCTTTCTCTTGCAGGTTCATATGAGGATCGGCACAGGGCTTACAGGGGCTGACTTGCTGGATTAAGGCACGCTGCATGTGGTTGTTCTACAAAAAGAAGCACATCATTAGCGGGTTTTAAAGAGCACCATTTTAAATACAGTGCCTGTAATTAGACAGTTATTATATGCTCTAGGCTAATTGATACCTGTCCATTCTCGGCCATGTTGTAGTACATGTTGTTGGCCCTTTCGCGGTGAGACGGCAGCAGCATCATCACTTCTCTGTTGTGTTTGGCTTTGTCCGGTAGAGATGGAGATCCTACGTGAATCAAAATCAATTAAATCTTCAATACAGTTTTAATATGAGCCCGAATAGTGTTTTTGTTTGGCTGTTTACCTCTGGCACTGGAAGGTGCAGAGTTAATAATCTGGGAAGAGTTGGAGCGAATTGAGCTCAAACTAGAGGAGGAGGGGCTCGGCTAGAAAGAGAATGACATTTATAAATACAATCTTAGACGTCTTAGACATCATAAAAAGGGATGTATGAAGCGAGAATGGCATAGTATGTCATTTCCATGGTTTAATAACCCTGACTAAAAATATCACACTATAACGGTATACCATGGAGTGAAAAGGGCATATTGTTTTCTTATGCCCTACATTACTTTGCAGAGATTTTGAGAAACATAGATCAATTATCAGAGCAAAACAAGTAGCACATAGTGATTAGGTATACTAGGATAGATTACTTTGATAGGCATACTCGTGCATGAACTGAAATAGACTATTCTGTCTTGGTAATTTACATTATCTGTGGCACGATAGGTGTATATAATGAGAATTCATGAATTCAAGGCTGTGAGGAGCAGTGCTTCATCCACAGATCCAGTGAAATAAATGAGGTCTATCAGCTTTGTTAGCAGCCCATCCTCAGGGTATTGGTACTGTGTTGTTGTTGTTTTTGCAGTATTCATCCAACACTGGTGATGGTCCCATCCCTAATATGAAGGTAAATGATGTTTGTACTGACCTGCATGTGCATGGCCTCCTCAGGGTGCTCCCCCATCAGGCCGTCTGTCATGATGACCAGGTTTCCAGCCTCACTAGATGTGGGAGGACAAAGAGGAGGAGGAGTGGCGGATAGAGCCCTGAAGATTCAAAGGGCTGCAAGACAAAAGAATACCATCTCTAGTTCAGATTTCAGGTGACTAAAAATATTGCGAAACCTAATAGTAATTGGAGTTTATAGTTTGTTGAAGGTGGTGGGGCTGACCTGTGCCTGTGCATTAGGCGGATGCTCTCTGGACTCATGTGACTGTGGGTGGACAGGACTCCTCTGGGAGAGTTGACTCCTGTGCAGCCAGCTGGTCCAAACCGGTCCACCCCTGGCACTCCCTGCTGGGACACAACCATAAACAACAGTCAATAACACATTTGTTCAATTACATTAGAATACCCTTGTTAGGGGTGACTGGAGCCTTCGTCAGCAGATATGGCAATTTGGCTGGGTTCAGTTAATGGCCAGATACTCCCTTGGCAAATTAAATATTACACTTATTCAATAGGAACCTTTTAGACTCGCCAATTTACCACTCGTATATTACATATTTGCCAATATGCAATTATCTAAACATTAAACATGATAATAGGACAAATGAAAGTGCATCATGGTGAAATGGTTGCTACAGGATTATAAATAGAAGAATAACTCACGTGATGGAGGCTTGTCCTCATCATGTGGAACTGGTCCACTAGTTTCTTGTGCAGTGGTCTCATTTCTGGATGCACAAGTTTCTCATGGACGGCCAGACCAACCCCGAGAATGTGAACCTATCACAAAAATACAAAAGTATGTCTTATATTGATATGCACATAAATACATATATACATAGATTGAGTTTACTAAATAATATGTAAATGACTGTACACTAGGGGGCAGAGGATTAGCTGCTTTGCCACTGAACATATTATTAAATGTCCAAACATGTATTACTTTTTATACACAGCAAAACCAGCATGACCACAGGGAGGTGCTTAATAACTGACCACATTAGACAGTTAAAAGTTTTGATGTATTTTTAGTCCACACCTGTTCCTGCATGAGATCTTTAAGCTGGGTGACTCTCTCTGTGTCCTCTGGATGACAGCTGATGTAGTCCTTATCAAAGAATGCCTGTAGAGTTCAAATATGATCATTTATTACAAATCTCACAATCTTAGCAAACTATCAATAAATAAATAAATACATTTCCTATTGTAGTACATGTACCTCCTGATATCTAGCGATGCCTCCATTCACGGCTGCGTCTATGACCCCGTTGAGGAGCATGCTGAGAGGGTTGATGTTGCCATGATGCTGCCTGTGCTGGTATTGGCTAATGAGAGTCCGAAGCTCTTGGGTCTTATTCTCCACCACATAAATGGCATTCTCCAACGGGCTCACCTCCACCTGGAAATATTTATTTATTTAGCTATAGCATCAACATAAATGTAAACTAGAGACAACCTGATCAATAAATTATTCAACTTACCACCTCTCTTCTCTCCACCTCGGCCCAGCGGGAGATACCAGGCAGGGGACGGGAAAGAATCAGGGTTGTCCTTTCAATCCAGAGACTCTGTAAAACAAAATTAAGTTAAGAGAATAGGATCAAGAATCATTATCATTCCTTTTTATTTAAGAGTAAAAAACACAAGATGGAAAGGTAGAAAATACTTCTAATGGGCTAAACAAGATTCAAAACATGTGAGAAATGTGCAGTTTTCAGCTGTCTGCTTGATGTTTTACGGCTTTGGACTATCGAGCTTAAAGGGCCCACATTCTGCTATTTTCTGATCAATGTTATAACGTTGTTTCCTCATCAAAAGCATAGGAGTTGTGTTGTGTTTTGTTTTATTCACATCAACACTGCATATTTATTCTTTTTCTCTCAAACTGAAAACACTCCACCTTGCTATATAAAAATGTGACCACTAACCATCCAGGGTTCCCACTCTTTTTCACTGACTAAATTTCAAAACTTTTCCATGAATTTTTCATGACCTAAAGTGAATTTTTCATGACCCTACATGTGTTTGAGCATTCTTTTAGGGCTAAATATGAAACCTTAACTCTTTCCACTCACCTTATGGTTTGGTATTATAATTTTTTAACATTCAAAATACTGTCAGTGCATTTATTGTCATCTCTTTTAAACAAAATAATCTTTTCATTTGAAGAAATAATCATAATAGCCTTACTGATAACTAACCGTGACTAACCTGACCATCAGATAATACAGGAAGTGCTCCACTGTGTTTGTAAACTCTATACCTCTTCACTAGAATTATTTGGATGATTTGCCACAATCTCTACTGAACTAAAGATAAAAGGTAGCTGTTGACTTGAAAACTACCACTTCATGACATCACAAAGTGGAACAGAGCATTTTGAGATTTGGAGATGTAGACCGCCCGATAATCCAGGATTATTCCAACCACTGTGAATGAAACAAAATGCAATCCTGGTATGTTTCTGAAGAGGTAACAACATTCTGACATAACGTAAGGTAACAACAGTCAATTTTACATTATATAGGCCCTTCAACCACTATCCCGTGCACAAAACTGTTGCCATATTCCGTAATGCAATAATATGAAGTTCTTATCAAAGCATATCCAAATCTCAGCCATTACATCAGTTTACCTTATTTGTGACTAATACAGCTGCTGCACAGGGAGACAGCGCTGTAAGGCATTGTGAAATCTTGGGTTTAAATGGGTGAGTCATTTGTCCTAGGAAAACCGTAATTTCTAGTTCTCAAAACAAACGGGTATAATTATTCTCTGCTGTGGTAAATCTGGTGAGACAAATAGCATTTCTTTAAATACATGAATATAGAAGAGGACCTATTTTTGGCCTTTGGGGGTGTTGAGTCAGACTATATCGTTGGGCGCTTTTGTCTGAGCTGTGAATTATAACACATTTTTAAGCACGATATGTCACCTCAGAGAAATATAACGATAAACGATAATATTGAAACTCCTTTATGCTACTGATAAAATAACAATAAAGCACAATTTTTAAATATACTGTATAATTAAAAGACCTGAGCAGCAACAGATAGACAATGAACTGATAAATAGCGTATGGTATTACAGCAAAAATAACAAAAATCACCAATAAAATGTACACACGATCAATTTTAAGCCCAAAAATATATTGTTCCAAATTTCATAACTGAATCACAGTCACAGTCGATATAATAATTCTCATGACAGGCCTATTATTAATTCTTTATTGCGGCTTAATAATGAAATGAAGGGCTGAATGGTTGAATGTTGTTATTTTTGTCATATACCGTGTCATCTGTTATCAGCTATCATTTATAAATCTATAAAAATTGTTTCCAAAAAACTGAAATTTGTGAATGAAATTATGTTCCAGTGCCTCACCCTAAACTCATTCTCTCTGTCTTTGGGGCCCTTGTGGAAAGGCCTGTCGTAGTGAAAGCGGGAGACATTATTTATTCTGTAGAAGCTTTTGATCCTCTCCGGGACGCGCTCCAGTTGAGGAACGTCTGAGATGTCCGACACTGGAGTCACAGCGTAGATCTGCAAGTCTGGAGGGGGCTTGTCAAGGATGGAACAGACTGACACAGCAAAGACATAGACAAGGCTGGGATTTACAGGCAAGGGACAAACTAACTGTAGATTTTGTTGTCTGGATTAAAGAACTCTAAAGATTTTGCACCAAATGCTATCTCACAAATTTTGTTACAGTTTGTCACAATAAACAAGGACAAAACAGGCTCAACCAGACTTGACTCCAAATAAAGATGGACAAAAAATGGATGCAAACAGAAATAGACAAGGATGTAACCCAGAGGATTAAACCAACATCAAATATTCTTCAGTGAGACAATATCAGCACAAAACTAACACTTAAGCAATGTCAGATACACATTTTAAGAATCACTGATCAGTTTAGGATACACTGTGCGTCGCTTTGCAGGATGGTGTCATCAGGTTGGTTGGGGTGCTGCATGGCAATGGCTTGTGGGAATTCTCCCAGCATCCTTTGCTGGAAATCTTCAAGTCGCTCATAATCATACCCACGGCAGACAAACTCCTTGTTCTGGAAAGAGAAGAGAGAAGCTAAAGGACAGAAAACCTTCTATGTGGCTGAAATACAAGCAAATAATAATGTTGAAAATAAAATGTAATTGTTGTGAGATTAGTTCAGTAAATTTTAATCTATACATGATGGGAATATTGTAACATAAGTAGATGTAAATAAGTATTTTGAAGTTGTGGCCCTTTGCTAGAGGGGGAAAAAATCAATGTTTGAATAAACAGAAAGCTATCTGTGTCTCATCTGTTTCTTACCCTGAGGAAGAAGGGGAACTTGCGTCCGTAGAAACCCATTCGGAAAAACTCTGGTTCAATCCTCTGCTGCTCAATGATGTTGTCATAATATGCTGCCTCCATTTTCTGCCACAATTCCAGTAAAAGCATGTGAATATTTTCAATGTGAATGATAAATAAAAGATAACAACCAAGCAAACATTATGATCACTGACTGGGAACAACAGGATCTATTAATAATCTGGTTACTGTGGGGGAGTAGCCTGCCAGCCAAGACTGTAGACTTTTCCTATACTTTACAAAGACTGACAAGCGAATTAACCAATCAGAGAAATGCACGGTCTGTTCACATCAATCAAAAATGCCCACTTAAGGTGAGATAGTCAATTTTTTTTTCAATTCCTCCATTTATTGTGTTGTATTTTCAGTCTGCAGAAATAACTTTTCAAACAACAAATGAGTCTGAATAATTACAACTTTAATTTTTGTGTGCACATTCTCATACACTAAACTTGCAGGTGGAGGAGCCCTGAACCCTCACCATCAATCCTACCAAAGGTAATTATTGCCGTAGCCGAATAACAAAATAATATTTTACTTACTCGTATCCAGCTGAGGCTCTGATAATCATATAAGTTTTCATATTGGAAAGCCAGCTCCCGGCACAACGAGATCCCATATTCCCAACACTGCAAAGCATCAGGAAATAGAAAAGTGATTTATTAAGAAATTATACAATAGATTCTCCAAGCTTGGGAGCCATTAACAGGATGTAGAAGACAGGAAAGAAGAAACACGAATCCACATACATGCAGACGTGCCCTACCTTGCCCTTGTTGAAGTAGTGCAGTATTTTGCGGCTCAGGTTTTCTTTGCGCTGCCACTCACTCTGACAGGGATAATGCAGAAAGTCTCGGAGTGGCCGATCCTCCCACTGCAACAGCTCCCAGTACAGCAGCAGAGTGAAGGCTGCCTCTGTGGGGAAGATACAAGGCACAGGTTAGCAATTAGAACACAACTACATAACCACTATTACTTTAGCTGTTGTGGAAAATTATATTTATCTTGAAGAATAATAATCCATTTTGCTAAACCTGGTGATTTATGAAACACAAAAAAGTCTGTCCACTGAGTATTTAAATCAGAATGAAATAGCATCATAAATTACAAAACAGAGTGACTTTTGTTTCAAACCTATGAGTTACAGGTAAAACAACAAAGGCTTGGCATAGGTTAATGACTGGTTCTGGTAAGAAATCACATGCATTTACACAAAAACAGACTATGACAGAAATCCAGCTCTTCTAATAAGAGTTGGCTAATTGGTGTTTAGTGGAGAGAGCATGTGTACAGTTTAAATTATACCAGCCCCTTTAGCCTCAGTCAAAGCACCATATGGTCTGGGCCACAGGAGAATAGACTGTAGAAATTATCACATAAATGGGCCAGGAGTACTTTACAGAAGACTCACTCGAATGTGGAACAACATTATGTGAGTATTTCTTTCGCTTTTTTATACATAGATATACAAAAAGAATCCTATATGCTTATCAATCGCAAACACAATAATCTTACTTATAGCATGAATTTAGGTTGATGTGTTAAAGTTTTACCTGTAAAGTCTTCTGCTTGGAGATGCAGGTCACAGAGTTTGTGGATGTAACGGATATACATGTCCTCCTTATTCACCTCTGACTTGTAGAAGTTCTTCATTTAAAAATAAAGCAAATAAAGAAAGTTAAAGAGACAGTTTGGAATTTTGGACATAGGGCTGTATTTCGTTTTCTTTTTAGTTAACCAGTGTTGGAGACGTGTGGAGACACTTCATTATTCCATCCAGTCCTTGTATTTGCAGAGGTCGTTGGTGCTAGGCTAGCGTATGTCAATGGCCATAGCTAATCTGCCACTAAAAATTGTCTTACCCACTCCACAAAGCACCCCAAACAAATCTATTATTACAACAGACTGTCGATGTAAATGTCTGTGTTGATAGAATAATGTTTCAAATAAAACTAACTCTGCATCGCATGAATCGTCACATGTTGAGGGACTATTTTCTTATATATTAGTCCGCCGCTGCCAAGCTTTCTATCAGGAAGTACATCTCGCTGTTGCTGCTCACACATAAATCTTTCAAATGGTTGATTGTACTTGTAAAATTATTCTAACACAGACATTTACATCAATAGTCTGGCGTTACAATTGTTTTGCTTTGTGGAGTGGGTAAGACTGTTTTTAGTGTCAGGCTAACTATGTCCATTCACATGCACTAGCCTAGCACCAGTGACCTCTGCAAATACAAGTACTGGATGGAATATTTTAAAAAGTGTCTCCACACGTCTCCAACACTCTGGTTAACTAGGAAATGAGGTCCTATGTCCAAAATTCTGAACTGTCCCTTTAATTAATACAGACTCTAATCATATGAAAAACAAAACGGACAATTACAATAACAGATGTCATGAGATTACAGATGTCTTACCATTAGGTTGACTGAACCTCCAATTTTCTTGTTCTCCATCTCATCACCTTTCAAACAGTCCCTAAATCATGCAAAGTCGTATTAGTTTTCTACAGTATTAAACCAAATATATTAAAAAGATAACTGTTTTATTTGAATTTACCTGTAATCCAGGAGCCGTTCAACTAGTCTCGTAACTGATGTAACATATGAGATTCCTGTTTCTCTCCACGTCTCTTGCTCAATCTTTTCCAACAGACTGTAAATAAATGAAGACTGTCACTTCACGTGGCATTTTAACACCGCATTTAATTAGACATCTCAGTAGTTAAAATTACTTAATGAGCACAGTGGGATCTATTTATATGTATTATATCAGTTTGTCTAACACTAATGAATAATACTGTAATTTACTGCACTTGTTAACCAAATGCTGCACAGACTAAAGGTCCTATATTACAGAACATTGATTCTTGTGAGCTTTAAGTCATGTTATAATGGTGTTTCTTCATCAAAAAGATACTTGTAGTTGTTTTTTGTTTTATTCATACATGTTTGAGTGCTTTATTAATCGACTGTCTGCATCTCCAAAGCTCAAATACTTGTGATAAATAAATACAAATATAAATAACATAATTGTGATGTCAGATAATGGTTCTTTTTAACAGCTATCTTTTACCTTTGCAGAATTTGTGTGTTAAACATGTGTGAATGAAACAAAACACAACTCCATGTATATTTCTGATGAGGAAACAACATTATAACAGATCAGAAAATAGCTCTTTAATGAACACCCTTTAATGAGCACAGAGTGATCTATTTAAATGTATTATATTATCTTGTCTTAGTTCAACACTAATGAATAATTTTCTATTTTTGTATTTGTTAACCAAATGCTGCACAGATTAAACAAAATAAATTCTCAGCTCACCTTGGATACGGACCAAACAATTGTGTCCTTGAAAAAACAGAAGAAAACGTGTTTAGTTTGAAATGTACGAGTGTGCTTTATTGTCCTTTGACTTTGACTGAATAAAGACAGGTTTTAGCTTACAGCAGACTGAAGAGCTCTCTGTGATTATCATCCCCTTTCCCATCTGATACCATGCTGTCCAGTTTATCCATCAGCTCTGCCTCCACCTACACACAGACACGTTTTAACACTGTACGCTTTACTAAAACACTGTTACGTAATTGCAGGTTAATGGTAGATTTGGTAAATGAAATGTCACACTGACCTGCTTGAAGTTTCCGTTTTTCCGTTGTTCCCAGTCCATCATATCATGGAAAATTGGGATCATGATATTTCGGACTTCTGTTTGAGGTACAAGAGTGACTCCGAGGAAAGGGCCCATCATTCCTGGGATGAAATGAGGTTTGTTGTCACCTGGAATAACAATACAACACAAATTACTAACAAAAATCAGAAGATAAAATGTTTCTTTGTTGACAATAAAAATAAATGAACTGAAAGGTAGCGAGACTTATTTTTGTAATCATAACTGGTGCAGTATCTACTCAATAAACACTTAAATGTGCATTGTGTAACTTTTCAGGTGGAGTGTCCATCAAAAGCTTTTCTCCATATTATTGAGATGAGATGTTATTGCTTTGTCTGGAATGTTTCACTGTATAGTATTAAACCTTTCTATCTTTCTAGACTAAACCAGACTAAGCTACAGGTCAGATCTGTGCAGAGGTGACCCCTCTCACAGTCAGAATGCCTGTTGCTCTTGGTATTTTTGAGCTATAAAACCACCTGTAATTTAAAAATTGTAAGGTAGTATGTCATAGTGTGGAACATTTTGGGCAGAGCAATGACACCTCCATGGAGAAAAGCATTTGACGTTAAAGTTACATAGTGCACCTTTGATGATGGGAGCTTACCTAGTTTTTGCCACATGCTATAAAGCTCATAGGCCATGACAACACGCATATCCCCATATCTAAAAGGAGAAGCATTGTTAAGACAAGCCTACAAGAAAAGGGCTATTTGAAAGTGACAACAAAAGAACAACATTAGCATTTCAAATGTCATACTTGTCAAAGACTTTCTTTCTTTTAGCTGGACTCAGAGACTCGAGCTGCAGACTGGGTTGGTTAATGTACAGTACAGTCAGACTGAAGAAAGAGTTCCACACCTGAAAACACAAGCAAATATGCAGTTTATATGTTTAGGGTTGGGTAACAAGAATGATATAAATTTTCTCAACCAAAACCTAAAACACAGGATGATGAAAAAGCTAATAAATAAGTACATATTTATGACTAAACTGTATGTGCTGATTGTAAAACAGTACTACAAAATGCATTCCCACAGTCTAGTGTTGTACTTATATTGTAACTGCTGTTGTTGTTAGTGGATATGTTCTACTCACTTGGGCAAAAGAACAAAAAGAACAATGCTATTAATGTAAATGTAATATACTCAGGCATAAACACGCTGCTATGTTTTTATTTTAAAGATCCTCTATTACACAAAACTGGTTCTTGTAAGCTTTTGTTATAATGTAAGCCATGTTATAATGCTGTCACCTCCTCAGAAACAAACCGGAGTTGTGTTTTGTTTCATTCACACTGTGTTTTCTGATTGAGAAGAACTTAATATGCAAAACGCAACTCGGGGTATGTTTGTGATGAGGAAACAACGTTATAACATAGATCAGAAAATAGCTTAATATGGGGCCTGTAATATAAATATAATGAGATGAATCATTTCAGAGTCAGGTTCTGCTTTACTGTATCATCACAATCATTTAAAATACCGACCTTAAAATCAAAGTCGGCCTCTGAGAAGTTCTTGTGCAGCGCTGGAGACAGGAACTGTGTTGTCACCACAATGATACTGCAGAAAACACAAAGCAACCAATCACTCCGTCATCTTCAAAACAAAATGTCTGCCAAAAATAGATGAGGAAAAATGGCCCGACCTGCATCACCTTCAAGATAATTTACACAGACTGATGGCCAAATGGTCGGCTGCTGTGCTCTCTAAATATTTGAGGGACCAAAATATAACAAAATTAAACTTACTGACTGGTTAAGAGCCTCATCACACTCCAATCTCGAGGGAAGATTGTAAGTTTCATCAGATTTCGAAACACACAGAAGATTTTCAATAAAAACTCCTGCAAAGGGATAATTATTAGTTATTTAGTCTTTTAATAGTAGTGTGGTTCTTAAAATAGGAAGGCGGAGATTTCAAACCTTAAGCTCTTCTTTGCTGTGGAAGTTGTTGAGTAAATGATGGAAGTGGAGCTCTGTCATCAGCCGGAGCAGAGACAGAAGACAAGAAACATACTCCCCCTGGATAAAAGAGGAGGTATTTCAGGAAAATATCAGAATCAGAATAACGGGCAAAAGTAGCTCAGTTGGTAGAGCATTTGTTCACAGGGTTTAAATCTCACTCTTGACACATAAATGCTGTCACTGTGGCCTTAGGCAAGACAACACTGCTTTAGCAATTTGGTACAACATAAAACAATGCATAATGAAAAGAAATATAACCTAAGACCAAATAAAAATACAGACATGCATTAAAAATAAGGTAATTTTACCAACACACTCTATTTGCATGGCATCATGTACAGTTGTAGACACAAAGGCTGGTGCTTACAGTTATCTCGGCTGTACACTGGGGGCAGCGTTGTCCTCTAGATGTCTCCACCGAGTGCGATTTGCTCATGATGGACAGAAGGGTCTGCAGCAGAACATCCAGAAGACTCTCCACCATCATTTCCACCTCCTCCTGCACAGATGACTCCTACCACCAGGCAACAAAGAAAATATAAATGAAAGTCATGATTCCAATACTGTGTTCTGACATTTAAAGATCCTACATTATGGAAAATTTACTTTTGCGAGATTTAAGTCACGTTATAATGTTGTTACTTCATCAAAAACATGTCAGATTTAATAGAGATTGACAATTCCAGGGCTGAATGACTCTAGTGAAGGTGTATGGAGTTTCAAAACACAATGGAGCACTTCCTGTATTATCACATCATGAGTTGGAACAGAGTACTTTCTGTCTGAGAGAAGAACTGTGTAAATATGCAGGATGCGCGTGCTAAACCTATGTGAATGAAACAAAACACAACTCCAGGTATGTTTTTTAAAGAGGAAACAACATTATAACAGAATAGTGTAATATGGGCCTTTAACTTTCATGAAAACTAACTGTACTTTGCATATAAGTGGATGATATTTGGTAAAAAAAAATAATTTACCATAGAGCTTGACTTGATGATGGAGAATATGCTGCCCAGGATCCCTGAACAAATGAGTAGCTCCCTCTGCTGGCGAAGATGCAGATGTATGTGGTGCAGCACTACAGGCAACAAAATGCTGCGTGACTCTGTGTGAAAAAGAAAGTACAAGAAAATACTTTTAATGATGTACAGTATTCATTGTAAAGCTGATGTTCATAACCTAATTATCAATAAATAAATACTTACAAAAAAATCACAGGGTCAAAAAAACCAAACAAACAAAACTACAGTCTCAGCAGTCTACACCTTGCATACTGAAGACTTAAAGGTGCTTTGTGTAACTTTTCTCCGACAGACGGTCAATGGAGGTGTTATTGCTTTGTTTGGAATGTTTCACATTATGATATTAAACCTTTCTATCTTCATGGAGACAAAATCAGACCAAGTTACAGGTCAGATCTATGGAGAGGAGACCCTGCTCAAAGTCAGAATTATTGTTTTTCTGGTATTTTTGAGCTATAAAACCACAAGTAATGTAATAAATGTAAGGTAGAGTGGTTTAATGTCATACTGTGGAACATTCCAGGCAGAGCAATGACATAACCATAAGAACAAGCAGGTAAGAGACTGATAACGAAAAGGTTACATAATGTACATTTAAGTTCTAAGTACAGGGTAAACTGTTGCTAGAAACAAAGTGTGTACAAACAAAATGATCTAAATTGCAACATACTGTACTAAGATATTGTGATCTTTGAAGAATAATACTAAACCAAATTAATTACCTGGGAAAAAGAACAGCCTGCTTTCAACAGTGCGTGCGATGGACTGCAGTTTGACCACATCCATGGACTGTCCAATGTCAACTGTACTGGGCATGCTCCCCAGGGTGCCCCTCACATACTCTGCCACCTCCTGCACCGTGAACATCTGCAGCAGCTCGTCGAAAATATCTGGGAAGCTGTTGAGTAGGGCCGCCTGACGGGAGTGAGGAAAATCAAGAGTTTATCACACCAGAAAGAGGTGGTGGAATTTTCACTGCCAACTTTCATATATACAGCGTGAACAGGGTCAATTCAGAGTACATCGGGTGTAGGCCAAGTCTAACTGGACTTGTCACGATAACACATTTTGAATATACTATTACAGAAAAATGTCCTGCTAGTGATAATATTGAAATCACTTAATATCACTGACACAATACCCCCAAAGCAGGATAATCCCAGTAAACCTGTTTCAGAGTGAATCATATTGTAACAAAAACAAGATAGCAATCTTAAGTAGCATAATTAAACACAAGGGATGTAACGATATCTAAATCTCTCGGTACGATATTATCACAATATGCATCTCACGGTACAATATTTATTGCGATATTTTAGAGAGGCCAATATATAACTGTAGACCGGTAACTTTTTTGCTTTTAAAATACCTTGACAATATTTTTGTACGAATTATTTCGGTCATAATCCCAAGAATTCAAGTAAAAAACATATTTCTTCATGTTGCTTGCACTGAAATGAATCATGGGATATGTAGTTCCCTATATCCCTGTTTATAAAGTGTTGCTACTGTATAAAACAATGCATTTAAGCAAAGGAACTTGTAATTCGATATATTGAGAGACTTTTGACAATATGGTATCACCACATTTCAGTTATTGTTAGATCCTTATTAAACACTTAAACACAATAGATGTTTTTAATTGATATAATACAGCTCAATTGTTACCAAAAAGCTAAATACTACAAAAAATCCCTGGTACACACACTTCTTTCTATCATATATTGAAGTCGATATTATAATATAATAATTATCTGACAGGCCCAAAACCAAATCTTTATAGGAAATAAGATCTTATTTAACACCGAAGAGCCCTTATGCCCAAATAAATTCTATCATAATTTTTAGAGCCTAGAATACAATATAGATTTAATCACAAGTCATGCAGTTAGTATCCTTTTATTAATCTTTATTAACGAACAACTAAAGCCACCATCACTTGCCCAGAGCATGACACAGGCTGAGCAACAGGAGTGGGTGGGTAAAAGTGTCTATATTTAAGCACAAAGCCGCATTAAACAGGAAATTAGTGAATCACGATATGAGAATTTAATCAAAATATCAGATCGTCACAGGATCTGATTCATTCATTTTTGTATTGCAATATTGCCCAGCCCTCATCTTTCAGTCAGCGTACACATGACAAAGCTTTAGGCAAATATAAGCAGCATAACAACAAAATGTATCATGTATAATGTATAATGCAACCAACAGAAAGCAGAGTGACTTACTGGGATGTAACAAAAACCGGGAGAATGAACATAGAGAGCCATGCATCTGTTCACACGTCTACACTGTCCAAAAGCAAACCAACACTGGGTCAATGAGACTGAAACATGCAATGTGCAAAAAATATCACTCCTGAAAAGAAATAGAGCATGCAAAATGATTCAAATTAAATGATGACAAAATTAGCAAGACACACTCACCAAATAATCATACAGATACAGGAATATGACTGGATAATAGATGTAGATGTGAACTATTGTGTCTAAGAATACATATACGGAGAGTTCAATAGCAAAAACAGATATGTCCATTTTGAAAAAGTACCAAAAAATGTTGTTATTTTTTTCAGATATTATCAATGACAATAATGTACAGCGGATTGTATCAATAAGGGATGGAATAATATTTTAACAGCAGTAAAATACATTTGGCTTTTGAAAATATTACCACTAAGAGTAAACTACAAGCTTCCAATTACTTTTTCAAATGGCACTTATCCGTTTTTGCAAATGAACTCTTCATGGTGAATTTGGCAGTGAATTCAATTAGTAGGGTTAACAATTTCATAATATAAAGTTTAGTTGTTTATCAAGCCTGATCTTTCTGACCTGTGTGAAGACCAGATTCTCTGAGCTCCGTGAGTCCAGACTCAGGACAAAGCGGATGGACTGGAAGAGCTCCTGGATACTGGCTCTAAACTGCTCCTCCTCCATCCCACAGGTGGCTCGTGAGTACAGGATCCGAGACTGCACAATGAACTTGAACAGGTACTCCAACGCCTGGGCAGAATCAGACCACACACTGCATAAAGAAGTGGACTAATGGAGTGTAATGTCACCCACAATCTTGAAACTCACAAGGCTATTTTAGGATTACGAATTTATTTACAGGGCAAAACACCAAAATAATAACACCAGGAGCATGTAGTCTGGATGAATATGAAAATTTTAAGACTAAAATTACGAAGCTCACTGCAGCAGTTACAGAGAGAGGGGTGACAATTTTTCAGTGTTAAGTCAATTGGAGCTAGAGTCGATGGAGTCAGAAACGACCCCCATGCGCACTTCCTATTTGGAACATGGTGGCTAGCGGTTTAGATATGTCCATTTGTATAAAGAGAAATAATAGAGAAAAATAAAGTTTCAATCATTTTTTCCTGGGTTAGATCAGAATTTGAGAGATACTTTCACACATAAGTTGAAATAATATTGAAATAAAAAAAAAACTGAAAAAAACATATATAAGTCGCACCGGATGCATGTTTGCGAATCGTAACATTCTACCATTCTAAGATTCGCAAACACGCCAGCTGTACAGGAGTAAAAAGAGTAGCAGATACTGACACACAAGCCTAGAACATCCTCTTGCCACTGTCATTGTGAAAATTTTAATATATAAGTCGCACTGGAGTATAAGTTGCACGACCACTCAAACAAACAAAGTGTGACTTATAGTCCGAAAAATACGGTATGTGTTAAAAAGCAAAGTAGCATTATTAGCAACAAGGCATCAATAGAATTATTATTTTATGGCAAATATAAGGAAACTATAAGAACAAGAGCACTGAAGGTTTAAGGGATCTGTAATCACTGTTCAGGTTTCAGATCCAAACCAAGCCAAAAACACTCTACTTTCAAAAAATGTTTTCTATCTATAAGCTGTGCAACTCTATCTTTTCATGCAGTCAGATTACAACAGAAATCCAAGGACTGGACTCTCACTAAACATCAATAACTGCTTCCTTTATAGATTAATCAGCATTTGTGTCAGGACAGCAGACGATAATATTGAAAGACCTTCAAGGCTTTGTGTTACTATGTATTGGTTTTTACACTGAGACCTTTTTGTCAATGGGTTTTTCTTTACGTGACCTCTATAAAAGGTAAACAGGATGTAATGTTGCAAATGATGATCCAATAAACAGTGTTGATGTTTCACTCCTCAGATTATTATTATTAGAGCTTGGTGAATGGTTGGAGCCAGTGGTGGAAGAAGTGCTCAGTTTTGTTAATTAAGTAAAAGTACAGATATCAAAGAAAGAAAATATGAAAATTAAGAAAAGTAAAAGTATCACATCAAAAAAGGTTTCCGCATAAAATTTGTGTTTTGGAAGATTTTGAGGTCTAATAAAGCTTCAAATGTGGTGATTTTGATAAAGATTTGTGTTGAATTTTGTTCAACAGAAACAACTGAATCGAATGTTTTGTTCTAGCAGTTTTTATTTGTATATATATTTGTTTGCCCAGACTACAAATGTGTTAAAAATAAACCCTCAGGCTTTTCAGCAGGTCTCAAACAATCATAAAAAATACTTTTACTTTTCAGTTCAGTTAAAAATGTAGTGGAGTAGAAAATACAAACAGCTTCTCTCAAATGTCATGAAGTCAAAATAAAACATATCCACTTTAAAATATACTTAAGTAAAGTACAAAGACCTAAAATTCATACTCAAGTATAGTACTTTACTATTTTCACTTTGTTATGTTTTGCCACAGGCTGGAGCTGGGCAAAACAAGTATAATTTATAAATAGGCCACGGCTTCAAAACTGTACAGAATCAGTCTTACTACTAGTGTAAGAGCTAAAGAAAATTGGATATTGCAAATTTTTCATAAGAAGTAGTTTATACTTTACCCTCATTGCCTCTTGGATGTGGTCCTGTCTCACAACCTCAGCGGATCGATCCATGTACCACTTCAGACACCGGATCAATTCTCTGCACACACACATTTGAATTTATTGTAGTTCAAAGCTTTTGCATAACGTCCCAAATCAAATCATCAATCATCAACCCTCTCGATAAAATATGATTTACTTGTATGCTAATGCCCCAGCAAAATTATTCTGGATGTAGGCGTCCATGACAGGTCTGAAGTGGTAGAAGCGGCTGTCCCTGAGCAAGTTAATGATGAATACCTGGAAAACAGCAATGGAATATGAATTTTAGTCATTTTTACATAGTCTTATGTAAGGATGCTTGTTTGTACATGGTTTTTTTTTACCCTTTTGTTTATTTATTTATTGTTTTCATTCAATTTTGTAGCTTTGAGGAGGGTGACCAGACGTCGTTTTTTTAACCAGACAGTCTCAGTTTTGAACCCCGTGTGTCCATCAGATTCATCCAAAACATATCACAATACACAATAAATCAAATCAATAAGAGGATTTTTTTTTCATTCGGTGACAATAAATCAAATCAAAACTACTGATTTGTCCCACTTTTATGTAAGAAATGTGCCAGGTGTTCATACTTTTGACAAATTCCATACCAATAAAAAGGGGAATATATTGTCATTGCCAAAATATAGAAACCTGTGCTTGAAAATGAGCACATAGCTGCACCAACAGAAGTCTCTCAGATTATATACTGACCCACAAGTGAATAAAAAATGAACACTGTTACACACTCTTTTCATAATTTTATCCACCATCCCAACCTGCATGTGTCCCAGTTTTGAATTTTGAAAATTTTATCACCCTAGCTTTGAGTGCACAATATTTTTAACTTTCTGCACAGTTCGGTTTTAAGAGGTTGACATGTCTGTGGGATCAGTACTGTTTCCTACCAGTGACTGGAAAACCAACGGTCCATATTTATCAGTGTTGTCATCCAGGAGACAGAAAAGAGTGTCCAGAACATCTCGCAGGAACTGTTGAAAAGAAAAAAATAGACTTATCACCAGATCATTACTTGAAAGAACATCAGAGTGATAAAAATACACACAGCTAAACCCTTTACGAAAAGCATGACAAGATCACAAGACAGCAGGCATGACAGTATAGCACACACCAGGAATGACATGCACATCTGTCAAATATACAGCTGCAACCAGCAAATTATTTTTATCTTTACTGCAAAACCAGTGATTATGTTTTATTTTTATTTTTTTTTATGATTATCATGTTTGCCATTTTATATTAAATTTGTTGTTTTCTAGAATGTGATTATGAAATATAAAATCATCTCTATACATTTCAACTCCTTTTCGTGGTCCTTAATCTGTATCAAATTGGCCTATAGAATGTTCTGATCTGAAGAACTGCACTTTTGAAGATTCTCGGCTCTGTCCCAATCATCTTTGAATCATTATTTGGAGCTTGTCAAACTCATTTAAATATCTGTTCTCGCCAAATTTCTCTGTTTCTAACACGTCAACCGAGAGGACAAAAAGATCACTTGTTGCCTAATTTTTTTAGAATCCCAAAAAATTAACCAGTGCTAAATATTCTTAATGTTATGTCGAACATGAGTGTTAAAAGAATTTAATGTCACTAACTTTGACAATCTCCTCTCCATTGATCTGACGCAGTCGTCCCAGGATGTCCAGCACTCTGTCGGGGTGGGCTTTCCAATTCAGGAGGGCAAGGAGGTCCACTGCAAACAAAGAACATATCAACTAGATTTAAAGGTTCTATATTACTCAAACTGACTCTTGTAAGCTTTAAGTCATATTAGAATGGTGTTATCACATAAAAAAGATATCTGGAACTATGTTTTGTTTCATTCACACGTTTGAGTAACCCTTTATTATTAGTTGGCCTACATTTTCAAAGCTGAAAATAATCTGTTAAAAGTTTTCAAGTGAACAGCTTCTTTTACCTTTAGTTCAGTAGAGATCAGTAGTTCCAGGGATGAAATTATCCAAATGATTCTACTGAAGGTGTATGGAGTTTAAAAACAAAGTGGAGCACTTCCTGTATTACTATATGACACCACTAGGTGGAACAGAATGTTTTATGTTTAAAAGTTGTTGTTTTTTCTACAGATTCTAACATAGATCTGACTAAATTTACTCCCTATTACTCCCTATAAGCCAGATGGACAGACATGGAGAAAAATGGCAACTGACTTAAAAAAGTATTTTTCAGAGATAGTACCATTCTGTGTGAGTTTGGTGGAGCAGAGGATGGTTGAGACCCAAAAGGTTTCCTTGGGGCTCCTCTGAAAGGGCAGGTTGGCCGGAAGATTTGCACAGCTGTTAAAGTCTTCTTTACAGCAGGGCAGACTCAGGTACAGGCCCTGATTGCTGAAAGTGGCGTTCTCATCACACTAAAAACACACACAAAAAAGATAGAGAATAGAATAGAACAACTAAAGCTATTGGGACAGAATTTGTATTCTTAATCAAAAATAAAATAATCATTTACACAAAATAAACATACATAATCAGTCAAAAATTTTGGACTCGTCCTCTCAGTTTCTTTTTTCTTACTATTTTCTACATTTTAGATACACACAGAAAGCATCAAATATATGAAGAAAGATATGGAATTATTTAGTAAAGGAAAAAAGTGTCATAACTTTTCGACAAATTGGAGAATTTGTTTATAAAATATAAGTTTTTAATATTTAGTCACGAGTTACTTTATTGATCCTGAGGGAAATTTAGTGATGTCTTCTGTATGTATATCAAATGTAGAAAGTAGTAAATATAGAAAAAAAACTGAGTCCAATCTTTTGTCAGTTGTATACATTTAAGAAACTGGTAAGTCATTATAAATGTTCTTACCTTATACACGTACAGCTCATGGACCTCATCTGACAGAGTGGTCCCATCTTCTCTCATGAGAGGAGTGAATGCGAAACCAAATAGTTTCTTCTCTCCTTTATCTTTAGCTGTAAACAAAAACAAAACCTTTCATTTCATATGTTTACACTGACGATCAGTGCACTGCGTAACTTTTCTGGTGGAGGGTCTGCCACCTGCTTGTCTCCAGGAGATGTTATAGTAAAACTTGGCCCTACTGTCACCTGCTGTGTAATGCCATAGTGTGGAACATTCCAGGCAATATCGCCATGGAGAGAAGCAGATGACAGACCATCCACCTATAAGTTACACAGTGCACCTTCAAGTGATATATAACCAAGAAAATATATTTTAATAATAGTTCTACTATTCACTTGGATAAATATTGTGAGTACTTCTCTTCCTCATCTGCCAAAGTATCCTAGAAGAGCAGTACTTACTGGAGCAGTGTCTGAACTCAAAGCGCAGGTGGGACCCCCTGAAGCGGTCGATGGGGATGGGCAGTTTGACCATCTCACTCCAGCGCGGGCTATTGTTGTGGTACAGGACGAACGAGCGGTACTCAGACGTGTTGGGCTCACCAGTGCCCAAACTGATGCAGTCCTGGAGAGGAAATACATGACGAGGGCTTTAATCTACATCTGGACTTATATTATCATACACAGAGTGAATGGATTTATAATGAAAATAAAACTATAACTATTTTAATTAAAGCTGTAAATGACTAAGCTGAGGAAGAGGGAATTATGATAAAACATTAACATATTTTACACCCAACAGAAGTACATCTATGAACACCCCTTTATTCTAATAACTATAAGTGTTTACAGGTATAAATGACTAATCAGTAGAAGGACTAACACATGACCTACTAACAGCACTTATATATTCATGCACAACAACAAAAAGATGAAAAAGTGAGATGTTTTAAAACTAATCATGTGAATAATAACTACATTACCAGTCAAAAGTTTGGACACATCATCTCAATCAAAGTTTTTTTCTATATGTTTATTATGTATTATTTTATTATCTATATTTTATAAACAAGCAGAAGAAATCATATATGAAGAAAGATATATTATATATTCAAATCCTCATCCTTCATATTCAAATCCTTATCCTTTATCAAAAAATATTTAAGTGTAGTTAAGAGTGAAATAAATTATTTAACTTTTTTTCTTTACTACATAATTCCACATATCTTATATAAAATGTAGAAAGTATTAAAAATAAAGTGTCCAAACTTTTGACTGGTAGTGTACATTTTAAAACAGAAAAACAATAACATCTTGAAATAAATGCCAAAAGTACAATATATAGACTGTCATACTTTGAGCGTGTCCCCGTCAGCATATAGGACATATAGTGTTACTTCGATGTTCTTCTGGACGCTCTTTCCTCCTCGCTCAAACTCGCCTCGCTCTAGGGTCAAGTACAGGTCATTTCGTGTGTCACCTACAAGACAACAAATAAACAATGACAAACAGAATCAAGATCACATTGTTTAATTATCAAAGACAGGGGAGGAAGTTGCTTTCAGCTGACACTGGTCTAATTATAGAGTAGGCATGATCTCAGAATATTATGCATTTTGAGTAGCTTGAAAGACTAAAAAGGTTTATAAAAATAGGATAACCAAATACATAAGAGTTTGTGAGTATAAAGCAATAGAACAGTTGCCTTTATTGTTGCATTATAAGATATTATTTATATTATAGTTATTTGTGTCCTTGTCATTTCCTTTGGGACTAGTGAGTCATGGTCAGCCAGGTTAAGGTTTTTAATAAAAGTTCAGAAAATATCCAAAAAGAGAGAAACATTAAACCTCTAGTAAATTGTAAAAATGTTGTGGTATTCTATTTTAGCTCAACCAAATTTAAACAAATTCCCAGTATTTTATGTCAGTGAATATAACACAGTAACACAATATGGTGATTGTGGTGCCAACAGACAACCAGACTGCTTTGCCCATAACACAGAGCCCATACACAGAGGCGGCGCTACCATTAGGCAACAGTAGACAGCCTCCTTGGACCCCCAAACCTGGAGGGGCCCCCAACCAATTGCCGTCAGTGCCACTAGTGGCGGAGGCCTGAGAGCAATTAGATTTTCTCTCAAAATGACATTAAATGAGAGTAGTTTACTTTTAAACAATAATCATAAGAAAAATAATAATCATCATATGTAATGGATGTAACCAAAAATGTATATTAGCAAAACATAAAACTGCAGTTTTGGTTATCTAGTAGGCTACTGAACTAATGCAACAAGTTTCTAATGCACTATAATAAAAAACATAGATATATATAAAAAATAGAGATGTGCATGTCTCAATAAGAATTGGGAAAAACAGACAATTATATATATATATATATATATATATATATATATATATATATATATATATATATATATATATATATATATATATATATATATATATATATATATATATATATATATATATATATATATAAAAAAGGTGCATTATATCGAGGGCCTCAAACTCAAGTTGACCTAGGGCCCCCATATTGCTAACTCCACCACTGCCCACACAATACAGTAAATATGGAGTGATCACATCGTGTGTGTCTGTACTGTTCATATTTTGGTCCTTGGCAGCAGTGGTGCTAGTACCAACTGTATTTAAAGGTCACAAAATTGACTCTTGAGAGCTTTAAGCCATGTTATAATGCTGTTACCTCATCAAAACATACCCAGAGTTCTGTTTTGTTTCATTCACACATGTTTGAATAAACCTTTATTATTAGTCTTTCCACAGCTTCCAAAGCTCAGAATACTCTTCCACTTTGTGATGTCATGTAGTGATAGTTTTCAATTTAACAGCTACATTTTTACCTTTTGTTCAAAAGAGATTGTCAATCCCAGGTCTTAAATCATCCAAATGATTTTACTGAATGTGTATGGAGTTTAAAAACACAGTGGAGCACATCCTCTATCATATGACATCAGAAGGTGGAACATTGTATTTTTCTTTTTGAGAGAAGAATTCAGTTTAAATATGCAGAGTTTGTGTGTTAAATCTGTGAATGAAACAAAACACAACTCCAGGCATGTTTGTGAAAAGGAAACGACATTATAACAGATCTGAAAATAGCGTAATATGGGTCCTTAAACAAATCCCATGAGTATTTTCAGTCACTGTCTGTGGGTATAGTTGCAGCCAATCTAAACCAAAGTGGCTTCTTATATCTTATACACTACTCTTTTCGAACTGCACTTAAAACATTTTACAAGAAAGACCTTCCCACATCCATCCTGCACTAATGGACACCCACGCCCCCCACCCACACACACACACACACACACACACACACACACAACCACACACACAACCACAGCAAGGTGAATGAAGAGGACACAACAGCAACAATGATCTGCTACAACAGACCATGAATCTTTAGGTAAATGGGCAACCTGCTGTACCGCCTGAGCCACTTACAGTACATTTATTTGATGGTTTTATATGAGAGGATAGGACCTTTAAAATAAGACTCCAGTTTGAAGCAGCGGTCTCTTGTTCTGGGCAGCTCAGATGGTTATTGATGGAAAAGCTCTCTCCTTGACTGACTAATCCTTCTCACATTTCATCCCCTGTGTCTCCAGGAAGTATATACTTATCACCTCTAACACTGTCTCCTGTGGACCGATCAATGGAGGCAATATGGAAAATTAAACAGGTTATTTTCAATTGCATTCAAATGATCGACCGTCCTTGTCAAAGCCTGTTACTAAGCCCAGTGTGTACTTTTGCATTGCCAAAGTGAGTTTTTAGTACAAATTTTAAAATGTCTTCTATTAAAACTCAAGATTCCCAAACACAAATATAGCCAGGTATGTTATTCCTTCTGTGCTTTTTGTGGCCAGCTGGTAATGTTGACCTTTCTTTATTACTTTATTCCCTCTCTCGTTTTCACAATTTTCAGATTGTTTGCTGATTTAGTGGTTCAAGCTCAACCTGTTAAAAGTACTGGGTAAATTTTTCACTGTGAGATAATTGGTGTTTAGTAGAAAAACTACAACAAAAGCACTAAAAAGTCAAATCTGTAAAACAGCCTTGAAGTGATGTTTGGTATCAAGTAATTAAAATATTTGAGAACAGCTTTGACCTCCTACACTCTGCTCTCTAGATATCAGTCCTCTTCCTCTTGGCTATTCATTCTTCGAAAGAATTTTTGAAAGATTCACCTTGGAATTGCGATGTGTGGTTTATTAGAGACAAAATGTTTAATTTAGTTGCTGCTTAGAATTACAGTAAAGCAAGATGATGTTTTGTGTTCAGTGGGCTTGTATAAAGCTCAATTCAAACAACAATGTGAAGCTTGTCAATAAAATACTACACACTACAACTGTCCACCAAATAGGGCTGGATCGTATTATGTCACTCTTGATATATAATAGGGATGTAACAATAACCGAAATATTGTGATATCGTATTGTTAAAAGTCTCACAATAATATCGTGGGCTGTCTCAATATACTGAATCACAAGTTCCATTGCTTAAATGTATGGTTTTATAGTAGCAACAGCTTATATGTATAGGGAACTACATATCCCATGATTCATTTCAGTCCAAAGAACATGAAGAGATATGTTTTTCACTTGAATTCTTGGATTATGACAGAAATAGTTCACACCAAAATCTTGTCAATGTATTTTAAAAGCAAAAAAAGTGTCCCATCTACAATTATATTGCAATAAATATCATACTGTGAGATGCATCTCGTGATAATATCGTACAGAGAGATTTGGATATTGTTGCATCCCTAATATATAATGTTGTTTGCAATATGAAATCTGAAATATTGTGATATAATTTACCGCTGATTTTCCTTGCAGCAGTTTAAGGTGTGAAACACAGAAAGAACGTGAGGAGTGGAAGCGAAACGTATAAATATCATGCATGCACTGATACCGATACTGGTATTGACTATTATTTATCATTCATCATCTTTATTCTGGACTCATGGTCCATTTTTAAAACAGACAGTGACATTACAAAACACCAAACATTTATGTTTTTAAAAGACAACCATACCAGTGTCTTGACATGTTGGACTGATATCTTATTGCACTGAATCTCATATTTGTGAGTGGCATTATTATTTCGTTGTCCGATTTGTTCAGTCTACAGATAAAACTGTACTATTGATGCCAATATTGAAAAATTGGCTGGATTGTGATTAGGCATTAAACTGAATTTAATGAGACAATTTACAGGCAGATTTTGGCCTAAGATGTCTCATAATGGTTGCACCTTTTATTCAAACAAAGCTGTAGTGGTCTGTAGTTATGTGAAGGATAATTAACAGTTGTAACAAAATTGAATCTCTTGTGTAATAATTTAACTGTGGTTTAAAGAAATAAGTGCCATTTTCCCTTCCTACACTAGTCCATCTTTTGTCTACCATCAGTTATTTGCTCTGTCCTCCTACCCATAGACACGAAAGCACATCTAAGGTCCTAGTTTAACTCATCCACCCTTCCCCTGCGATGTTGCCTCTCTCCTTGTCATCTCTTCTCCATCTCCCCTGCTCACTGCTCTGAATGTGGGTTACTACTGTCAGCATCAGCCCCCAGCTTAAACACTGTACCAGAGACCAGAGATCGCATTTTGGACTGATATGAGGAAATGTTTTACAAAGAGAGACAGAGCGAAGATAAATCAGAGAAAAAGGAGATTAGAAGTACGAAAGGCGGTGGTTGTAACATGCCATATGGCGCCGTTGTCATGTGCCAACATTTTGACACCCTTAAGCAGCAAGTACCAGCTAAACCCAGCCAAACGCTTTTCAAACATCCATAAATAACAGTTAAAATGGAGGTATTATGCATTATTTCATTCTGTGCTTGCATCTATTGGAGTTTCAAGCAGACCCAATTCATATTTATTGCAGCTATAACTGGTTGGTAGTAGCAGTTTTTAGTGGAAGAAGAAGTAATATTTAGACCATCAAATCTTCAGTGGATAAATGGCCTTGCTGCAGAGAGAGTGTACAGTAGTCTAATGATAAGATGGATGCTAATCAGTACTAATAAAATGCACATACAGAGGTCTCATAGAGGTAATTTTGAAGCATGATATATTGCTACAAAGATATACTGCGATAAACAATAATATTGAAACTACTTTATGCCACTGATAAAATAAAAAATCAGGATAATCCCAGTAAACCAAACAAATAAATAGCCAAATTAAGTCATAATTAGCCATAGAAGTTACTTATTCATAGCCAGGCAGGGCCACCTAGTGTCTCTGCTCAATTTCATTTCTCTACGAATACACTAAATGGTTTGTAAGAACCCTGGAGTTCAGGCACCAGCCAATCAGCGAAGAGCCATACATTCTGTGTTGGCAACGATTCCCGAAATCGAGGATTTAAAACCAAAATAAAAAGAATGTTTGGTGGATTTTATCAGGGCAAAAATATTTTTGGTTAAATTTAAAAAAAGTACCGACCCACCTTCGAGTGAATGAATTCTAATGCTGCAAGGTCAGACAGGTGATGAATCAGGCTAACTTATTTAACACTTTGCAGCTCAAATCCTTACGACCTCTTGTATATAACTGAGATATTTGTATTACTATATTACTTCTTTTACTGGTACACATACATTTATATAATTATTCCTTATTTGACACCAGTCTCTTGCTATTTTTTCTATCTATTTTGAATGTATTATTACCATTTATATTTTTTGCTGGTTATTATATTTATTGTGAGCAACTGTGCACAAATAATTTCCTTTGGGGATCAATAAAGTTTGTCTAAGTCTAAAAAAAACAGAAACCTCCCCACTATTGCAACAAAAATATGCACACAATAAATATTGAGCTTTCATATTATTAAAGTCGCTATACTAGTTATTGTGGCTGCATATACACAATATTGTTTGTCTGAAACTAGCTGAGGAGATGCTAAAAATATGCAGACGTCCTGAACAATTACACAGTGTTCCCACAGATCTCTCACTAAGGATTGTCACATGCAGCACAATCGCAACCATCCAATCTCCAAGTGCCAGCAGCATCTACTCAGAACTGCAAAAATATGGCTCTAAGATACACAAAAATAGCTCTTTCTGCAGCCAAAACAAATGCGTTTCTCCATACAACCAGATATACTCTGTAATAGATCTCATCAGTCTGTATTTAGTGGGCCAAATCCAAGAGTCAGAACTTTATGAACATTACATAATCTTTGCAAATGAGGAAATAATGTACTCAGAACCATGGTAGTTTAGGAGGTTAAAGGGCCTAATATTACGGTATTTTCTGATCTATGTTACAATGTTGTTTCCTCATTAGAAACAAATCTGGAGTTATGTTTTGTTTCATTCACACATGTTTAACAGACAAATACTGCAGTTCTTCTCTCAAAGAGAAAACATTCCGTTCCAACTTGTGATGACATGTGGTACTACAGGAAGTGCTTAACTGTGTTTTAAACTCCATACACCTTCACTAGAAGCATTTGGATGATTTCAGCCCTGGAATTAGCATAAATGGTAAATAGTCACATTTTAATATAGCGCTTTTGCACCTTAAAGGCACTCAAAGCACTTTACATCAAGGAACCACTCACACATTCACACACACCTTCACACACCAGTGTACACAAACACTAGGGGCAAGGTGGGTTAAGTGTCAAGGACACAACAACAGCATTCATCTGTGGGAGCAGGAATCGCACTGCACTATCACAAGGCTGAACAGAGCATTTTGAGCTTTGGAGATGTAGACAAACTAATAAAACTGTTACTCAAACATGTGTGAATGAAACAATATGCATGTTTTTGAGGAGATAACAATATTACAACAGCTCACAAGAGTAAATTTTGCATAATATAGGATCTTTTAGGATTACAATTCCCTGTAGCCAAAAGCGTAGTCACGCAATTGACAGGAAGAGGCAATAGTGTTTGTGATTGAACAAACCTTTATGTTATAGAAAAGAAATCAAAATAGCCATGGAACAACTTAATAAGCTGCTGGGTCATTACTGATAAATACTGTTATGCAATAATTTTGAATGAATGATATGTTTAGTATTGAGCATTTTAAGATTACATTGGTTTAACGTTAGAAATTACTGAAAATCCAGTCATTACCAGCAGAATAGAGAAAAAAAAAGCATCTTAAACGAGAGATAAAGCATCCTCCACTTAAAACAAAATTAAGATTATCTTTTGAAACTTTTCACCATCCATAATTTCTTAATGGTAAAAACATGTTTTCAGTATTCTCCATGATGTGGGAGTGTTTTGTGCCTCCTCTCCTTGACCTTTGCTTGTCTCCCTGCTCTGCTTCCTCCTTACTGTATGAATCTCAGACCACTCTCTGTTTTCCTTCCTGGAGCCATCTGGCCTCTGCTCTCTCCTTACAACTCCCGCTCTCTAACCCCATCACCACCACCTGCCCTCAGCTCCTCTACCCCCCGCTCCTCACCGCCTTATTGCCTCCTTACCTGGCAGGATGACATCTGGGAAGCCTAGTTTACGCGTTATAGCCAGGGCCCTGTTGAAGACGGCTTGGTTTTCTCTTCGGATCTGCTCCAGCTCGCCCCTCAGCAGCTGTAGGGAGATGATCAAGCCTGGGGGGGTACAAAACAAAAGAAGGGGTAAGTGCGGTCATATGGAGAAGTGGGTGTTGAAATAAAAGTAGAAATTACATAGAAAATAATACACAAGAAGGATGAGCAGATAAGAAAGGGTTATTTAAGGGACATTAGTCAGAGCGTGGGGGAGGAGACAGACAGGAGGATGGAGAGAGATGCATGATGGGAGCCAGAGAGAGCAGAGGGACCTGGAACAAATGCTTGAAAGCAGGAAGAGGCCATGTAAAGATATGTGTGATGATAATGTACACTCATGTGTTGGTATTTTTGTCACACATGAGTCACTTAACAGTTATATACATACAGAAAACATGTGTATGCAAAGGCACGGCTAAATTTAAAATAGCTGTATTGCATAATTATGTATTTGGTTTTTTTTTTTATTTTGGACATATTTATTCATATGAAAACACTAGCACAAGCAATTCAAAGTTGGTGAGAAATATAAAAGAACAGTTGAAACTATGCCTTAAGACCTATATATATGAAGATGAGTTAACTGGTAGCAAAAAGGTTAAAATTACAACTTAAAGGGCCCATATTATGCTATTTTCTCTCTGTTATCTGTTATAATGTTATTTTTTTGTTATCAAATACATAATTTGTTTCATTCACCCATGTTTTCACACAGAAACCCTGCATATTTAGGATCAGTTCTTCAATACAGGAAGTGATCACTGTATTTAAAACTCCACACACCTTCACAAAAATAATTTGAATAAATTCAGACCTGGCATTGTCAATCTCTACTGAACTAGAAGGTAGACAGAACATTTTGAGCTTTGGAGATGTAAACAGACTAATAATAACCTGTGTGAATAAAATAAAACACAACTCCAGGTATGTTTTTGATGAGGTAACAACATTATAACATGGCTTAAAGCTCACAGTTTTGGTTAATATGGAACCTTTAATCAAATGAAATGCAGTTGACTAGTTTTAAAGCTCTCTGTCTATGAACCACACCTGGATTATTGAGGGATTGCGCAGAAATTTTTGGGGATGTCAGTAAAAACAACACACACAAACTAGCAGCCTGGTGTCAAAGATGTAGAACTTTGATAGTTATAAGAAGCAGAAGAGAAGCCATTTTACCGTAGTTTGTGCTTGGAGCGGAGTACTTGGTGTTGGACTTGCGGATGATGTTTTCATGTATTTGGTACCACTCATTTTCATTGTTGCATCTGCAGAGAAAACAACAGGGCCATTAGTGATTCCAGATGGAGGGTTAAGGACGGTGCGCGGTCCCAGTACGCAGCCCCTTCTGGAGGAAAGGTAACAGCAGGGGAGAGTGCTATCAAGCAGCACATTAGAGCAAATGAACAGCACACTAAACAGAGCTGACAGCCAGTGCTCTACCAGCTTTTTTCATTACTGTGAGGAGCCCTGTAGGCCCCTGGGAAAGGCACAGGCAAATGCACAGACTGGAGCCTTACACAAGGCGACAGTGAGGACGAAGCTCAGCCCTGAATCACTGCTTAGACTTCTTAAAGGGGAGTGTCCTTCAACTCAGCAGCCAATAAAAAACAACCGCTTTCTACTTAAGATATGTATGTATGTATGTATGTATGCACCAAGTCGGGTTATAAATAATGTAATGTAGACATGAGAGTGTAAGATGTCTGTACTGAGGAAATACAGTAACGATTACCATATAGAATAAATTGCACTTCAAAAGAAAAAAAATGTACGAGTATTCTACTACTAATATGAGCAAATAAATCATTTTACTTAATAGTACATTCTGGCAAATCTATCCACATAAACATTATGTTGTGAATGATAATAATCCTTTTGTGTCTTTATTTAATTAAGATGATGCTTATAAAAAAAAAAACAACTGTCATAGTTTAAAATGTCTAGACTGTAAATGAACAATAATAAGTCAGTTATAAACCATAAGTCAAATGTTATGACCAAACAGTTCATAAGATAAGATCATTGTGTTCTTTCCCTACATACTCTAAAGAGCTCATATTATACAATTTTCAGATCTAGATTATAATGCTTTTTCCTCATCTCATAATTTGTTTCATTCACACATGTTTAACACACAAATTCTGCATTTTTAGGCTGTGCTTTTCTCTCAAACTGAAAACACTCTGTTCCAACTTGTGATGCCATGTGGTAATACAGAACAACTTCACTACTAGAATCATTTGGATGATTTCAGCCCTTGAATTGCCAGTCTCTACTGAATTAAAGGTCAAATGTTGCTGAAAACTACCACTTCATGACATCACAAGGTAGAACAGAGAATTTTGAACTTTAGAGATGTAGACAGACTATTAAGAAAGGATTACTCAAACATGTGTGAATGAAACAAAACACAACTCTGGGTGTGTTTGTGAGGAGGTAACAACATTATAACATGGGACCTTTAACATGTATATTTATTTTAATGGCTACTTTTACTGTGGTTATTATAATTTAAAGATGCAGTCCTTTTACTTTTTGGCACATTTTTGCTTACCCACACAGTAATATAAATAATGCACTCTATGAAGATATGAACTCTGACCCAAAGCCACCACTGCAAAGGCAAAACTTAAGGCACTTTGACTGACAGGGAAAACTGCTGATCTCATGTTATTGCCAATGTCCTCAGTCTGTATCTATGACATTACTCTTCCTTCTCTCCCCTTCTCCCTCTCTCTCTCTTTCTCTCTCTGCCAAATTTATAACATGCCAAGTGTCCCATGGACCATCAGAGAAGACTGTATTGATTTTACAGAGGACATTTCACTGTCAAACTTGTCATCCCACAGCAGGCATCAACACTAAGACAGTTGGTGATATTCACAACATCTGCCTTGGTGATAGACTTGCAACCAGGGCTGAGCGATTGATCTAATTTATTTGAGAGATTCCAGATTCAATCACTTCTTATTGTCAATGATCAGCTTGGGTATTTTTAATGGAGAGGATAACGTTAAATCCTCAGACTGTATAAGTATGTGGTTTGGGGAAAAAAGATTGACTTTGGAGGAAGAATATGGCTATTATGTATTATTTATGTTCAAAAAATGACAGTTCAGAAAATAACGGGCAGCGGTAGCTCAGTTGGTTGGTTTGTCCACTGATCTGAAGGTTGGCGGTTTGAATCCCGCTCTCAACATAAACATCATTAATAGTGGTGATTCCAGCTCTGACAGATGAGTGCTGTCGTTGCGTCCTTGGGCAAGACACGTAACCCACCTCGCCCCAGGTGTCTGCCGGTGTATGAACCAATGTGTGTCTGAATGAACGAGTAAAGTGCTTTGAGTGCACTGAAGGTGGAAAGCACTATATAAAAATTAAACCAATATTGAATTTGCTTTTACTGATTTTGTTTGCTTTTAATAATCAGTTGGCTGATATGAGAGATTGATCAATCTTGTAATAATACTGATAGTCAAAGTCATGTGTGAAAACTGTGTAACTTACGTGTAAACCTTGAGTACAAAGTCTTTCTCCTCTTTGAGATCTGTGATGGTGTGGAAAACATCGCTCATGGCAAGAACAGCGCAGCCATAAGGCCGTCTGTACTGCACATGGGGAGGTCCTTTCTTTGAATCATTCAGCAGCATTCGACCTGCAGTGGAGCAAAACAAAATTAGTCTGAAAATAAAACATAAATAAATGATGATGATGCTTTTAATTTCTTACCAGTTCTTATGACATGTGCAACTATGTAGAGCTCTCTCTTCAAGTCTTTACTGCTTAGGTCCTAGAAAGGAAGAAAGAGATTTACAGAGTTGTTACTATCAAATAAATGAAATTAATATAGTTAAAATGTCTAAACTGTAAAGCAAACTATACTTCAGTACACATTTTGTAACTCTGTATGTTAAAAATAACCACCAATATAAACACAGCAGTTGAAAGACTTTTTCACAGCTCGTTTCTGTAAAGTTTTATATTGTCATGGCAATAGTAACTCTATATACTGAGACTCTTTTTGACAGAGATCCTTCATACATACATTTAATTATACATTTAACATACATACAATTAAAAACATTAGAGAAACAACATCTTACCGTAAAGAGAGCACACAGTCGATCTACTTTCTCAGGATTCTTTGGTCCTCCATTTTTGTTGAGTTTCACCATAAATTTCTCACTGTTACCAAAGCACAATTTAGTAAAAATAATGCAGCAGATTTACATCAATGTTTGTGACATACTAAACAGTTATACAACTTTGTAACCATTTGCAATACAAAGCCACTGTGTTTAAGGGGTGGCTGATGTGATTATATAAAATCAAACCATGATCTGATCCTGTGATTCTTTTAGAAAGATCCAATTACACCTCATATTGGTCAGTCACCATCATGTTCTGAGTAGTAAATTAACATATCGGACCCTATCTTGTCCCCGATCTTAGCGCTAGCGCAAGTGTGGGGCATGGAGATCTAAACAAGAGGTGTGCCGTGCCTGAATATCAGGTGGAGTGGAGCAGACTGAGGGCATGGTGTGGCTTGTTCAGTGAAATGCCACCCTTGACACTCTTGAGACAAGAATGTGAGAGGTCAGCAGTAGCAGCAGTGGACCTCAGTGTACCTCAGGTGAGAGACGCGGTAGCGGACTGCCAGGACAGGCGGGAGCGGGTGTGACCAGGGGGAGAGCAGCAGTCAGCGGGTCTGCTGTGGGATGGGGAGCGCATGAGATAGACACTGGTCTGCTGCGTAATGGGAGGCAAACAAATGGAGGAATGTAGAGAAAAGTAAGAAAGTTGATGTGTGTGCACGTGTGCGAGTGTTCGGAACACAAATCCAGCCAGTTCTAACACGGCCCATCCAGAATTCTGTATTCCTGGTGCCTATACTGGTGCGTAATTGCATCATGTGGCTCTGAAGTGTTTTATTGTACACATATAAATATTCCCCACACCCCTCTTTGCTGCCTGTAATGAGGCAAAGATTGCAGACATTTACCACACTGGCAGTGCTTTTAAATGCTACAACGGTCACAGATTGATTGAGATGTCATCACCATATATGTACTTGTACCATCCGACTCCAGCCTTCAGCAGTGAAGTACAGCCCAACCCAGACACGCCCCCTCGATAAATCTAGCACGAAGATCGGAGCAAGATCGGGCACATCAACTCTCAGAAGGAGGTATATATTGTGACTATTCCAGCACAGTGATTTCAGCAGTAATATTTATTTATTCTATAAATTTAAAATAATTCTTTTTAACAATTCTTCCTTTTAAGAGTAACAGTTACAGCCTGTACCTGATCTGCTTGGCCTCTCGTGTGTCGTACAGAGAGAAGTACACGTCTGCATCTTCACTGATGCTGTTGTAGGTGAAGCTCTTCAGGTTGATGAAGAGATGGTGAGACACCGGGACACGGCAACTGTCACCATGCCGCTGTTTTGTGCTGTCACCCTGGAAACAAACCAGGAAGTAAGTGACCTCTGACAATCTTGTGTTTATTGTTTAGAAAGTATTAACGTTGTCAATATAATTCATAATACTAAAACATAATACTACTTCAAACATTATATATTATGCTTCTACTAGTCCTATTTATGATGGAGTTTGATATATTCTTAACCCTAACACAATATAACACCATAGTTCATTACACTGATCACTCTCACAATAGCTGATTGACATGAAATCAGTATGAACATTTGAGGGTCAGGTAATCATTGGAATACTGTACAAATGATTACTCAATAAGATGTATCTGAGATTTCATGAAGTTCAATTTATTAAAAAAAAAAAAAAAAAAAAGTGCAATTACTGTCTTATACAAATACAACAAAACAATAATAAAACAACATTCATACTGCATGACTTCAGAAGAGACAAGAAACCCAAGCACACAGTTATTGATGATTATATAAGGGAGATTATGCAATGATATTGTCATTGAATGTTCAACACCGAATACAAATTAAATTTTTTGGTGAATTATTATTAAAAATTGTAATGTTATTAAATTATCATAAACAAATGCTTGATCACATCTGTGTGTACAGAAACTGCCCTGTCACAGTGTCACAAAACAGCAGAGAGACTAATTAATGATTGTAATTATTGATAACGTATTTCTGTGGGCACAAATGGCTTGGCAAAAAGGGCAATGAATGTAAATTACTGTTCTCCATCATTATTTTGCAATTGTCTTTTTATGTTATCTTAGAATATAGAAGGATACTGTACATTGGTAAAAATAAAATAGGTCATTCAAAAGACGTGTACCTGGTTTGTGCTCTGCTGGCCACAGTGTCGGCTGGAGACATGCTAAAAAAAGAAACATGTATTGACATTAGACACACGGCCAAGTTATTTTATCTACACTATAGCACATTTGTAACGCCTGTCCAGCCGGTGAATCAGAGGGTCCCTCGCGATTCAATACGATACACGATACATGACTCATGATACGATATTATCTCGATATGGGAATACATGTAATAAATGGATATATTGCACATGATTCTCTGTGATATAGATATATTGCTGCTTTTTAAGAACCAAATACATTTTAACAACAATATTTCTTTGTTAAACCACTACCTATGCAAAGTTCACATGAAATACATCTATTTTAATCACCAGAACAGTGAATATGTCAAATTGCATAAATGAGTTTCTTCACTAAATAAGCAACAAAATTGTAGTGCAGGCTCAAAAAAATTGCTAAAAGATATAAAAAAATATTCTTGTCAATATATCAATACAGCAGCCCATGACAGCAATACTGCACTGCAAAAAGTAATATCTAGGTAAGTTTAAATGACTCAAATTAAAAACATTTAACTTGATTACAGTAGATTTGACTTAATCTACCAATGGAATAATTATTTCTTTCTTTATTTAAACAACATAAGATTTAGTTTCTTATTTTAAGTTCAGAGTTGTTTTTCTTAACAAGTAACAAGACGTATTTTATTTCAAGTACAAAAAGGCTTATTCCATTGGTTATTATTGGTTATTATAATTATCTATTCCATTTTACTTGTCATGTGGAAATTTACTCAAATCAAATCAACAATTTCTTAATTCAAATCATTTTAAGTGGAAATATTTAACTTTTTGCAATGTGTATCACCAAATTTAGTATCACAATATATCGATATTTCAATATTGTTGCCCACTCCTACAGTGCAGTGCTTGTATGCTGCTGTGTATCTGTACTGTACCTCCAGCCTTCTCATACACATGGAGGAGAACGTGAGTGAGTGGGAGAGGAGAGGACAAAGCCACTGGAGCCCACACACTCTCTCAGCCTAAAACGACTTCTCTTCTACACCGACCTGGAAATCTGCCGAGGTCTGCCATGTGACACAAACTGCTCTGCTAACGTCAACAAAAGGAGATGGACACTGGTCTTCGAATTTAAAACTATTTATATTATTTCTCAGACTGGACAGTATAACCATCTAAATGTTTTGTAATATTCAATAGACTGCAGAGGTGTCACATAGATGATAATATAAACATTTTCACACTAATAACAAATGATCTTATTATTTATTAAACCATGTCTAGGTTTAGATATGTTAAAGGTCCTATAGTACGCAAAATTGATTCTTGCAAGCTTTAAACTGTGTTATAATGATGTTACCTCATCAAAAACATACCTGGAGTTGTGTTTTGTTTCATTCACGCATGTTTGAGTAATCCTCTATTATTAGTCTGTCTACATCTCCCTCAAAAACTCAAAATACTTGGTTCCACCTTGTGATGTCATGTGGTAGTTAATAGTGTAAAAGCTAATAGCGACATTTTACCTTTTGCTTGGTAGAGATTGGCAGCTCCAGGACTGAAATAATCCGAATTATTCGGGTGAAGGTTATGGAGTTTAAAAACACAGTGGATCACTTTCTGAATTACCACATGACATCACAAGGTGGAGCACAGTGTTATGCTAAATATGTGTGAAGGTTTGTTTATGAGGTTTGTTTGTGATGAGGAAACAACATTATAACATACTGTAGATAGACAGAAATAGCATAATACAGGCACTATAACAGAGAACCCATGCTAAAAATAAATAAATACAAAATTTAAAGTGAAGACTGAAATAGATGCTAATTGAGCTGTTTAATTTAAATCACAACTTTTACATTAATAATATCATTTAAAGCAATAATACAATTTTTTTTAGTCACCGACCCGCCTCTGTTTTAGCCACAAACCCTGAAAGCATGTAAATGATACCATTATAGGCTGATGGAGAGTGTTTTGATCAGCACATGGGTCTAGCAGGGGGACGGTGCCAGCGCAGCATCTTCTCTGTGTTACATTATATTTCATAACATCTGCGCTGTAATTGCCTCTTTCTAAAATTAGCCATCGCACAGGCTTGGTCTTATCTCCCCATGTGAATACGCTTCACATCGCTACAGACAAAATACATTTGACTTGTTATTTATTTATGAATTCTTACTTCAACTGCTGGTGGTTTTAAATAGCCAAAGCAAAGGGATGTAATTTCCAATATAAATAAAACTAAAAATTCACTCGGGCATTTTTTGTTCAAAGCTTTACCTGAGTAATTTTGCATGTTGTCTGCATTGCTGGCTATCACAATGAGAGCTTTTTGGTTGCTAAAAGCACTCTGTGGAAATGGCAGCAAGATGAAAGTAAAATTTGTCTGTTTCGATGGTGCAGCAGTTCAAAGGTCACGCTCTTACAGGCCAGTTGGGGGTCGTTACATTTACACATCATTGCAAATAGAAAAACAGCTTTAAGAGTGGTAAGGTATGTAGTATATCACAGCAAGCAGGTTAACAATAGAGATAGACTACTATATTGGTTGACCGATATTTTGTTTTGGTCAATCAGCTGCCTAAAAATTACACTCAAAGCTTTATGTTAACACTTTAATACTTGGACTTGGTCGCAGTTTGTAGTAAATTTAAATTCCATAATTTCTTTATAGGGATGTAACGATATCCAATTCTGTCGATATGATATTTTCATTATATGCATCTCACGGAATGATATTTATTGTGATATTTTATGTACGCTAATAAAATTGTGAATATGCTACTTTTCTCTTGTCAAAATCTAAATATTTAAGATTTAAAACTGCTTAATAACCGTTATTTCAACATGTAGGTTGGACTGAAACAATGCAAAGGATCATGGTCTATGTAGTTCTCTCTGATTTTTAGCTATTACTGCACCATCACAATGAATTTAAGCAAATAAACTTGTGATTCAATATATTGTGACGGTCCACGATATTTTTGTGAGACTTTTGATGATACGATATCACAAAATTTCAGTTAATGTTATATCCCTATTTATTTATTTTGCTATATGTAAATATTTGCACAGTTTCATCATCAATGTACGGAAGCAACCACATTATTTTTGAATTTTTGAAACTATGTAATGAACTTGGGTGAGTTAACATACTTTTTTTTTTTTTTTCTCCCCGCTCCTTTTCAAGAAATGTACTTTTCTGTTTACAATGTATATGTAGTATGTGTATGATTATTGTTTCTCTCTTGGCACAAAGTCGAAATAAAGCCAAAAAAACAAATCAAAATAATCAAAATCCCCCAAAAAAAGCCCAAATCAAAAGCCCAAAAAATATCAGCCATCGGTTTCTTTGCATTCTTTTCAGTGGGTATTGGCAGCTTAATGAATTAATAATTTAATAAAAGTAAACCCTACCATTTTATAGAGCTCCGAGACACTGATCTGATCTGGATCCACCATGTCAAAGTCCTTTCTGGGAACAAGGTCTAAACCAAGGTGTCTGTGGAAGAGACAAAGGATGTTAAGTAAAAGACAGATACTAACCAAACAGCATGCAACTTGTAGATTGTTTTTGAATCAAAAAGGCTCAAAACTCAATAAAAAGTTAATAATACAATGATAACCAAATACTTTTTTTTTAGAAATATATTAAAATAATCAATTCAAGTTTCTTTAATATCATGGTGTGGTTTTATACTCATTCTGATATAGAGATATAAACATGTTGTCATCAAGAAAGGTTGAATTTTGTGTGGACTAGTTCAAATGAGTATCTAGTTTAATACAGAATACAGAGGTACTAATTATTTGGTCTGTCAAAACAAGTACAAAATAGTGTTTCAAAATGATTGCCATACAAGATAATAGTGTTGACTACTTTAAGGTATTGATACTTAACCAGGGGTCTCCAATCTTTTTCCTTTGGTGAGCAACCTTTACAAACCAAAAATGCCAGAAAGTTATTCATTTTAGAGGCTGCAAGAAATTGAGACGATTATAAGAAAGAGGGCGAGCCTTGGGGTACAGTTAGACGGCTATAAAATATAAACCATTGTCCATTTATTAGTGCACAGATTTGGGGTTCAAAATTCTACATTTGCAATGGTAATAGACATGTAATTAACCACATTTTTGTTATTCAGCACAATGATATAATTCTGAAATCCTTTGGCGAGCTACTTGGGAAAGGGGTGGAGAGTTGCTGGTAGCTCCCGAGCTACAGGTTGGAGACCCCTGCTTTAAACATACACTGTAATAACCTTAGTAAATAAACTATAATTTATATATACTGATTCTATCAAGGTAACATATCAGATTATCTATCTATGTATCTAGTAAACAAAGAAAAATATCGCAAAATATTGTGTTTATTGAATATTTATTGAACAACCTACATAATAAAAATATTGGCAGAGCTTTTGATTATAATAATATTAAAATTACAAATATAAAAGCACTTTACAGCTATTTTATGGTAATATATTTTAGATATATCCATTCAAAACCAAGCTAGGCCAGCATGCAAGTTAGTCAAAACCTTAGTTCCCCTATTTGTTTTCTACAATAAATTCTCCATTAAAGAAGCATGAAAAGATGGTGGGCTTTTGCACTCCTAAATGTGACCCTCCATTATGAGCATGGGCAGTCTATAAGGAGAACGTCTGCCTTTGAACGGCTGAATTGAGTTTATTGCTTTACAGTTCCTCCAGGGAGCTGTGCATTGACTCTAGCTGTCTCAGACTCACTCATCTGCTAAATGACTATAACATTACATCTTAAAGGAAGCCATTACACACGCTGGCTTATGACTAAAGATATGATAGATACTTCTTTGTGGTCTGCACTTTGAGACTGGTGCATTAAGAGTAAGAGGTACTCCAATTTCATACTTAAAAACTGCTACTACTCCAGAGAGAGCATAAAGTTTACCTATTGTCACATAAAACAACTCTAATTGCTCACAAAACTACTACGACAACTATTTTTGCAGTTTCCACAACTACTAATATACAGCAGCCCATACCAATAAGTGTTCATGTCTCCTTCTGTTTATGCATTATATAACAAATAGCGTTGAAAAAATTACATTAATTAAAAACGACATGTCTCTAGCAAATGGACATAGTTCGACATAGACTCGCTAGCGTTCCAAAGAAGTGAGCATAGGGGGTGTCCTATCAATTTGAGCTACTTGACGTTACTGCACATGCATACAACCCCAAAGCGCTGTGACAGTTCAAATGCCTGTTGATTTGAGCTTCCAACGCAGAAGTGGAGTAACAAGTAACATTTTAAAAGTGTATTGGGTTTATTGTATGTTTTGATCATTTAAGCCTGTAAGCAAAATGTGAAACAGCATCAAACCCTCTGTCTCTAATCCAAAGAAATATGTTGTAAAACTGGGGCAGTCAGGGTTAGGGTTTGTTGGATCGATACAACTGTAAACGGAAAAACACAGGTCGCTTATTACGATGGGGGCAGCGTGAATAGATAGATGTCACTGTCAATTTAGGCCTCATCATTTTGGTCTTAAAATGTTCGTATTAATCCTCTACATGATCCTAGTGGTTTTATTTTGCTGTTTTGTCCATAAATAAATTCCTATTCCTAATATGGAATTCCAACTCCAAATTCACCTATAACTGCTAGCATCATGAGCTTCATTTGACTGGAGCCAAACGCTATCGGTGACATCACACTCCCTTAGTCCACTTCTTTATACAGTCTGTGGTCTGTAGTGAGGGTTCACATGTTACAGCGGTGGTTCTTGTGTGTGGACTCACTCATTGCCCCAGTCGAGGCGCACGGTGATGTGGCGTTTGATCTCTCTGGTTTGGTCTTGTGCGAGGTGTCCCTGGATCAGCTGTCTGCGCAGGTCAATCAGCTCATTCATCACATGACGGAGTTTATGAAACAGGTCCACTTTGTGTTTCTGACAAAATGAGCAGAAATTATGATTAATAACATGTAGATTCAGGTGGAAGTTTGAATTAATAGAAAGTGTTTGTGAATATATTTGTTTTTTGAGTGCAGTAGCTGTTGCCATGTTTGTACTTGTCTATTTGGCAGATAATACTAATTCCTCTTCCATTAGGCCTGTCACAGTAACACATTTTGAAGCATGATATACTGCTAAAGAGAAATATCATAATAAACCATAATATTGAAATTACATTTATCACTGACTGAATGATAAAGCAGGTTAATCCCAGTATTTTTTTTTTTAAATAGACAGTATCATTTAAAGGCATGAGCTGCAACAAATGAATAGCAGACTCAAGATATAACAGTTACTTATTCAACCCTCTACTTCTCAAATCTTGACAAAAATCTCCCCATTATTGCCAAGAAAATATAGAGACAATAAATACTGAGCCTAAAAATATATTGTTTCATCTTATACATATTGAACAATAACTCAGTATAGTAATTATCGTGACAGGTCTCTATTCTCTTCTACTACAGATTACATCAGTTATAATCAGGACAGTTTATAGATTTTTATTACAATATAATAATCAATATTAAAATGCCAAGATAACTTAATCTTTGTGAAAATTAAATTATTTCAGTAGCATGGTCACAAAAGGACAATAATGTTAAATAGGTTATTCAATATTTCATTAAAATTAAACAATTATAATCATATTCATGTGCTAAAACATGTTTCAATTTGAACTGATAATAAAATAAAGTGACCTATAAAGTACTAATTTATTGATGTGTGCCTTGTAGTCCATCATGTTTATGGATGAAACAACATGGCCTGTATCATGGCACCAAAACAAACTAAACACTGTTTCAGAGCTCCACATTAGCTCCAGAGAAGTTACATCACCAAATCTATGCCTCCAGCTCCTCGAAGATTGGTTATGTAAAAATCTCACTCCACCAACTCAGCAATGTACAGAAACCCAGTTACAATGAAACTGAGTCCAAGACTGGTCCCCATATCTGTACCAGAAAGAAATGTTGTGTTTTGAGAATTTTACCATATGAAAAATTATATAAAAGGTCCGTATTACACAATTTTCTGATTCATGTTATAATGTTGTTTCCTCATTAAAAATATACCCAGTTGTGTTTATTTTCATTCACACAAGTTTAACACACAAACCTGCGTAGTTCAGATTTTTCATATTTCTCAAACTGAAAACACTCAGGTTCACCTTGTGATGTCATATGGTATACAGGAAGTGCTTCAATGTCTTTTAAAACTCCAGACACCTTCATTAGAATAATTTGAATAATTTCAGCTTTGAAATTGCCAATCTCTACTGAACAAAACGTCAAAGCTTGTTGTTCTCATGACATCATAAGGCGAAACAGAGCATTTTGAGCTTCACGGAGGTAGACAAAAATAACACAGGATTACTCAAACATATGAGAAAGAAACAAAACACAAATCCAGGTATGTTTTCGAGGTGGTAACAACATTCTAACATGACTCAAAGCTCACAAGAGTCAATTTTGCCTAATTTAGGACCTTTAAACCAAGAGCTGTGTGCAGTACTGGGGACGTCTTAGCAGTAGTTGGAGGACAGAGGTGGATCTTAAGTCTAGGCAGAATCAATCTGGATGAAGCCAAGATAATCAATGGTTTGAATGACACAGCGTGAAATTACATGCGACAGATGGGTAGGCCATATCTGCAGCAGTTCCAGTGCCTACGTACTTGTGGAGGATTCTAGTGTATTAGTAAATGTAGTAAATGGCTGACAGTTGAGCTGCAGGCAAAAACTAAAGAGGATGTCATGGCATGTTGAGCTAATATCTCAGGTTACTGATTGATATCACTGGTCAATAAGTAAATACATAATCGTCAGTAGTAGCATGAAGATATCTGTTGTAAATATACTGCACTAATATAAAGATATACGCGCACTGATGGGAAGAATTCTTTGAACATGTATTTTTCCTGCATTAAAATGTATTTTGTAATGTATTCAGTTACACAGTCCAATCAGAGTAATATCTTCTGAATACTTAAAATACTTTTGAAACGATTTGCAGTTAAATTTTAGTGTAAAAACAAAACATGAGATTTAAAAGAGCTATGTGTGTGTTTGACTGTTAGTTACACATTTATTTATGATTATTTGGATGCACTCACCACAAGAGCAGTGTTTTCTATTTTTTTCAGTAATATCATGCTGCTTGAATCTTAAATGGTGTGATCAAGTACTGCCATGTATTCCTTTGATTTTTAGAAAAGTAAATGTATTCTGAATACCACACACACACACACACACACACACACACGCACACAAAAACAGTATCTAGTAAGTTAAAATGACTTAATTAAGAACATTTTGCTTTATTTGAGTAGATTCAACTTGACAAGTAAAATGATCTGCCAATAGAGTAAGTGTGTTTTTGTTAATTCAAGCAACATTTTTTTGTTTGCTGATTTTGTTTATTATTTTAAGTCCAAAAAGTTGTTGTCTTTCTTATTTTAAGTATATAGATGTATTTTCATTTTTATGTATAAAAAGTCTTATTATGGCAGATCATTTTACTTGTCAAGTGAAATTTACTGAAATCATGATAAAACTTTCTTAGTCATCTAAACTTGGCTAGATATTGTTTTTTGTCATGCACCAAATAAAACAATCACTGTACTAGAATACAGGTACTCAAAATTAGTATTCAGGTATTCAGTATTTTGTTACTAATACTAATATATAGACAATATTAATATCCTTGTACTGCACAAGTGAGACGCAATAGAGAGCATCTTGTTATAAGGATAAAGATCATGGTCATGAAGCATATGCCAAAGTAACTCAAATCATGTTATCAATTATTACTGATTGTGTGGATAAAACCCCTCCTTGAACCGTCACCTTATCGTGGTGGAGGGGTTTGAGTGCCCGAATGATCCCGGGAGCTATGTTGTCGGGGGCTTCATGCCCCTGGTAGGGTCACCCAAGGCAAACAGGTCCGGGGGGACGGGTCAGACGAAGAACGGTTCAGAAGCCCCTTATGATGAGTGCAACACAGAGGCCAGTTACGTCGCCCGGATTGGCGTCACCGGGGCCTCACCCTGGAGCCAGGCCTGGGGTGGGTGCTCGTCAGCGAGCGCCTGGTGGCCGGGCCTTCCCCCATGGGGCCCGGCCGGGCTTAGCCCGAAGGAGCGACGTGGGGCCGTCCTCACATGGGCCCACCACCCGCGGGAGGAGCCATATGGGGCCGGTGCAGAGAGATCTGGGCGGCAGTCGACGGCGGGGGCCTCGACGACCAGATCTCCGGACATGGAGACTAGCTCTGGGGACATGGAATGTCACCTCGCTGGGGGGGAAGGAGCCTGAGCTTGTGCGGGAGGTTGAGCGTTACCGACTAGATATAGTCGGCCTCACCTCCACGCACAGTTTGGGCTCTGGAACCCAACTCCTTGAGAGGGGCTGGACTCTCCATTTCTCTGGCGTTGGCCGCGGGGAGCGGCGGCGGGCTGGTGTGGGCCTGCTCATTGCCCCACAGCTCAGCTGCTGTGTGTTGGAGTTCACCCCGGTGAACGAGAGGGTCGCGTCCCTGCGCCTTCGGGTCGGGGACAGGTCTCTCACTGTGGTGTCGGCCTACGGGCCGAACAGCAGTGCACCGACCGGGGACTCCGTTGTTCTCCTGGGGGACTTCAACGCCCACGTGGGCAACGACAGTGACACTTGGAGAGGGGTGATTGGGAGGAACGGCCTCCCTGATCTGAACCCGAGCGGTGTTTTGTTATTGGACTTCTGTGCTAGTCACGGTTTGTCCATAACGAACACCATGTTCGAGCACAAGGGTGTCCATAAGTGCACGTAGCACCAGGACACCCTAGGCCGGAGGTCGATGATCGACTTTGTAGTCGTGTCATCTGATCTCCGGCCGCGTGTCTTGGACACTCAGGTGAAGAGAGGGGCTGAGCTGTCAACTGATCACCACCTGGTTGTGAGTTGGGTTCGCTGGCGGAGGAGGAAGCCGGAAAGACCAGGCAGGCACAAGCGTGTAGTGAGGGTCTGTTGGGAACGTCTGGCAGAGCCCTCTGTCAGAGGGAATTTCAACTCACACCTCCGGGAGGACTTCTCCCAGATTCCGGGGGAGGCTGGAGATATGGAGTCCGAGTGGGCTTCATTCTTGGCCTCTATTGTCGATGCGGCTGCTTGGAGCTGTGGGCGTAAGGTCTGTGGTGCCTGTCGCGGCGGCAATCCCCGAACCCGGTGGTGGACACCGGAAGTAAGGGATGCTGTCAAGCTGAAGAAGGAGTCCTATCGGGCCTTGCTGGCTCGGGGGACTCCTGAGGCAGCTGACAGGTACCGGCGGGCCAAGTGTGCTGCAGCCCGTGTGGTCGCGGAGGCAAAAACTCGGAGCTGGGAGGAGTTCGGGGAGGCCATGGAGAAGGACTATCGGACGGCCTCAAAGAGATTCTGGCAAACCGTCCGGCGCCTCAGGAGGGGAAAGCAGTTCTTCACCAACACTGTTTACAGTGCGGGGGGAGAGCTGCTGACCTCGACTGGGGACGTTGTCCGGCGGTGGAAGGAATACTTTGAGGATCTCCTCAATCCCACCATCACGCTTCCGAGGAGGAGGCCAAGGCTGGGGACTCGGAGGCGGACTCATCCATCACCCTGGCTGAAGTCACTGAGGTGGTTGGAAAGCTCCTTGGTGGCAAGGCTCTGGGGTTGGATGAGATCCGTCCTGAGTACCTTAAGTCTCTGGATGTTGTGGGGCTGTCTTGGCTGACACGCCTCTTCAACATCGCGTGGCGGTCAGGGACAGTACCTCTGGACTGGCAAACCGGGGTGGTGGTCCCTCTGTATAAGAAGGGGGACCGGAGGGTGTGCTCCAACTATAGGGGGATCACACTCCTCAGCCTTCCCGGTAAGGTCTATGCCAGGGTACTGGAGAGGAGAATCCGGCCGATAGTCAAACCTCAGATCCAGGAAGAGCAGTGTGGTTTTCGTCCTGGCCGTGGAACACTGGACCAGCTCTACACTCTCCATAGGGTGCTCGAGGGTTCATGGGAGTTTGCCCAACCAGTCCACATGTGCTTTGTGGACTTGGAGAAGGCATTCGACCGTGTCCCTCGTGGTGTCCTGTGGGGGGTGCTCTGGGAGTATGGGGTTCGGGGCCCTTTGCTAAGAGCTGTCCGGTCCCTGTATGACCGGAGCAGGAGCTGTGTTCACATTGCCGGCAGTAAGTCAGACCTGTTCCCGGTGCATGTTGGACTCCGCCCTTTGTCACCGGTTCTGTTCATTGTGTTTATGGACAGAATTTCTAGGCGCAGTCAGGGGCCGGAGGGGGTCCGGTTTGGGGACCACAGGATCTCATCTCTGCTGTTTGCGGATGATGTTGTCCTGTTGGCTTCATCGAACCAGGACCTGCAATGTGCACTGGGGCGGTTTGCAACTGAGTGTGAAGCGGCTGGGATGAAGATCAGCTCTTCTAAGTCTGAGGCCATGGTTCTCGAACGGAAAAAGGTGGCTTGCCCTCTCCGGGTGGGTGGGGAGTCTTTGCCTCAAGTGGAGGAGTTCAAGTATCTCGGGGTCTTGTTCACGAGTGAGGGAAGGACGGAACGGGAGATTGACAGGCGGATCGGTGCAGCTTCGGCAGTGATGCGGTCGCTGTATCGGACCGTTGTGGTGAAGAGGGAGCTGAGCCGAAAGGCAAAGCTCTCGATTTACTGGTCAATCTTCGTTCCTACTCTCACCTATGGTCATGAGCTCTGGGTAGTGACCGAAAGGACGAGATCGCGGATACAAGCGCTTGAAATGGGTTTCCTCCGCAGGGTGGCTGGGCGCTCCCTTAGCGATAGGGTGAGGAGCTCAGTCACACGGGAGGAGCTCGGAGTAGAGCCGCTGCTCCTCCACGTCGAGAAGAGCCAGTTGAGGTGGCTCGGGCATCTGTTTTGGATGCCTCCTGGGCGCCTCCCTCGGGAGGTGTTCCGGGCATGTCCCACCAGGAGGAGGCCCCGGGGAAGACCCAGGACACGCTGGAGGGACTATGTCTCTCGGCTGGCCTGGGAACGCCTCGGGGTCCCACCGGAGGAGCTGGAGGACGTGTCTGGGGTGAAGGAAGTCTGGGAGTCCCTGCTTAGGCTGCTGCCCCCGCGACCCGGCCCCGGATAAGCGGACGAAAATGGATGGATGGATGTGTGGATAAAAGTAGAAGTAAAATGTCAAAATAATAGTAAAAAAGAAATAGGTCAGTGTAATTATCATGCACTTTATGGCAGTGCTTCTAAACCTGAGGGTAGGGACCACAATGGGAGTCGCAAAAGGTATTACAATTCACTCATAGTTGTTTGAGATAATAAGATAATGATTACAGCTACAATGATATTGAGCTAATCTCCATAAAAGTGGTGTTAGCTAAGGTAAAGTAGAGGTGGAACGGCACTCACCACATAGAGCTGTTTCCAGAGCACCCCCCACTCCTGCAGTGTGGAGGTGGTCTCTGTGATGATGGGGTCCTCCAGGGGCACCACCGTCTCACACAGCCTGCAGCACATTCAGACGTACACAAATGCTTATTCACTTACTGCATGGACAGGGTTTAGCCCATGTAATGTTTTCAGAAGTAAACACACATAATTATGCAATAAAAATATGTAGAGCAGTAGTCTTAAAACAAGAAGTTAACAAGAAGTTAACTGTTTGAAACCAACTCTTGTCACATCAGAAGGTGCTTGTGTCCTTGGGCAAAGCATTTGTTGTTCTAAATGTGAGTGGGTCATTGGTGGGACCTTGCTGCAACAGTTTTAGTGCATCTCCTTAAATAAGCTCTATGTAACTTTTCTGGAAATACGCCATGTGTTTTTCACCAAGTTAATGTCAACGCATGGCCTACTGTAGAATGTTACTCTGTATGGCATTCAACGTATCTATATGGCATGCATTCAGTATTCAGCATTACAGCTGTTTTAACTGCTCAAAAGTGCCTTGAAAAATGTGTATTCTTATTGTGAGCAAGCTGTTGGAGAAGCCCCTCTAGTGATTTGACCTGTGACTTCGTGGAGTCACCATGGAGATAGAAAAGTTTAACACCACAATGTAGAACCTCCACCAAAAAATATTATTTCTTAATATTTTTATCACATTATACTGTGTTACTATGACAAGTCTGACAAGTTAAAGTGCCTATGACAGGTTGGACTACACATTTTACTAAAACTCTAAGATTTTACACTTTGTTTCCCAGTTTGACAATTTTTTTATTTATTTTTTTATTTTTACTTCCTGGTTGGAACTGTTACTTAGCAACCGTCTTGTACAGTGAGTCAAAACTCCTCTAAGGTACACAGAAATTATTATTTGATGAAAAGAAAACACATTTATTTTGTTGAAGTAACATTTAAAAAATCTGAAAAAAAAATTAGTTTCTTGCGGGAAAATTTTGACAAACTTTTGGATAAAATTCTCCCTAGCATAACGTCATCAATGTGGAACTAGAACTGTCTAATTCCTGTAATTCTCTTCACAAATTGCTTCTTGATTGTGATAAAACTATAATTTATATTTACAACAGGCATTATCCCACCAAATAAAATAAAAAATTACAGAATCGTCATGGCACTTTAACATCCAAGGCATATTTACTTGGACAACAGTAATACACCATACCAGTAAACTCCCACCCCACACAGAGCCACAGATCCCAGGGCACAGATTTACCACCCATGAATTTGTGCTGATAACAAACCCTTTGTCTCTGCCTTCTGTTTGGCCTCAACAACAATAGACTTTGCAAAGGAAACTCTGGGTGACCGCATTTATGGATATGTGTCGGTTTGAGGGATCATGTCGGCAATTACTCTTCATATCAAGCAAGACGCTGTGAACAAATGGTGGAAAAATGTGACCTTTAACTGTGTAACTTTTTGGTCGGGGGTCTATAATCTGCTTGTTTCTATAGAGATGTGACAGCTCTGCCTAGAATGTTCCACAGTATGACATTAAACAGCTCTACCTTATATTTATTCAAGTACAGGTGGTTTCATAACTCAAAAATATGTCATTCTGACTGTGAGCAGGGTCGCCTCTCTACAGATCTGACCTGTAACTTGGTCTGGGTTGGTCTCCATGAAGATAGAAAGGTTTAATGCCATACTGTGAAACACTCCAGCCAGAGAACAAAGCACCTTTAAGCAAGATTGAAAGGGTACAAGACAGTAGTGTACAAATCAGTGAAGTTACAAGCTTTACAACTTTAGCTTCACAGAGGCAGTGGCAACGAGGAACAAGAGCCAAGACGGTGGTAGCAGAACAGTTTCTCTTCATGACGGGAATAGAGAATAATTTGGAGTACATCAGTGGGACAGTACATGGTGATTTGATATGGTTAAGATGATTTAGGTGGTTGGAGATGTACTGCGGAGGGAATGGGATGAAGGATGCTGTGGTTTGAACTGCCAATCAGGAGGCCAAGAGGAAGACACAAGTGGACAATTGATGGATGGATGGTGGTGAGAGTGGACAGGAAGTTTGATAATGTGAGGGAAGTTACAGCGGGTTAGAGGGAGACGATTTGCATGAGTCTACTCTTTCTGATCAATAAGTAGGGCTTTTAAGTAGGGCTGCACTTGTACTTATATACTTACTTGTACATATACATTTATATAATTATGCCCTATATGCACTTTTGCTCTTTGTTATTAAAAAAATATTGTGATGTGTGAGCTATTGTGTCCAAATAATTTCCCTTATGGATCAATAAACTTTGTCTAAGTCTAAGTCTAAACCTCAGTCAAATCGAAACTGAATTTGGCACAATTATCAAATCACAAAAGCTATTGGATGCTTAGAATGTATAAAGTAAGTGACGAACAACTTTGGAGCACTGCAAACTGTTTAAAATGAACTAGTAAATCAAGTAGTTTTTCAGGTTTTTAAGACAGTAAAAAAGAGGTACAGTGCCTTTAATGCTCCAGAAATTGTTCAAAATGTAGGTGCTGAACAGAATCCTGCTTTTTAAACATATGTATATTATAGGTTTTAGAGTGGCAACAGCATATGAACATCGGAAACTACATATCCCATGATGCATTTCAGTGCAAACAACATGAATAAATATGTTTTTACTTGAATTCTTGGGATTATGACCGAAATAATTCACACCAAAATCTTGTCAAGGTATTTTAAAAGCAAAAAAGTGTCCTATTTACAATTATATTAGCTTCTCCAAAATATCACAATAAATATTGTACTGTGAGATGCATATCGTGGCAATATCGTGCCAAGAGAGTTGGATATCATATATTATAATAATATATTATAATAATAGCTCTACCTCCAAAAAAAAATCCCCAAATTACTCAGCCCTACTTCTAAGTACTTTGAGCTGAACCTGCATAAAATACTTAGTGGTGTTTATGTTGCAACTCTCACACAGAGTCATGAAATTGTAATGTAATGTATGTCTATATTTTATGCTATATGGCGCAGGTATTTAAATTGTAATGAGGGGTGTTAAAAGCCATGTGCAGTGTAGCGGGTGTTATGACTATAATATAAACAGCTTTACAAGTCTGAAAGTGCTCAAGAACCATCTGCGATCCATTTCTGAAGCAGAGACTTTGTTTAAACAAGAACTCCATCAAATATAAAGAGTATTAGACTGACATAACTCACCCTCTGTTGATCACGGTGGATTTCTTCAGGTGGACATAGCTGGCTGGGAAGATGCCCTGAGAAAGAAGCGTATATGGGTCAAACTGCTACTACAAATGTGCACAGTGTAAGTAAACAAACTATTAAGATGTTGTTTTAAAAGTACATGTGTGTAGCTGTACAACAGATCACTTCACAGTTGTCACAAACACAACAAAACAACAACAATTCCCACATTATTTTCTGTAATACAACCACAACTGTAAAATCTTTGTCCAGAGTCACCATAATAACTTTACCATTTCTCTTTCTACCTTATTTACTGCCTTTTTCTTGTATTTCTTTTTTTTTTATTGATTGCATTTGTACTAACATTTCCCCATGTTAATATTTTGTCTCCAAATTCAAATAAGCCAAACAACATATCCAGTTGAAAGAACTGAATTTTCCTTTGCAATGGAATCTACTTAGTCGACTGAGGGATTGCATAGACACTAAACATATGATGAGGGTGAAGAAATGATCATTTTTGCAGTGTTTTTTCTCATTTTCCATGGAAATTATAGGCATATTATTTCCAGGTTTTCCAGAATGTGTGGGAGTTTTTTTTTCCTCTTTGTTGTACAGTGTGGGTGCCCACTGCAATTATGTGCATGACAGACACATATATTATTTTATATATACATATTATAATTTTGATACTATGATTGTTATTTTATTTTTTTATTATTATTATTATTTTTTTGACATGAGAAAAGATTGGGACAGATTGAAGTTTGCTCACAGGGGATCAAAAGCAGGTCACTGAGCAGGGTCCCTATGGTGTCTGGCCTTTTGAAGGTCATAGCAGTGGACCGGTGCCAAGACTCTAGTTCACTGTGATAATTGTATTGTTCCAGATGTAAATATAGTGAGGAAAGCTAATTCTCTGAGCTCACACTTTTTACTATGGGGGCGAACAAGTGTGGGCTGCAGTACATAACAAAATGGAGGGGTGTGAAAACACTGTAAATAGCTGATGAAGAGTTAGAGGAGGACAGTGTGGAGCCACTAGCACAGACATCTTTCAAAACTGTGATAGTTTCTTTTACACTAAAAACAAAAAGGAAAGTATTTACATTTCAGGTTTGCTTTACAGATGCTGTCATGTCTGAAATGTAGAAATTTTGTGGTAACATAAGTAAAAACACGCCTTCTTCTATCTTGTATCAAATGAATTAAGTCGAATGAATTATTGTCCCCTGTGGCAACCTAAACTTATGTAAGCATACGTGACCATTCACACAGACAGTGGCTCCCTCTTCTCTGCTTCACTCAAGGAAAAAACTAAAACTAAATCACATCTCTACCCATGTCAATCCATCTTTCCCACTATCAGGGAAAAATGCAGCTCCACAAAATGCTTCTTTATAAGAGAAAAATAGATGTAACTGCACACTACCTATACAGCATTAGACAATATTCAAAAATCACATTTATATTGTAAAAATAAATAAATTATTCAAATAGTGCATTTTAATCACAGTAATTATGTAAAAGCTGTTGTTGGCTAATTGCTAATGGATCTTTGTGCATTTCCGTTATACAGCACCGGCCTGTATCCTGTTACAACAGCCCGGCCCCTTGGGACTGAAGCCTGATGTTAAGGGAGTGTCTGCCTAAAACAGGATCATGTTTTAAACAGAGACAGCATCTGCAAATAGAGGTCAGGCCATTTCAATTTTGTTAAATAAATGAAAGATATTTTGAATGACTAAACCACACATAATCATCCCGGTTGTTTAAACAAACCGATTACTGTATATTATTCAGAGAAAATTGTATTCTGAGCTGTATACGTTCTTTCTGTTTGTGGTGCCAATGCAAAGGATTCAGGTTTAATTCTGATGTATTTATATAATACAGTAGTGTGTGTAGGCAGCATAATTACCTTGATGGAAGGCTTCTTGGTGGAAAAGCCTCTGTACCATCCTACAAAAAAGAAAACAAAAAGATTACTTCCAGCTATGCATTTTATTTGCAGCTTTTGAAAAACACTAGTCCAAAACTGCATATGTATAAACAGTAATGAATGTACAGAAACTATGAAACGAACTTCTATTTTGTAAATGTGTGTATTTGTGAGGAAAATTACCTTCACTTTTCTCCAGGATCTGTACAGTCTCCCCGATCTCCAGCACCAAAGCCTGACATATTGGTGACCGGAAGTTGCAGATCACTGTAAAGACACAAGCAAAACATTTATTCTTGTAATTCAGGCTTTTTGTGGATTAAGATAAGTAGCAGAACGTTCCCAGTTTGTGATGCCTATAGTTTGTAGTTTTGGGTCCTTTTAACAAGCTTTTCAGCTAAAACTGGGAGTCATACAGGAGGATCCACCGCTTAGCCAAGAGTAAACAAGCGCCCGCCCTGCAGTGGGGAGTCATTTTAATAAGCAATTAATTTTTAAGCGCTCTGATTTGGGCGCACTGTTAAGTTAATTGAACTGTCTCCCAAAATAAAACCCACACAGCACTGCTAAGTCGTATGGCTAAACACCGCTTTAGAATAAGTCCGCATTTGCATAAATCCTGATTTTGCAGCATCATGCAGCCAAGGTCTTTGACCATATATGGAGACTTCCTTAAACCCTGATTAACAGCATGATTATTCTGTTCAGATAGATACGAAAGTTAAGTAGACTATAGCAGTGGTTCTAAATTCACTTGTACCAGAGATTGGTATATTAGGCATGGGATGATATGGAAATTTGATGTTGAGATTATCATGGCCAAAATAATTGTGATTATCTATTATATAATGATAATTATTAAAGTTGCTGACTGTTTAAAAATGTTATGGATATAAATAATAATAATTTAATATTAAGAATAGGTTCCAAATGTAAACTGCTCTAGTATTGTACTTTAAGTGAAAACAACAATGATCTAGAAGAGAACATCATGGATAAGTACTTTTCTGAACATTCTGGTGGAACAATGGTGATTATCTTTGTTGGTAAATATCATGATTATATAATATGTCCTTCAAATGACTATTGTCTACCCTTTTTATCACAATTATAAAAAATATAATTGTCTATTGTCCTGTGATAACGTTCTGTTTGTGGACCCATTTGGACTGAGTGTGTCTATCTTTTGAGTTACCTTAGACGGTGACTGGTGATACACATTTAAATTATAGAAAGCAATTTAGCAGCTAACACAAACCTAAATTAGAGTTAATCCTAAACTAACGGTGAAGTAAACCAGAACCTAATCAGTTATTACACCAGTCTGAAATCCATTTGTATGTAAGACTCTCTCTTCTTCTGCACATTATTGTCAGTTAGTTATCTAAGCAGTACAATGTACATACAAGCCCCCGGTCTTTACTGTACAAACTGTGAAAAGTACCAGAGCTCCACTGATGATTTGAAATGTACAAATGGCGTTGGCCCTTAGAGGAGAATTTAGTGTGAATCACTGTACTAATGAAGCAGCCAGGAGACCCAGCGAGGGGGAGGGGCTTGGAACTGAGTTTATTCACTTCCTGTTCTGTTGTAACTACGGCAACGGCTCATCGTCAAACTCAAGGGTTTCTTCACCACTACTACAGGGATACAGGGACTAGGTCTAAACCAGTACTAAACAAGGACTAAAACTGATCTAAACCAGGACTCACTCTTCTTATACAACAGGGGTAAAACTGATGTGAGCCCCGCGTTACACGACACAACACTAAGAACTGAAGTCTCAACCAGAATTAAAGCAAAGTATGTATTCAGAATAAACAAGGACATTAATACCACCTGTACATTCATTCATATATAAATTACAGGATTACATATTATATAATGCAAAGGTCAAGACTGAAAGAAGACTTACAATCACAAATACAATAATAGTCAATAGTTGCCATGATACGCTTATGAATGTGAAACTATAAATCTCCCCGAGACAGAAACTTTTTTTCATTAATGCTAATTTTGAGAAGATTATATTTTCCAATAATACTGGCTCATCTTGGGCGACCATTATTTCAGGGTGCAGACATTAAAGTGCCAATAAATGCATATTAGGTGTGGAGCGTGAGAGAGAAACATCTGGAGAAAGATCCACCTTTCTGTCTCTGTTTTGTTCTGCCTCCGGCCTTTTCTGTCCAGGACTAAGCACTTCCTGTTTCAGGGAGCTGTTCCTTAATGGCTTCTGTTTCATTTGAATTGCAAAAGCTGCACCACCATCACTGACAACTCAGTAGTATGCTGTAGAAGCCTCGTCATTGTGAGAGACTGTCACATTAGTGAACTATCAAAACACCTAAAACAAAAGATGTGACCATTCTCCTGTTTATTTGGTTTAGAGTGCTGCAGTGAATTATCCTATAACTAAAAGAGGTGTTGAGTAAGGTAACACAATACTGTATACAGAATATGGACCTGACAAGGGAAAAATTCAGCCAGTCTTTTATCTACTCACAGGCTTAGATAAGGATAAACAAATGAAGATTTACATCAAGCATTCACACACTTAGTTTCTGCAGTTTAGTTGTGATGCTTACAAAAGATTAAAGTTAGATCTTATTATTGCAGTTGGGATACCATCACAGTGCTGGCTCCAGGTACTCGGTCAGTACTCGGTCAAAGGATTAACCCTGGGAGCATGTGCAGCCTCTTGCTGTGAGGAAACAGTGCTAACCATAGCCACTGATTTAAATAAAGAATTTCTCTAACCTTGAATATTACATAAGCTACAGTTACAGTACATGTCTTGACTTCATCTAAACGTGTCCTTGTTTACTCCTGTGTTGTGCTGAAGTGCTGTGAGAAACATCTAAGTAAACAGTGTGTGTATAATTAATGGCTGATATGAGGCTGTAGAGATGTGAGCCCTGTGGCCAGCTCCAGTGCAGAGGGACAGAGAGACACTAACGTGTCCTGAAGACTCAGTACAGTGGAGTGTGGACCCACATGATGACCTTGGCTCAAACACACACATACACACACACACACACACACATGCACATATAAACACACACACGCACACCACACACATATACATACAGTACTTAACAGTTCAGTGACTCTCCGGGGACAATAGAAGGTACCACAATCCTGCCAGCACAACAGTAAAACTGCATGAGCTGTTAAGATGGAGGCTCATTGCTTTTGTACAATAGTTACCCACAATATGTCAACTTTTCTAGTGGGGAGGTCCGTCATATGCTTGTCTCCATGGAGATGTTAAATAGAGACTTTTTTTGTCCACAGTGATAAGTAGGTGATAGGTCAGATCTGTGGAAAGGCGACCGTGTTTACATTAAGAATGCATGTTTTTCAAGTTTTTTGTTTTTTTTTGTATTAAACTTGACATAGTGCAAGTAAGTATGATAACTATTAAGATACCGAACTTTAATAGGGATAATTAAAGATCTTTCCCACAGAGATGGGAATTGTAATGTCACACCACATAGAATTTTCAGTGAGTCTAATATTTTTAAAATGCTAAATCCTAAACTTCATAAACACTATAATGATCAGTGTATTTACCAGTGGTGACCCAGTAGTTTACTGGGTCGTTTCACCACACTTTAATTTATTTTTTAACATTGTTTTGGCTAATATACCTCCGAGAGTTTGCTCTACTGCCACAAACATGACGTTCCTAACCCAAACTCTATTAAGGTTAGAAATTAGGCCTGTCGTGATAACACATTTTGAAGCATGATATATTGCATTTGCTACAGAGATACGCTGCGAATAACAATTACATTGAAACTACTGATACAAAAACAATAAAACAAGGTAATCCCAGTAAAGATTTTTTAATAGACATTAAAATGTAGGTGCTGCAACAAACAAATAGCAGAATGGACCAATAATATGATAATTAGCCATAGAAATTAGTTAATCAACCCTCTACAGCTCAAATCTTATTGTATAACAGTGAAAATACCCCAAATCAAAAATGTACACATGATAAATACCGAGCCCTAAAATATAATGTCCCAGCTTTCATATATTGAACGATTAGACAATATACTAATAATGATGATCATGGTACTAAAAATAATTATGTATTAACCTTGATATTAAAGAGATGTTGGAAATCAAGCTTGTCAGAAAAGGTTTTTGTTTGTTTTCTTCTTCATTTTTATTCATATCAAGCTGGGCAAAGGCAAGTTTAAGTGGGTACCCGTATCAGTGGTGTGTGCATGTAATGAAGCATGTAGGATGTCCTTTACTGCTTTGAATGGTCCTGTCCCAGTTCTGGAGAAGTTAAACATTACACAACCATTTTAGCTCTGAGTCATGTTTTTTCAGCACGACCCCAATGCGCACTCTCTCTCTGTAAAGACTTAATGCATGGGAGATTTACACTGGAATTCCCAACTTACAAGACATGTTGAGTGCTTTAAGTTACACTGTAGTTCGTCCATATTGTACTAGGGCTTTGCAATATTACTTTTCAAACGTTGTCAGGGTAACACAGAACTGAACAAGGAATGAACCAACCACAATGATACTAAGAGAATTCAGGACGAGGGGGTAAACCAGGACCATAGTAGGATCAGGCTCAGAATTAACAAGAAACATTCACAACTTTCTTGGTATACTAGCTCATTTAAAATTTCATGGACACAAATATGCATGATACATTTAAAATTGAAAGTAAACTAACCTAAAAGGAGATGTTTTTCTCTTATTTTGCAGATATCCCAATATATTTACAATATGTTTTTAGTCCCATGTCGTTACAAAAGTGATTGTAAAAGTGACAGTAGAATGAGTCTGGAGTGGAAACAGCTGTTGTAAATAATAGATTCAGGACATTTTCACAGATGAGTTGAGCAGAGGAGTTGCACACAGAGCTATGACCATGGGATCATCCATCACTATACACTCAAATAGTCAAATAGAATGTGATAAAATGTGGTCTCCACAAATACAAATAACTGATAAAGCATTTTCTATTAGGCGATGCTAACAAATATAAGTGCCTGTATTAAATGAGTGATGTTGTTCTAAAGGTCATGCTTCAAATGGACGTTTAAGCACACCTACCCACAGTTTAAAGTCTCATTCATATTTAATTATAAGAGGATAGGTCATCATTACTATTGACATTTCAAACACTTGATCATTAATTGTTATTATGTATGGAGTATTGTTTTTGTTTGTTTATTTTAATTTCTAACAGTACAATGTGAAGTATGTAGGCCTTTACATTACTTAAAAAGTTAATCACAGAAGTATTTTATCCAAAATGTAATTTCACAAATGAATTCATAAAGGCTCTAAGAAATATTCAGTAAATATTTTATGAAGTGGTCTCCAGCTGTTAAGAGGCGACCAATTAAAGAAGACAGCAAGGGTATAGGGGCCTAAATTTAAGGGTGCCAGTGTATTCCTCTCAAAATAAAATGGGACTACATGGCCTGCTGATACTGCTGATGCATGCGTCGTAAGTCGCCTTGCATACTGGGATAGTAAATATGGCTCTACTAACTTTATTGGCCATGGGCTCAGGTGAGTCATAGAAAACCACTGGGTTCAGTGTGTCACCATTTCGTGTGAAAAGGGAAACTGACCCCTGGGCTAATGTGTGTGTCGCCTTTCCTAAGTACAGTATGTGCCGTGAAGCCGTGTGTCCGTTTGTTCAAGTTTCAGCACCGCGGACAGCGCCAGGTCGGTCCGCGCCGCAGGCTGCACAGAGACTGCGCCGATCTGTTGCTTTTGTAAAAAGCACTACCTCCCTCACTGCCAATCCCTGGCAGTGAGCCTCCACCACCATCTATCTGCGCCTAGATCTCTATAGAAACGGCTCAATGGCATCCGATAAGATTACATTTATTAAACGTTATTTTATGTGGACTGTACCTGATGTTACGGCCCCTGCGCCTACAATGTACCGACAATAACCCGATCACAACAAATATATTCCCCAAATAAAGTGTGTGGGTGTGCGTATACAGGGGCATCATGGTCCAGAAAGCACGAGTGGCTCTATAACAACCAAAGCTCTGGACATGAGTCACTCCTCTAATGGCAGCATAGTATACGGAGTAAATATGCTTTACACTCACTGCGTTGGTCTGTGAAAGATCCATAATAATACAAATATGTAGCCCTTAAGGTCTGGCATAATGATTGTTGTACAAATATGATTTACAACTCCGTACGGTCAAAACTTTGGACAGGGGGATGTCGTTAGATCGTGGTTGTTGGCACATTTTATTGTTGCCAGAACCACTGCAGCTGCAGTACTTTCCATCCACAGGTAGACGTAGACCAGCTTTACTCAAGCAGCCTACACCTGTTGGAGGGACGCAGTCACGACGCCCCCTTGTGGCTTCACTGTGAATAGCTTTTTTTCTTTTCTCCCTTTCACACACGATACAAGAAAAACATAAATGGCCAGCCCACACTGACGCATTTTTATCAAAAACATTAATTTGACTGATTTGAAGATGCACCAAAGGTTAATATTGACGCTACAGTAACAGCATCTGTAATGTGAAGGCTTTTAGACTATATCATCCCACGCAATTCTCTTCTATGCAGCGTTTCTCTTGGAGTATATGCTTTCCAGTAGCCATATTTAATAAATATCTGCTAAATGTGCATCTAATGCGGGATGTCGACATACAATAGAGTATTTATGCGGCAGTAAGCTAATGAGAAAGAAATTAAAGTCCATCTAGGAAAATGATGCAATTAACTTACCAACTCCGATTTTCTCCTCCTCTGTAGGTATCCACATTTTGGTTATTTTTCCTCCGCTAGTGCGAGCCTCATTATGTTGTTATCGTAAAAGGATGCTGCTAAAATAAGAAGCGAAGGCTAATATCGCCTTTCTGTTCGCACACGAGCTACATGTCTCGAGTGGATGCAGTGCCCTGGGCTTCTGGAGTAAAAAAAAGGGAGGAAGCAGGCGCCAAAGCCCCAAATCTCGGCTCTATTATGTCCCGGCGTGTCTCAGGCTGATGCAGTGTCCGTGTCCACCTAATGTAGCGCTCACACAAACACGTTTACGTAGGCACGCACGCTCACTCGCTAGTCTTCACAAAAGCTGTCAGCATTTCAAGAAATGCGAAAACCCAAGTTGATTTTCGTCCTCATGACTCAGAGATGCATTTCTTCTGGCTTCTTTCATTTAATTACCTCTAAGAGTAAGACCGGCTCGCAAAAGGCGGTCCTTTTTGCGCAAAAAGACCCCCTACAGTCGCTAATTAGCGGCTAATAGGACGCAATACTGATGCGATGGGGGCTTATGGCGACCTGCCGCAAAGAAGCGCTGGGGAAATTACAATATAGCATCGCTGCGCCATCTTCACGTTCATCACATGGCTGATTTTGACAACATTGATGTGTGCGTCTCTCTCCTCTGTTCATTCTCTGTGCACGACGCGCGCATCTATCACTAGCGGAGGCCGTACGTCGCTGTTGGACGCAGGATGCAGCCCGTGGTCTTGTTTTTGATTGACTGGACTGCTTTGGGGCTATTGGTCATGAGGCAGCTCCCGGTAGTGATCAGGTCACAGAGCTACGCGGGAAGCACCTCCCGCTTGAGTCATATCACATAAACTATGATGCCTTCTCCCTCCTCAGTCATGATCCCATTGATGAGAAACGGTAATTTCCTATTTGAAAAGCTGTCGTCCCCTTCAGGCCACTGTACCACAAGAGCCACGAGCAGATTTAGGCTTGCCTTTTACTTAAGTTTATCTCCAGTGTAGATGTCATTTTACTCACCAGTGACTTATGCTTAATCATCACTCCTACTGCTTCTTACTAAGCCACAGAGCCGAGGTGTGGACAAGATTTACAGCAGTATTCCTCCCATAGTCACATTTAATAAGATAATCCCACCAAGGTTTAGTAAAGTCTTTATCTTTTTTATTGCTAAATGGGCACAAATTAAGATAATGTTACCTAAGGCAGCAATACAATACCTGAGTTGTGTGGCACAGAAGGAGCAGAGTATAAGACGGGGTGACGTATCTCTTTGTGAGTGAGGACATGGATGGAAATATCAGGTATTAGAAGGAGGCTTCATTGTGTGGATAAAGTCAGTGGAGATTGAGAACGTGTTGACATACAGAGGACAGATGAATAGAAATGAATATGTGAACTAAGGGTTGCCAAGGTTAGAACTACCAAAGATGAGGCCTAAAGAAGCAGAGAGCAGATTCACAAATGTAATGTAAGTGGATGTGGTTGGTATAAGGTGCAGAGAAAAGAGCCTAAGGGTGCATTCACACTTGCACACTTACAAGAAAAAATTAGGACTAAACAAGGACTAAAGCTCCTCTGGCAACCTCTGAAAGTTACAGCCAAAGGGTCATTGCATTTTTACAGGGCCTAGGTCACGCCATCTTATGATCTTTGTTATTTCCTCATCACAAACACACAAACCCTGCACATTTAGGCTGAGTTCTTCTCTCAAATATAGAATCTTAGTTAATCTTAGTTAAAATAAAAATATAGTTGCATTTACATAGTTCTTATCAAGGTTTGAAGAATCCTTTTCATTATGAATTTTGTGTTTTTACTGTATTATAATCAAGAGTGTTATGTAATAAGCAAAAACAGTGATTTGGTGAAAAGTGTTTAGTGCATTTGATGTAGTGTGGGAGGGAGGGCAGCATTCAGCAGGGTAGTTTCTCTCCATCATAGCCGCACTGTGACTGACTCCCATCTGTCTATTACTTCAAGTGGAACATTGTGGGTGGATTTCCAAGCACATACATAAAGATGGAGGGGTAGAACGCATGTAAAATGTCAATATGGACCAGATGCAAGCAAGAAGAGTCCAAAACAACCATTAGGCCAGTCCAAATAGCTAATGTTAAGCTGATGTACATATGTTACAGCTGATAAAAACTGAGCAGTGCTGACTACATTTTGACGTTGCTTGGCTGCTGCAGTGGGGAAAGAATGAGACAGAGCTGCTATCAGTTTGAACACTCTCAATGCCAACAGACAATAGGAGGCAGCAGAGGAGGTGATAAGAACCAAGTCCAACCAAATCATCAATCAGCTGCTCTCTATACTATGGGCCTTTTACCATTCTTCTGTTTTGGTAAATGCAAAAACTGGATAATGAAGGCTAGAGTGCACTTTTTTTCATTTAAAATAGGACTGCAAAGTCATGACCTCTTGACCCATGAGAGTGTAACAGATGTTTGAAGTTAGTGATACAACCACAAAAATGTGATTTGAAGGTTTATTTATAGTAAAAAATAATTCTGATACATTGAATTTGTACACAAGTAGTCTCAAGAAACTTAACATAAAATACTCCTTTAGGTAAAGAAATAAGTAAGATATTTTCATCAAATCCATTTTAAGATAAAAATAAACAAATGGATGTAAGGTTTTTCAGAATCTCTTTTTTTATATTGCGTTCTCTTCGGGGAAACTTATGTTCTTTTATGCCTAAAATCCTCCTTGAAGGTGGAAAAGCACTATAGAAAAATGTGACCATTTACCATGGTTTAAGATTCCAATCAAATAAGCTCAACTCAAGTGGGTATCGTTTCAGTATAAATACACCTCTTTATGGAAATTTAAGTGGATACTAAGGGGTATACAGGAGTTGTGTTCCTAGTCTGAAATAGTTTCAGAATTCTCAAAAAATTCTGACTGACCAGGATCAGTTCTGTATGTACATTTAAAAAAAGAAAATGTGTTAATGGCATTGCTGTGACTGACTTTTGAATAGCACTTCATAGTGACACAGAATCTTAGGTGCCACATTAGCTGCCTCTTTCAATAGTACTATTTGGTAATTATACAAAGTTCACTTGAGAGAGAATCATATCCATTGCCATACAAACACAGCTCCACAACCAGTCTCATCTTTTTACATTTTAAGTATTGAATGAAAAAGTAGTAAAAATATAAAACATTCTCTTGGTGCACCACTAGCCACGCAACTCTTCTGAAGTGAAATATTATGTATAAAAAAACTATAGTATGTACAATCAAGTCTGACCCGCAGGGGAGCCGTTTGTGCAACATTGTCTGGTATGAATGTGTTTTTGTGTTTGCACATGTGGCATTTGGGAAAATCTGGAGTCCATCTTGGAGTTTTTGAAGATTTTTCCACAGCAGATCTTGACACTTGTCGTAAGGTCAAAAGTGCCTAATATTCCTCACTCATTCAGGGACAAAATGATGTCGTCCTCAAGGTCAGAATTGTCTGAGCTGTCTGTGAATAGAAGGACAAAGAAAATTCAATGTTTGTAGTAGACCATTTCAGTGTCTGTAATCAAAACTACAGAAGAGAGAGTACCTGTGCTTTAAAGGTCCTCTATTACACAAAAACAATTCTAGTGAGCTTTAAGGAATGTTATAATATTGCTACATCATCAAAAACATATCTGGCGATGCGTTTTGTTTCAGTCACACATGTTCTTTCATTATCATGGTCCTTCATTATCAATCCTTTATTATTTGTCTGTCTACATCACCAAAGCTCAAAATATAGTAGCTCAAAATTCATAGAAGTTTTAATGTTAACAGCTAACTTTTACCTTTTGCTCAGCATAGACTGGCAAAATCATCTAAACAATGAAGGTGTATAGAGATTAAAAAGACAGCAGAGCACTTCCTGTATAACCACATGACATCACAAGGAACAGAGTGCTTTCAGTTTGAAAGAAGAACTATGCAGGATTTGTGTGTTAAACATCTGTGACTGAAGCAAAACAACTCAAGGTATGTTTTTTCATGAGTACTATGGGCCCTTTAAAGTCAATGAAAGATCAAAACTTACACAATTACATATGTTAACGGTAAAAATTTACTTTGTAGTAATACAAACTGAGTCACACCTGTGACCCAGGATGACGCCCCGGAGGTAATATAGTCCCCAGTCAACTGTGACTGTTTCTACAGAATCTTCTTGTGGAAACGCAAGGATCCTGAGTGACAAAGTATCTCTCACGGTCATCCAGTATTCATAGAACCGTAGTTAAATACATAAATTTTGTTCTTTCATCCCTCCTGACCACCAGAGGGCAGTGCTGAAAGCACTAATGACTAATACCAGCTATGTAACAAAGAATCCTGAGAATCATTACTGAGAAGAGCCCAGAGATTCATGAAGAACCATGACAAGAGGATGAGGAGATTCTGATGACCCCCTGAGGGTTGATGTGAGAGACGGTCTGAAGTCTTGTCCGACCAAATAAGAACATGTTTTCCTCTTAGGTGTGACAGAAAGCTCACTGCCATGTCACTTTGAGCATCCATCGTTGGTGCCATATGGCATTCAGATGAAAACTGTTCAGCCACTTTTGTAGCGGACACAGTGACAGAAGGCCAAGAGGCACAACTCCCGTGACAGAAGTCAGCTTTCCCACAATCTCAAGAAAGGTGACAAAGGGGTGCAAACTGCCCAGTCTGAATCGAGAGACCAAACCTTGAATATCATCTAGGTGACGAAGGGACAGGCGAGCCTTCATCGTCACAGTGTCCTAATCCAGTCCAAGAAAACTTGTTGTATGAGATAGAGTCAGGTTGCTCTTCTCCATAGTCACTGTGAAGCTCAAATGGGCCACATGTGAAAGGAGATGATCGGTGTCCTGCTTCATATGCACTTTGGATGGAGCACAAATCAGCCAGTCGTACAAATATGGATTAACATCATCTTGACCCGGCCTGACATGTGTGGCTGGCATCGAAACTGCAGTGTTATCCATGAGCCAATGTGGCAACCACCCATGGTTCCGACGCATGAGCAGCCCATTAACTGAGCTGCTGATGGGAGAAGTATCCGACTGAATCCCTGCAAGGCCAGTCTTGAGGGAAGCGTCCATCACTAGACAAATCCCGAGGGAGCGGCTGGAGCCAGCAGTTGGGAGCCTTGGTTGCCTAGGAAAAGATGCTATCTCATGTGTCACGCATGAACAGTCCGATCAAATACCTCCAAGGCAGCTGAACCAAACAACTGCCCTGGTTCCACAGGCACACTGTGGAGGGTCCTCTGTCAGGGGAGACTGAGCGAGCCAAATCTGCCGGCGAGCCTGAACCAGAAAAGACTAACACGTCCAAGCTCCCTTGTCATCAAAACAAAAGCCTGCAGTGCTGCATCACTAAAATCAGCAGCCATCACAGCACCATACCATTTCAGGAGGGAGGCGGAGAGGGCAAACAGTAAGTGCGTTAAAGAATTGCCCAGACGACCAGCCCGCACACCAGAGCTGTACACCTTGGAGATGAAGTCATCTGTCACATGGCATTGGGGTCCTGGACACCTACATCTTGGCACAGGCCTTACTCAGGTGAGACAACGACAGAAGCCACAGCTGGTTCAACAGCAGACATGTGATCCAGACCAGTTGTCGTTGCATTGTGCATAGCGGCCAAAATTTGGCCATCTGACGAGAGCCTGAAGAAAGCACTCGGATCCCTCCAACAGGCATGCAACTTTACTCGACAGAGGGGGTACAGCAAATGGTGTAGGAGCACACCCGTATCTAAAGAAAGCACTACCAAGGCCTGTTCAGGCTTTGGAGGTTCCAGCTGCAAATGATCCAGAGCTCTGTGCAACATCTCGCATGGAGCTATTGGTTGAGTAACCAAGGCTTTGTTGGGAAGAAGATGAACCATCCTCAGAAACATGCGAGGACGATACATCCTCCTCATCCCAAAAATGAGAGGCACCGCCAGAGACAGCACATCATCTTCCGTGGTCAGAACAATTGGATTGGGAAGACATCCCAGCCTCTGAAGCAGGTGTGTCCATGCGATGAGCCTCCAATAATGATTTCATCACTTCCAATTAAGAGAACTGCTCCACTTTAGAGAATAAATAAGGAACAGAGTCATAGATGAAGGGGACTATATTACCTTCAGTGTGTCACCCTGGGTCACAGGCATGATTCAGTTGGTATTACTACTTGAACTGCACAAGTGCAGGGGGGAACATTCAGTGCTTTTAACACCGCCCTCTGGCGGTCAGAAGGGATGAAATAGAACTGCTAATACTTTGGCTATGCAAGCATGTACAGTGAAACCAAGGAGTTTTATTTGTTCGTATAATTGAGGAATTACAACTAACCAACCCCCCCCCCCCAAAAAAAAAACAAAAACAAAAAAACTAGCAAACAGCATCTTCAGTCATTAGTAGTTCTCACCATTGTCGCCATCCAAATCCACATCATCATTGTCTGAGTCGTCATCATCATTATCATCTTCATCATCGTCATCACCGACATCATCTGCATCTTCATCAAGAAGCTGCTCCACATCGTCATCTGATGGAGAGAACTCCTCGGCACCGTCCTCATCCTCGGCACCATCGTTGTCCTCATTCTCCTCTAGCTCTGCCATTAGAGGATCTGTGTCCACGTCATCATCAGAGTCTTCATCATCATCGTCATCCTCTTCCTGATCCTCATCCTCCTGACATAAGCAGAAAACAAAGTAAATACACCATAGGCAAAGTTGATACTTTGCAGCTGATGGCATCAACATTCCCTGGAGTGTGATGCTAACTGTGGGATCTGAAGCACCGTTACTGGTCACCCTTTTGTTGAAAATCAAACACCAAAACAGGAACCAAAAACACTCATATTGATAACAAGCAACAGAAAATGTGTTGTTTGAGTTTAAGATTATTTTCTATTTTCTTCATTATCTAAAATCTTTTTGGGAGTAACAGCTAATGTGTGCATTATGTCACCATGGTAAATTATGAACATTTCATCATAAAAATACATAGAACTACACCTCCAGCATGATATCACTGCAAAGTAAAATAAGTAAAATTAATTAAGAAGTACCTGATCTTCCTCATCCTCCTCTTCCTCTGCTAATCTTTGACGTCCAACCTCATAGAGCCTGCACACGGTGTCCGTGTTGACAGAATCTTGATTCTTCGGTGGAAATAAATATGCATCAATTACATTATTTCGTATATTGATTTCATAATACAATGTGGTTGTGACTTGTTACCTCAATCACTGCAAGATAGCAATCTTTTGTATCAGTGCAAAGATCGAAAATATTCCTCTTAACATCAATTGTTGCTGAAAAACATGTGTATACATTATTTCTCCTTATTCAGTTCTACAAAACATCAACTTATTTTAAAAGTTTAAGCTATTTTAAATAAGATACTATTACTATAAGAGCAAAATACAATACCTATTGGTTTGTAGTCTGTAGCATTGAAGGTTCTGAATGAGGAGCCGAATGGTGATTTCATCTGCATCTCCATCATATCATCCTCATCATCCGCCTGCAACATTGCTGTAAAGAGTAAGGGAGAGGAAAGTTGAAAAGCTTGTGGCCTCAGAGTGAGTTCAATTGGTCTTGGTGAGGGCAGAGCCTTTGTGCCAGTCCACAGCTCTCCCTGTGAATGTGTGAGAAACCAGCTGGCTCCTCTGTGGCCAGTCCAAATCTGAGCCCTCACCCATATGTCTCTCTATGGCAATATGGGAACATATTCAAGAGTTAGGGTAGAGTCACAGTTTAATCTTAAGGTTCTTGAGTCCTTATTGTTTGATTAGTGTGTGTCTACATAGGTGTAACTTGAGATCTATAAAGGTCCAGGTTCACTGTATTTACCTCCGTAGATGACAGTGCCATTATTATTGAATACGATTCTGCATTGGTCCAGGGCAGGAACTGTGTGCAGGAGGTGGAAGGTTCGAAGGTCCCACTATAGCTCTAGATAAGGTTTATATCCAAAATTCAAAATAGCTTACATTACAATGAGATTTCTATTGCACTTTTTTAGACAAATCAAAACGTGTTACCCAGATGTTGCCAATTGCTATTTTTGCTACTTATTTTATTACTAATTATATTTTTGCTTTGTTATTTTATTACATTTTATTGTGATGTGTGAGCTATTTTGTCCAAATAATTTCCCTTGTGGATAAATAAAGTTTGTCTAAGCCCGATTACAAGGATACAATCTCTGTGTTGATGATGACTTCCAGTCCGTTGGGGTGAAAGACTCCACTGATGTTCATGTTAAACTTATCAAACTTGTGGATGGCCTGCGCCGATCGGACGTCCCACAGCACTCCATCGTTCAGTACCAGGTCATCCGTGGGGTTAAAGGTCGCACAGTTCCTCTTGTAGTTGTTTGCAAGGTCAGGATTATTGAGGGTCAGAGTCACTTGCCCCGTCTGGATATCATATATCTACAAAACAATTACAAATCAGAATCAAATGCAGTTGATGCATAGTTATTATTCGGTTCTAAATATGTTATTAAGGTGAGGTTTGGATCAGCTTTTGTTGGTATTTGTCAAATCATAAAAAGATAATTAAACTATCTTTGGATACTTACTCTTGCTATATGTTCTTTTGTGCCAATGACCCGGTCTTGTGATAGCTTACTGAACTCCACATAGTGATCTCCTGGAAACGAATGCCTGGAGAAAGAAACGGGTGAGCGTTTAATAACTTGCTGCCACCACAAGAATAAAAGCTTCAAACCTTATAATTTCTTCAACACATTCTAACATAGCTATGAATCAATATGTAAGGCCACTATTGCTGGGTTAATCTGCACAGATAAATTAACCTAAGAAAAGTGAAGACTGCAGCCCCCAGGCAATTATCGTGCATAATTAAACGCTCATTTTTTCTCAGCAAATCCCAGGTTTGACATTGTATAGCTCTTGTTACATTGGTGTGTACAGAACATAGAGTGTATAAAAAAGTGAATTAAACTATGACGTCACCCATAGCATTCAGCACTACTCAAATGAAGCTCACAATGCTAACGGTTACATTTGGAGAATTTGGAGCTAGGCTCCATGTTATGAATAGGATTTTTTTTTTGATGGACAAAATAGCGGAAAAAAAACACCAGGATCATGTAGAGCGGATTAATACGAACATTTCAAGACCAAAATGACGATGCTCACAGCAGCAGTTACAGAGACAGTTACAGCAATATTCCAGTGTAGGTCAATGAGAATCAGGGTCAGAAGGAGCCGGAAGAGACCACATGCAAACTTCCCACTTGGAAAGCGGTGGCTAATGCGTTATGTCCATTAATATATAGAGTCTATGGTCCAGACAGATGCAAAAAAAAAAATTGGAAATCAAAGAAAAATGTCTAATCATTAAAATTTGTAGATTTTTTGTAAAGGCATCAATGGTGATAAAAGGTCATGCGGAATTACAATTTTTTAACTGTGTTTTGTCTGTAGTTAAATTTGAATTGAATGCAGATGCCATATCTGTTGTGAAAAAACTTACTTCATGATGAACACAGATTTCATCCCCCATAGTGCAGACAGTGGGTAACTCCAAGACGCAGATGTTAAAAGCAGTGAGCCATCCTAAAAGCATTATATTGCGAGTTAGACTTAAGTCTGAAGTTTTGTTTTCTCATCTACTTCTCTGAAACTGCAGTACTGACCCGAGAGGGCTCTAGGTGTGTGATAGCTGAACTGTGGCAGCTGTAGCTGGCTTCCTCCTGCCCTGTGAACACATTGTACAGTTTGAGGTATCCAGTGCACGTCCCGAGCATCAGGAAGCGCTCTCGAGCAGAAAAGGCACAGCACATGAAGCCACTCTCATCCTCGTCTGCTTCTCTGAAAACCGAGATTGGACGAAACCTAAAAAAGGACATAATAAATATAATAAAATACAGCCTATTCAATGATGGTACTAAATAGTTCAGGAGCTTGTTTCAAAAATAGCCTCAAAAGGGTTAGAGTAAACAGGAGATAAAAAAGCACTCTATGTAACTTATTAACTCCTTGTCTTGATTTGAATGGATTGTGTCACAGTCACACCTCCATGGAGTTACTCCACATGAGTTACAGATCAGATCTGTGGAGAGGTAATCGCGCTTACAGTAAGAATGGATAGCACTAAAACATCTGTAACTGAATAAATGCAATGAAGAAGAAACTGAAACTGATGCCTTATTGTCATTATAAAATATAAGATTCCATGTAATTCACTAAGACTGTTGGATATTTAATTTCTTCTGCAAGTAAAGAGAAAAGTCCAAACCTGCTAAAAATGAGATGTCTGTCAAAACATCCTCCATCCACGCCTCCGTATTTGGGATAGATGACCCTCCTTGTGTGCCGAGATGTGAAGTTTGTTGGTGCTTGTCTCCTCTGTTTGGGCTCGGGACACTGATGTGGTGTAAAGAGTGAAAAGGGTGGGCAGGTGGCAACAGGGTTTTTACATCGTGCATGCTGTTCTCTCAAATACTCAGTTATAATACTGTCCAAAGCAGGTGGTGAGGGCAAATGTCGATCAAACTGCTTTTTCATCGCTGGACTCTGGCTGAAGGCGCCATGGTCTGATTTTTGCCTGAGTACACGCGGTTTCCTACAGCCCATGGTACCACAGCTTATTGTTTGACGTTCACGAGAGAAACAAATCCGACCAATGACTGGAGAGCCATTAGTGCACTGATGAGCAGCTGTTTGAGGGAGGGTGGCAGCAGCAGGTGTGGTTTGGGCTACTGTACAAGGCCGAGGTTGGGAATGACTTGATCCAGGTGTGGAAGGATGGGAAGGATGGGAAGGGTGGGAAGGATGGGAAGGGTGGGAAGGGTGGGAAAGGTGGGAAGGGTGTCCAGAGTGTCCAGAGTGTCCAGAGTGTCCAGAGTGGGCAGGGTGGGCTGCCATTCTTGACCCAACGCCGTTGGCTAACCGTGGGGTCCGGGGCAGAGTGGTAACAGGTGAGGAGGTGGAGGGAGCAACAGGGACAGGTGGGAAAGCTGATGTTGAATGTGAGGAATGAGATAGGCAAACCATTGGCAGATCTGCCTCTTTAGTCAGTGTAGCAGCAGTGTCACTAAGCCCTTTGGCCACAAGGTGGTTCCTGATGAGCAACAGGAGTTCCTTTTCTGGAAATGAAATCCTGGACTGAGCCACAACACTGGCCCGCTGCAGCCATGCCAGGGACACGTCTGTACCAATGAGAAGAGGTTTCCCAGAAATCCTCTCTATAAGCTCTGCTGCATATTTACAAAACTTGACGTGTTCACTGCGTTTGTCCTGAAGAACTGGCTCCTTCATGAGCTGCTGGATGTGTCCACTGCTGAACAGAGGCAACTTACTGATGATCTGCCGGACTGTACTGGAGCGAGACAGGCCCACAAGAGCCTTACAGGCCAAAGCACGAATCTGATCTGCATCTGTTATGGGCATCTTCACCATCAACAAAGACAATAATACCTGCAAAAACAGGGAAGTTGTAACAGTAGTTATCATGTTATATGCCAATCTTACCACTTTTTATTTCCCAAACAGTATTTATGACTAAGTTGTTATTGAATTTGTATGCAGTTTTTTTTTTGTTTTTTTGTGAATACATTGTTTCCAATGCATCTACACAAAAACTGAAATCACAACTTTTTTTATTTCTTGTTGCTTTATTACTTTTAATTTTTAATAAAAATCAAACCTAATGAACATACCTTGATGCCATTGTTTGACTGCACCACATTCCACATCTTGGTGAGCACACTCTCGCTGGCTTTAGTTTGCTGAGGCATGCGTCGGCGAGGAGTTCCTGCTATAAACTTTCCGATACTGGACACACGTTTGTCGGGAGCGCATACACAGTTAATGATCACCTGCAGAGCGGACTTCTGGATCTCAGCATCATTCACAAATATCTCTCCTTCAGCCACTTCTAGAACAATACTCATTCCTAAAAAGAAAAACAAATCCTAAGACGTTTTCCTTTCACAACCCCTATCCAAATTACAAGTTACAAGTTTTTTTCTTTATGTACCAATAGTGGAAACAATGGAACCTCCTTCATCCAGTACAGCAACAGGCTCAGACAGCAGAAGCTGGGTCTTTGGTACAACTGTGAGGATACTCAGGATGTCAAGTGCGTAACGGACAGTGTCACTCCTGTAAAGACATCAGATGTGAGTAACTATGCCGTCCAAAAGGAAGAATATAAATAGTGGTCTTGCTCATACCTGCCATAGTAGGTTCTCCAATCACAGGCAATTGAGATGAGCTGCAGGAGGAGGTGCACACAGGACAACTTATGAAAGACCTCTGCTGGTTCCCAGTACAGTCTGAGTGGACCGTACTCTGTCAGAAACTCCATCATCTCAACCACCTGCTCACGACTGTAGCTGACAGCCTGGAAAACACCATGAGAACAAAGGTTGTTGTGATTAAAGAGTTAATGAGAAAACCAAGAATAATTTGTAGATTAATGTAATTTCTATGCAGTGGTTCCCAAAAAGTGCTATTAGGTTCTTTTTTCAGACCTAGGGTTTGTTTTCATACCTGACAGTTGACAGCCCACTAGTGATCTTCCTCAGAGTGGTCACATGATGTTGCTGTGATGTGTCCGGTCAGCTGATTTATACAGGTTTTGGCGCCATCTTCCTATTCGTGGAAGGAGGGTGACAGCACCACCTGCAGTCCGACTTCCTCAGGACAGTATCTCAGGTTTGTGAGCGTAAAAAAGCCAACTCGTTCCAGTTTATAGTCCTGTGGGCACGTTTCCATGCAATCAGCTGACCGGACATGTCCCAGCAACATCACTTGACCACTCTGACGAAGACCGCTAGTGAGCAGTTGAAACTGTCAGGTATGAAAACAAAGCCTTGGTCTGAAAAAAGAACCTCATAACATAAATTATCGAAAGACCAAATGAACCTCACTGGACTGCTGGTTCTCAAAAAGGTTATTCTTAGGTGAATTTCTGTTTGAGATAAATTCATGTATTATGATGAGGTGGTAACAAAATTTGAGAACCACAGCTCAAATCCCATGTCATCTTTCTATGAAGTCAACCCCTTGTACCTTATAATATGGTGGCGAGTGAATGGGGGCACCTCCCTCTGTGCGTTGCAATGATTGCTTCACCTGTTCGACTTTGATGGCCAGATGGGCCTCAAAGTACCTGCGCAAAGCCATGCAGGTGTGCTTGGCAGTTTGCCTGCTTGAGAAAATCTGATCATCACTGAGCAGAGGTCCCTGGTCTTCATGGTTCAAGATCTCCAATGTGCTGATCTGCAAACAAGTGAGTTACGCTAAACAATAATGTAACTTGTCATTTCTATGAAAAATGGTAGTTTCAGTTTTTCCTACCAAGTTTACAAGTCTCCGGAGTCCATCCTGCCTGTCAAACAGCTCAAGGACGGCACGGAAGGAAAAGGATATAGAGAAAAACATGGTAGCATGACAGCAACCGGATGCGTGCGAGCACTCTAGTAACCACAGAGTGTAGCCAACCATATCTGACAGGACGGAGTTGGGCAACATGCACACCTTAAGAGGACAAGATACAATAGTGAGCTTTGAAAATTTTTTAAATAAAAAAAAAGGTTTATGTTTATGTAAAACTTATATATGTAAATAAAAGATATATAGTTTTACATAAAGGAGGGTTATCCATTTTACAAGCTTTCAGAACAATATGCGTTAAATGTCATGTTACATACTCTTTCCATTGCATCTTGATTATAAGCAAGGTAGTAGAGACATAGAGACACTCCAGTTGCAGCCATTGATGGTCTGGGAATTTCCAGCAGCTTCTGAACTCCACCATGTGCCACAAACTCTGCAGCAAATTTCTTGTGAAGTAGCAATGAAGCAAGATACTGTAAATATAGAACATAAAGAGGTGTAAAACAGAATATTGTTGTTATAACAGTGTTATTGGTAGTGATGTGATCATGTTAACCTTAAGGGCCTCAAAGGTTAGTTGTACATCATTAGTCTGCTTTAGATCCATGTAATGCATGAGAAGTTCCCGGGCTCCCATTTGCATGAATACTGCTAGCAGCTGCAAAAAAATAAAAGGACCGGCTTTCATCATTATTTTTTATATATAATATATATATACAATATACAATTTATTGTACCATACGAAGCACATCAAATAATTGACAAATGTGTTGAACACAATTTGATTAACACTGACATCTACTGGTCAATGACCGATAACAGAGGCTAAAATGAGCTGGGCACTTCATATACAGCAAAATGCATTATACATAGAGCACCACCTATGGACTCAAAATGCCATTATGCTGAGTGGTTTTTTAAATTATATAATAATGATAATAAAAAAATACCTCCTGATATTCTCCCAAAGGTGTCAAATACTGAAGAATAAGTCGTTGTTCAATCTCTGGGGTCAAAGGGTAGAGGTGATAGTTGTTGCCAATGACCCAGGGGCTCATCTCAGACCAGCTGCTGTTTGATAGCTCACTGAGGGATCTCTCTGGATCTGGTAACGAGAAATTGAGCTTCTGCTTTGACAATCTGCAAATGTCCCTTTCTGCTTTTCTTTTTAGATAGTTGCCTCCATCAGACAGCTGAGTCAGGGATTCTGAAGCAGACATGGGTTTCATCATGGTTTTAAGTGCAGAGCTTGGGCGGCTGTTGGTCCTGTGAGGTGGAGAGCTAATACGAAAAGACAGTTCATTTTCTTGCTCAGTGGAAGAAAATGTCTTTTCACCATCTTGGTCTGGGTCTCTCGGCTCCTTTTCAGCACCATTTTTGTCTGGTGTAAAAGGTTTCTCTTCAAAGTTTCCATCAACAGCCTCCTCATCTAGAGGTAGCAAAGATCTACTCAAGATTTTCCTCGGACTAGGACGTTTACTCTCAATAGTCTTGTCCTGAAGTTCTCGTAGACGATGCAGCATCAAAGGTACCTAGTAAAATAATTAAAGTTATCAAAGCTAAACTGATAAGGCCCAAAAAAGATATGAAAGCATTGAATAGATATTTAAAAAGAAGCAGTTTGGGGTATAGATTCAAATTAAAAGATATCACAGCTTCACTATGAATTTATGCAATTCTTGTACAATTAATACAAACCAGGATAGAGTTCTCCTCCCTGTAGTTGGCAGCAATATCTTGATTCTCCATTGCACCAGCCAACAAACCTGTGGCATAGATTCGCAGGGGCTGCTCGGCCTCCTGAGCCCATTTGAAAAGCTTTTCAACTATACCCTCCTGGAAAAAGCATAGAAAATTTTATGCAATTTATTGCAGGGAATTCAAATAATAGATGAACTGCCTAAATTTAAACTTGAAAGACACCTTTTCTTGAAAGACTACAGCTGTTTCTAACCCAGGCATAATGTTTTGAAGTAAACGGCAAGCAGCAGTATTAAGGGAAAATTCACGGCTGGTCATCACATAACTATTCACCAGCTGTTTGTAAAAGGAAAAAATAAGGTAAGAGGTGTTTTAATTAACAATATACACATTGTATATGGACTAATCTTGCTTACTGTGTTCATGAAGTCATCATTCTTGAACAGTATTTTCAGTAAGTGCCCCAACACACATTCTGGATCAGCTCTCCCTAGTGGCCAAAAAAGAAACGTCAAAAACATACACTGTCACTTACATACGGTACAGATAACAGAGGAGAGCTTTATGTTTTTAAGTTTTACCAGGATGTCGATCATCAAATGGGTCTGGGTCTGCTTTGTGGTACTCTTCTGTTTCTTTCTCCACAAGTTCTGAGATTCTATAAAAGGTAGACGAACAAAACAGTAACAATACTAATTAAACAGGCCATTTTAATATTTATTTAAATCACACAAAAAATGCACATACTTTGTCAGTATGTTCACCAGTTCTTGAGTGGCGCCCTGTTGTTCCTTTTCCCATTGTTCCAACAGCGCAGTCAACTCTGCCTTGGAGTCCACAGTAGCAGATGCTGTGGCCATGGCACAACCTAAGAGCGTTGCATTGAACAAAGCAAAAAGTACAACATTTACTATGGGAAAGTACGTCAAGTATATTTTTCAATTTGTTGTACAAGTGGACTTAATGGTACAACACAGCCCAGTCCCCAGAGACCCCAACTGTCAAACAGCCTATGAACTTATTAACTTCTTTATTGAAAACATTGGAAAAATAACAGCAATGTTTCAAGCGGTAGAAATATACAATTAAGGCTTAAACGATACATGCATTCAGAGTTTCTCCCTTATTATAACTATTGCCTGTTGCCTTTCAGATGGCTAATCTGCAGGCGAACAAGGAAGCTAATGTTATTAGCAAAGCTAGGCACAAGCCTTAGGTACAAAGGTGTGTTAATGTGTTTTTTAATTTATAGCAAATAAACTGACATTGGCCGGCTTGTATGAACTTTAAGTAACAATCGACTGCAAGAGAAAATACATTCTGATCTGAAAATAAGTACTTATAAAATCTTATATAAATTCCTTTTGGCTAGCTAGCTTGTTACCCAGAATGCTAGATTTACCTCGTTGTTCCGTTCACCTATCCCTCGGCTTCGTAAACGCAGATATTTTATCAACCAGAGTCAACAGCAGAACTGGTCCTTCATGGAGATTGTGCAGGAATAAAAAACACGCCCCGTATGATTCTTTAAAGCGGTAAATAATAGCTTTATGTTTACGGTTTATTATCATTGCGGCGAACACGTTAACCGCGTCATTTCTTCCGCGACAGCCCACTGAATATGACGAAAGAAGATTTTAACATTGTATGCTTTTATTATGGATCTAAAAAAAATAACAAGGGTTTATTTGAAATTACTAATTAGATACACTTGTAAAATAATTTTAATAAACATATGCGTGACAAAATTATAATTATGCAGATAAGGTAATTAATGTACAACAACACATGTTTAATGCCAACACAATTAAATGATATGACAAAATATGATTAAGTGCATTTTCATATTTCAGAAATATTCACGTGCAGAAAAATATAGCCTATATATATATTTTTTTTTGCTTCAGTAATAATGATTCTGTATCATTCATATTTATGTGGTAATATGTTAACTGATTTTCAAGTCAGTAAAGCTGATGACAAATGAGACATAAATGACAATATTTTAGATCACATAACAGAGCAGCAACAAGTAGCCGGATAATTGTCTGTATGAACTTTAAACTCATTCCCATATACAAAGTAAAGATGTGTTTTCCCTTTCCATGAGTAGGACACCTTGGTCACAGGAATGAGTTCTATTGTTTGCCGCTGTTGACAAAGAAAGCAAAAAATAAGTGTAAATGATGACACAAATTCAGCCAACAT